AAGTTGTGTTGATACCCAGACGTGCTTCTAACAAATCCGATTTTTCCAGTTATCTTGTAACTGGTTCTACCACTCGCTTTGCAAAGGCGTATATCATGGAGAGAATGTAGTGATCTAGATTAAACTTGATGATGGCGTAGGCTCACCAATAGGAGCCATATATATTGACTCAAGCATCCGAGAATGCGCAAGTAAGCCAAGATGAGCGTTCGGAGCACTTCAGGTTGACTCTCAAGGGTTACAATTTCACAGCATTTCTTCTTCCCCCCCAGAGGTCAAACATCTTGGAATGTGCGAGTAACCCAAAATGAGCTTTGGGCAGCAAATCCAAATTGGCTCCCAATGGAAGTCTACAATTTCACAGCAATTATTTATCCTCCCAAAGGCTATACTAGGCTTACATCAGCCTTCCAAAAACAGATACAGACATTTCACAATCCAGTCATTCAAGCTCTACTTTTGCCTCCCCATATCAAACAGCGTCGTAAAGCGGAGCCAAGAAGAACATATCAGTAAGGGCGTTCCCGGCAATTGTTTTTTGATGCAGGCCTGAAAATCCGATCTCCCTACGAGGTATATGTCTTCAGCTATAGCTGCAGAGCAGAGGCTTTGCTACGAAGGTATCACTTCCGTCATTTATACATACTTTGAGATAAAATACTTGTCGAGGCATCATCTGCCTCTGAATGTTTAAAGCAAAAAAATTACCATCCGTCATGCTTCACACATACAAACCAACGGTTTATTGGCATGCAGATGTGCCTTCAACAAGCCCAATCCTTTTCGATAGTCTTGCACTCCCAGCGGCCAACTCGCCACTCGCTTTGCGAATATGCCTGTCGTACAGCAACTGCTGGAAAACAAATCAATAGCGTCATATCAACATACAGCTGAGATGTGGGGAAGGAGAGCTGATCGACGTCTGCTGCACTACGAGTGTAATCAAATCGACGATGAGACCTTTTCCACACACCGAAGTGTTTGATGGAATCAACGCATGACGGCGCGGCATAATTGAACAAGTACTGCGTGCATATTGTAACCAGCTTCGGTCATCTTCTCAAATACCGAGCGTCTCTATTTGGGCATCTGTGGCGAGCCATGAGTTTCGGGCGCTTAGTTTTTACTCTTCGCCTGTGGCTGAAATGCTCGGTGAGCACAAACATGCTAGTCAACAGAGTTGAGTTTGAGTGTGGCTTTTAGGTGCGGGCGATAAGAGGCGTACACATCGGTTCAACTCTCTCGATGCACTGGTGAGAAGTAAAATGTTATGCGTACAAAAGTATAGTAGCGAGGTAAATGGACGTTGTAACATGTGAGTCAAAGAGTTTTACGATATGTGTGCGCGACTACCGCTAGCATCTTGGATTATGTGGCGGATCGTGCTGCCAAAAGCTGGAGTCTCCACGGGGAATGGACAAGACGAGCTATTGGAGGGATAGGGCGCCTTTCCATAGACAGAAAGCTGAGGCATGCACGATGAGCTCCAAGAGGGGAAAACCAGGGCCGAGGGAAAACGAGAAAAAAAAAAAAAAAGTGAAGTGAGGCCTCTCCAGGGTAGCGCGTTACCCCAAAAGAAGCTTTTCAGCAATTGCTCGTCAGTGGAGGCAGCCATCTACGTCGCCCCACTGCCCCGCCCCAGATCAGCGTCTCTAACCGGTGAATAGGCGGAGAAAAGCTAGAGAGAGAGAGGGAAAAAAAAAAAAAAAAATGAGATAAAGGCGGATGTTCACCGAAGACCTTGAATTCTAGCTTGCAGGCTGCATAAACGGATGGAGTTCCCGCTGGCCCCCTTGATAACCTTACTGTTACTCGTATCTGTGAGAATTTTTTTTTATGCGAAGCTCAGTGGTGGTAATCCCATGTACGATCCTAAGTTCTGTATTAGGTGAGGCTAAACAAGTATAGATGAAAGAGGGGAAGAGGGGGAAGAGGGAAAAAGAGCAACGTTCTGGAATCTCTAATCTGGAATCTGGAAAAAACTTTCCTAGGAGCTTTCTTGCATATTCAGTAATTGTGGCGCTTCGCCCGTCAGACTGCTATTCTGTTCCCTAGCGGTGGCGGCGGTGGCGGCAACTAATTTTATCTTTTTCCTCTTTTTTTTTTTCTTTTTTTTTTCCGCGGCATGAATTTTTTTCACCGATGATCTGTACTTGTGTACCGACTGTTCAAGCCACCTTTTTTCCTCCCTCTGAACTTGTGCTATTTTCTTCGGGTAAACGTGTAATATTGAGCACGTGCTGTCGCAAATCCCTTGATTCGTAGCGAGACAAGCGCCGCCCCGAGCATGAGCGCAGGGAGGCCAAGCATTGGCTGCGCTGGGGCTCAAGCTTTATGCACAGTCGCTGCCAACGTGTGAGACGCGGTGTCTAATCATGCTGCAGCTGCGGACTGAAACCGCCTGATGCCGCTCCGGCGTTACGACAGGGAAAAAAAAAAAGGGAAAAAATAAAGGCTTGGCAAAACAAATGCTAGCACCCAGGAACATACGAGCAGCAAATGAGTACGAGGTTGCAGCTTCCTACATGCCACCTACCTGATATGCTCGCGTGAGACTGCACAGGCCACTTCCCCCGGCCGTCATTCTCCGTCATGCTCTCCAGCCTTGAATTGAATTGAATTGAATTGAATGGATGATTGTCGCGGCTCTTCAGAACTGTCCAAATCGGGCCAGCAGGCGCTGCACGTTCTTCACTGATTGGACCAAACGCACAGAAAGGCTCGGGCGCGGCCGCAAGAAACTAGATGGTCATTAAACTTTAAATCTCTTGATGGCCCTGACTACGGAAGCTGCGAATAACCAAATATGACCCTTGATAGGTGCCGGGACCCTATAGCGGCACCACTGCGAGTAAAGCAATACCTACTGTAGAGTCTCGGTGCATGTTTGGGGAAATAAATGGATATTCACCGTTCGATAGTCTAGTCATGTCACCTTTTTTGCCCTCTGTCTCTTTTGTTGCTTGCTTTGTCTTGCTCCGGCGCTCTTTCCATTTACGTCGTGGAGCAGCGCTGAGGAGACGAGGTCGAGACTCTGGACTTGACTCACGCGACAACTTTCCCACTGCGGCTGGCTCGACTTGGCAAGGTGGATTGTGTGACGCACAAGAGCCGTCGCCAAGCAGATCCCGCGCGTGATAGGCTGCAAGTGCCGGCCGAGACTGGACGACACGCGAAGACGCAGAGAAACGATGCGGCCGCGTGCAAGGCTGCAAAAGCGAATTGAAGCAATTCAAAAGCCCTATTCTGGGCAAATTTACACCAGAGCTGACTCTCACCGTCGGTGCCAGAAACGGCCAGTGCGGCTGTTGGACGCTGCTGGGGGGCCCCCAATAGTTTGGGCAAGATCGGCATGAATTCTGGCAGTTCTCTGGTGCCGCTCTATCCGGATGCAGCAGCAGCGCCAACCAGGAAAGAGCCACGCACCACGCCCTCGCGCTCATTCCTGGTGCGACACCTTTCGAGTCGACTAGTAGGCACGACTTAAGATGCTGACCAAGGCCTGTAGAGAGCCTGCAGAGAGCCTGCAGAGAGCAGATAGCCTACAGATAGCCTGTAAATGCCTGTAAAAGCGACCTCGCGAGCATCAGCTCCAGAAGGGACGTGGCACCTAAATTGTGTGCATCACAGTTCGTCTTGGTGCCCTGAGGGCCAGCCCCAGTGGAGACGCCTTTTATTCGTGGTTTTTTCTGCTCTCCCGCCATTCAGTCACACTGTATTTTTCCATGCCACCAAAGCACCACTACAGTACTACAGTAGCAGTAAACATTTTGCTGCTCCATATATTCGTGCATGAAGATCGAAGCAGGGAACCCTCCGGTCGCTGTTGACCGAGGCCCAAGCCCATAGAGGGTACTCGCCAGCGGCCGCAGATGCCAAAAGGGCTACCGAGCAGACCGTCATGTCTGTGCCTAGAATCAGCACAGGGAACCCCTACCACAATGCCTACCGCAGTGGCCTGCGAGATGGCCCGATTTGCTCAGTAGATCTTGCGTAGGCGAGAGCAGACCGAAACAAGAGACTGGGACAAGAGACTGGGGGAGAAGAAGAAAAGCCCAGGCTGCCAGGAACGCTCCAGAATTCACCCAAGGAAGCTTGACAACGCCAGCGCAGCCATCGGGTCGTCTAGACGCAGAGTGGCGGTAGAATCTGAGATCCTGGCTTTGCGAACCTTGACTCTCTTGGGCTACGGCGAATCGAACGTTGCAAGTAGGTACCTTCTCGGCCATCTTATTTTCCTCCCTTAACAACGGCGACTACGACAGCGCTAGATCCAAGACGAGGCGATACTTGGCACCTGTTGGCTTTCCGCTACGACCAGCTGGGTAGCACTTATTACGGGTCGATGGCTGCTCAAAAGGCAAAAGCGACCGACGGCTTCCAACGGAGCCACAGTCGCGCAAGGTGTGTGGGCGGCTGTGGAGAGCATCCCAAGTCTCCACGAGGCGACGACGGCGGAATGGAGCAGCTGGACCAGGCGAGGCCGCCCCCGGCAAGGCCACTGAAGGCCCAAGATTCACCCACGATGCTGAATGCGAGATTCTGACTGGCTGCGCTGGAGCTGTCTTTCGGTCGTCGAATGCGGCCTAAACCGCGAAGCACATGGCGCATGTTCACAATGTCTTGAAAACACTGCCTTTTGGCGACTCTTTAGCTCCAGCGTGCAGATACCGCCAATCTGGGGTCAACCTACGCCTGCGACAAACAAATAGAGCAGTTGCGGCCCTTCATCCTAGTTTCTTGCCTCCCTTTCTTTCTTTCTTTCTTCATCCTCATCTTCATCACACTTCTTCTCTTGTGTGTGTGTGTGTTGTTGTGGTGGAAGCTGCAAGCAACCCTCCCTTGCTGCTAAGGGCACCGTCTCGCTTCCCTTTCTCGGACATTCCCCCCCGCAGCCACAGCGCTCGCTGTCCAATCACATTGCTTGTTTCGACGGCAGCTGCACAATTCTCGCTGCTGTGCGTTGCATACTCATTACATAACCTGCTTATACCGTCGCCATGGCCGCCAGAGAGCACCATGGCCTGGGCGGCATGATCCCCGGCGTGATCCCAATCCCCCACGGCCCTCACGGCGACAACGACGACCGCGATGACTTCCCGCTGGATCTCGACGAGCAGCGTGTCTTCGCCCACGTTACCCGTCCCGACGACAGCTACACCCCGGATGGCACCTACTGGGCTGATCTGCCGATTGGCCAGCGCGTCAAGTTCGTCTCGGCCGTTGACCGCCAGGCTGCCAGCGAGGAGCTGAGCACCATCTGGGCCATGATGAAGAAGGACCCTCTGTCTCCCATCTCATGGTATTTCCGCAATGCTGTCATCCCCGGTGCTGGTCTTGGTCTGGAGGGCTACGTCCTCTTCTCCATCGGTAACCTGTCCTCTCTTTTCGCCGCTGCCTGGCCCGAATGCTGGGGCTCCAAGGCCACGGTGTGCGACCCCAACTGGATTGCCGCTGTGACATATTTGGAAATCATCGGAATCATGATTGGTCAGGTCATCGTCGGTGTAAGTACTCGCCCTCAATTGGCTCCGCTGGATAACTTGTGACTGACTTTGGAGATTATAGGTCATTGGTGACTGGATCGGTCGTCGCTGGGGTCTCATCCAGGACGCCATCATCATGTTTGTTGGTCTGCTCATGCTTACCGCTTCCTGGGGTCTTACTCTGCAGGGCTGGGTCATCTGCTATGCCTGGTCTCTCTTCTTCTACTCTATTGGTGTTGGTGGTGAATATCCCATCACTGCTACTTCTTCCCTCGAGAACGCCGTTACTGCTGGCAAACTCTCTACCAAGGAGGATCGCCTGCACCGTGGTCGCCGTGTCACCATGGCTTTCCTGATGCAGGGCTGGGGTCAGTTCTTCAACCAGGTCATCCTGATTGTCCTGCTCGCCATCTTCAACAGCGGCCGTGGCGGTCCCCCTTACAGCAAGGAGGCTGCTCAGTTCACCTTCCGTCTGTCCTTTGCCTTCCCCGCCATTGGTACTCTGTGGCTCGTCTACTACAGAACCTGGAAGATGCCCAACGCCTCCAAGCAGCTTGCCGAAGCCAAGAGCCGTACCAGCGTCACTGGCTACGACGTCACTGCCCTCAAGTCCTGCTTCACCCACTTCGGTGGCCGTCTGCTCGCCACCGCTGGTACATGGTTCTGCAACGACGTCTTCTTCTACGGCAACAAGCTTTTCCAGGGTCAGTTCATCAAGATCATCTCCGACAACCCCAACTCCCTCATGACCGCTTGGTCCTGGAACTTGGTCAACATTGTTGTCTCCCTCGCTGGTTACTACGCTGCCACCTTCCTTATCGACAACAAGCTCTACGGCCGCAAGTGGATGCAGCAGGTCGGTTTCTTGATGTGCTTCCTCATGTTTGTCATCCCCGCCTTCAAATATGAGTACTACTCCAGCCCTGCCGGAATCCACTCTTTCCAGGCCATGTACTTCTTGTCGTCCTTCTTCAACCAGTTTGGTCCCAACTCTGTCACTTTCCTCGTTGCCGGTGAGGTTTTCCCCACACCCATCCGAGCCTCTGCCCACGGTTTCTCTGCCTGTATCGGCAAGGCTGGTGCTCTGCTTGCCTCGATTCTGTACAACTACATCCCTATCCAGACCCGATTCTACGTTGTTCCCTGGTTTGGTCTGGCTGGTATGTTCCTCACCTGGCTCTTCCTGCCTGACACCACCGGCCTCGACCTCAAGGAGCAGGAGCGACGATGGCGCTACATCCGTGAAGGCAGAGCCGAGGAGTACCACGGTGTTGCCGTCCACCCCCAGCACCTTTCCCTGTGGGAGAGAATCCGTGGCGCCAGCAAGTCATACGACCCCCAGTTGGACTGGAAGCAGAAGGTTGAGGACATGCGCACCGAGTGGGAGGCCATCCAGGCTGCTCGTGGCCCTAAGGAGACTGAGGATCAGGCGGGTGTTCACGATGGCGAGTTCTCTCCTGAAATTCACGCCTTCTTCAAGCGCTCCAGCCCTGCTGTTCGCACTCAGGGCGGCGTCTTGAACGAGAAGATTGCCACTGACGAGGCTTCTTCCGAGTAAAGACCTGTTTCCTCATTTTATCCTTCTGATACGAAGGGAGTATCTTTTCTGCGACTGATTTTTCCAAAACTTTATCATTAACGCGTAATATGCATAAGGGGGGTTCTCTTGTTTTTGTTTCTCATTATACCATATATCCGGGGCAGTGGATGAAGAGGTGGCTTGCACATAAGTGGTGTGGATAGAACGAAATATTTGCATGGTCGTTGGGAGAAGAGCCTAACGCTTGAATGATCTGTTTTTCCTGCGATTCCCTAAAATTGGCGATCTCCTGCTTAGAGAGTAGGATATGGAAGTGCCTTGAATATGATATAGAGCATCGAGTATATATTATGTATACTTTAAGTGCAAATGATACGCCTTGCAATGTGCAGTTTCACAAAACATGTCTCAATATGATTTCTCTGTGAAGCAAAGAGTGGAATGATAGATAGAGGGGAGTCTAGCAATGGCTGCCTTGGTAAGCCGTGCTGTATTCTATAATGCATCAGCAGATGATGCTTTATCCTCTGCTGTTCCGCCGTTTTCCTTTGAGAGCGAGACATATGATATGCCACTAATATGAGAATATTAGACGTAACGGAACAAATAGCAGTCTGGAATCAATCGTTTCAGCCAAATCAAGGATAGGCCCAAGTGCCTAGGAAAAAGGAGAAGATATCTCCGCTCCGCATTTTCCGCGGCTATTGCTTAAATTTTATTTTTCTAGCTAATTTCAGTATATTTTAGCGGCCTCTCCTAATCTCTCCGCACATTTCTCCCAACTGTGAAGTTTGTTCAAACCCATTCTTCTTTTCCTGTCTTGGAGGTAAATCTTGAAAACGGTTGGTTAAAGAGTAGTATATATGGAAAATAATGGGGGTGCTGACCAAAAGTCTAACCTGATATGGTACTTGAAAACTAAGCCACAATTGGTCAAGTCGCATCGTAGCGGAGATTCGGCATCAGATTGTTAGTTCACTAAATTTCCCCATACCAAACTATGAATAAACCGATACGTCCATACAGAAGAACTCTGAGGCAAAATGGGAAACTCGTTTGAAGGACTTAACAAAATCTTAAACCCGAGCTAGAGCCATTCAGTATTCAATGACAGCGGGATGGTGATGCTGACTGGCGAACTAACCTTCTTGGGCAGAATATGCTTTTTGGCTGAGGAGGTTTGACGTGAGTTGATTCCTTGGTTACGACTATTGCGCAAAGGGAGATTCTTTCTTAGGAGCTCAGTTCTAGGATGGAAGAGTATATATATCGAGGAGAGTGCCTACTGGTTTGAATTTGGAAACACCTGACAGATATTCATAGCAAGCCAAGTTTTGCTAATCCTCATATATTTCCATACACCCCTTCCACCAGCGTGAGCATTTGCGAGCATAATCAATATCATCATTTCTTCAAACTCCAACACATCATACAGCAGCCATGTCCACCGCAGCGAGCTCACAAGTCATTCTATCCTCCGAGTTCATTCTCAGCAAGTACGGAGAGTCCCTCGCCGGCAAAACAAGTACGTCCCATACATATCCAAAGTCTTACCCCCTTTTCTTTCCAACTCCATTGAGTACTAACGTCAACTTCTTCTCCTCCTTCAAGTCCTCATCACTGGTGTCGCTGGTGACTCCATTGCCGGTGAACTCGCCGTCCAAGTCAGCTCCGCCAACCCATCCACCCTCATTCTCACGGCCCGAGCCGAGTCCCGCGTCGAGCCCATCGTCGCCAAGATCAAGGCCAAGAACCCCGCCGTCAACATCCGCTTCCTCAAGATCGACCTCCTCGACCTCAAAGATGTACGAAGAGCTGCAAGGGACCTCGATGATGTCCCCAAGATCGACCACCTCGTCGCCGTGGCAGGCGTCATGATGCCCCCCTTCGCCAAGACTGTCGACGGGGTCGAGACGCAGTTTGGCGTCAACTACCTGGCCAACTTCTTGCTGGTCAAGGAGCTGCTGCCCAAGGTCAGGGCCGCGGCGCCCAAGTCTTCCATCGTCATTTGTGCTAGCTCTGCCATGCGGGGAGGAATAGTCAACTTTGACGATGTCAACTACAATGTTTGTTCCTCAATCCCCATTCCAGAATAAAGCACATGGAGCTTCCCGAATGTTGACATCTTATCCTTTACAGGAAGGCAAGGATTATGAGCCTCGAGCCGGGTATGGGCAGTCCAACGCTGCTCGAACAATGTTCGCCAAGTTTCTTGCCGAGAAGCTGCAAGGAGAAAATATCCGCGTCTTCAGCGTCGACCCTGGCGGTACGTAACTCCAATTGAACAACAGGAATCGCATAGTGAGCTCGCCACAAGCTAATCATCCATATTCTGTCAAATCAGCGGTTGCGTCAGGACTGCAGCGCCACTTCACACCCGAGTTCATCGACATGATTAAGGCGCTACGGAAGTCAGGAGAACGTAAGTTTTTCGTCTTAAAGACTTCCTTATTTTGTGCTGACAACTCCTTTGAAACAGCGTTGCGTGATCTTGATGGCCGTCCGATCGCTTTGCCGCCTTTCACCGGTGCATCCGAGGGAGCAGCCACACTCATCACCGCCATGGTTGACCCGACCATTGAAGAGTCCAACGGTGCTTACCTGCACCACAATGCGGTTGCTGACGACGAAGTCACCTCGCATGTCTTGAACCGCGACCACTGGACAAAGTTGTGGGCGCTTAGTGAGAAGCTCATCGGAGAGCCCTTCAACGTCTAAGCCCTCTAAGGCATTCCGTTCCGATAGGGTCGCCTTTGTTCTAGAGCCGTCTCTCGCCGCTCCATGTACCATTATATTTCGATAGCAAGAATTGCAGAAAGCGCAGTCATCATGAAATCTTCAACGGCTTTTCTGCCCTTCCTCTTCTCCAGTAATTTGTCGTCTTGACTATGTCTGGGCATTCCTTCGCCAGCCACGGCCACTTTCGTAGCATGGTTTCCGAGATTTCGTATGATGCAGTATCGAAAGGCTCTCCCCATATCACCATTCCTATCATGCCGTCCTCATCAGCATCACTGCTTTGTAGAAATAGATGGTGGCAAAATTCATCCTCGTCAATATCATTTAGTCGTTTTAGTAGAGCGTCTCGTAGAGATGGCTGCGGGCAGAGATCGATCCACGGGTGATGAATAACTTGTCTCTGCAACGCAGTTGGCTGTAAACAGGGAGGGAGATGCATTAACTCATTGCCATTGCTAGTAGCGGCATTGCTCGCACTCGAAGTCGTCGCATCTTCATATGGCGCGAGAAACAGCATAGGAAACACAGTGCCACGGTTGAAAGGCGATATGGCATCATCCGCAATCAGCTGCTCCCAGATTACCCCAATCGCCTTCGCAGCCGCCATCGAAGCTCGCATGACGTTGAACTGCATCACCGACAACAGCAGCTGGCTGTCCAGAGTGCCCTTGGCGACATTTACGGAAACCAAATCATGCAGCCGGCGGAAGAAGACGGTGCGATCGTCCCGGGTCATGGTACAGAAGAAGCGAAACGCTCTGTCGCGGTGTTCCTTGGAGAGGAAGATGTCTGGAAAGCCCGGGTTGTAGTACTTCGTTTTGTTACCGAGGTTGAGGCTGCGATTAGCAACGGCAACGTCTGAGACATTTGGCTGCTGCCGTCCAAATTGAGGCTGACGCTTATCATCTGCTTGTTGCTTCTCCGTCCTCGGGTCAATATAAAAGACCCATTTATTAACTTGATTCTTCTCTTTCTGCTGCTGTTGGTGCAGCTCTCTTCTTCGCTTGCCTACAAAACTTTTGAGCTCTTTGCTCTTAAAGAAAAGGAGAAAGAAAAGTGAAGATTGTAGTTATTTGATGATATTGGAGACTTACGACTTGCCCGCTGGTTCAGCCGATTCTGCAACTTCCGCCGACTCTCTGCGCTCTCCACCGCTTCCGAATTGACCTCTTGCAAGTTTACCGCTTCCGACATTGGTCCTTTTTTGGTAACACAATAGTTTTGATTATACAAGTCTTCTTTTCCTTGGGGCAGTCAGTAGCTACACAGAATGGTGCATTGAAAAGCTGGTGGCCAAAAAAGAAGAATGACGTTGTGTGATAAGGGGAAAGCGCTGACAGCGCGTGCTACTGTTCTTAGTAGGTACCTAGGATGAAGATTCGGATGAGTAATACCAGTAGCGCAACAACCTTATTTACCGTCCCCGAAAGACCCGCCTATAACTTCGGCAGCCGGCAGCTCTATATTTGAGCTTGTATCACAATGAACGATAACTGAATGATTATGGTTATTCGAACTTGTTTCCCTTTGACTCAAGTTTCGAGGTTTGTTTGCAATGTAGCCTCGCACAAAATACAAGCTGTAGCTCCTCGGTTGTTATCCAATAATTACGCTGTCATAAACTACACAATTCATCATCATCGATATCAACGCTCGTCTTGTCAACGGCACTGATTGTCCCGTTTCGTTTACATCCATGTAAAGACACAACAAATCCGATCGACTAGCTTGCCCTTGTTTTCCAATATTTAGTGATGAGTATCGCTACGCTATGATATCGTTTATTGTACACATGACTCGCAATATACCCAATGACCCGTTAAAAACTCTGCGCACAGCTTTGTAAAAGGTGGTTTGAGGGGCTGTGGGGATATGTAAAGAAGACGCCGCTGCTCTTGTCGCTGTTGCTGCTTGCTAGTGACACAAAGACCAATAACCAGAAAAACGAAAATAGCAAAACAGTCATCTCGCTCATGTATTTTAAACAGTAAAGACGGGGTAGGAAAAGAAAACCACATTCAAAACAAAATGATGATGATGAAAGTATATCACACCAAAGAATCAAAGGAAAATAATAATAGATAGGACACGGAGAAAAAAAAGGAGAAAGAGAAGCCGGAATAAAAGAAGACGAAGACGCAAAGAGCTACTCTCGCGCCGTCTTTTTCGATCTCCGTATATATATCATTCCTGGAGCGCTGTCGTTGGTTCCTGTCCCTGATCCTGTCCCTGTGCCCGTTACCGTTCCAGTCCCTGTCCCTGTTCCCGATCCTGTCCCTGCTGCCGCTGCCGGTGCGGCTACTGCTTCAGCTGTTGCGTTTTTTCCAGCCCCAGCTCCTCCTGTCGTCTTTTTATCGTCATCGTTAGCATCGTTACTCGTGTCCAATGCTGCGCGGGTTCCCGCCGGAACGATGACGCTTAGCACACAATCATCCAAATGCTCATAAAAGTCCTGCGGCGCGGCGAAGCGGTTGTTACAAATAGAGCAAATGGCGCTAGCCCCTGAATTGGCAGATAGCGTTATGAGTCGACCCCCTCTGTTGGTTGTATGGCTATGTAGCGGCGCCTGCTCGACCTGATGGGCTGCGGCAAGGTGGCGCTTGAATACGTCGGCTCGATTAAACGCCTTTGCGAAAGCTGAGCCAACCCCGGGGCAAAATGGACAGACCATTGTTCCTCGGTAGTGCGTGAGTGCATGCCTGTTCTTATCATACTTGCGAGCAAAGCCTTTCGTGTGATACTCACACGACTCGATGGGACACTTCTCTGGTCTCTCCTCCTGGTGCGTGAGCATATGGGCTGCCAAATCTTTGAAAACTCGCCCGCAGTCCGGAAACGGGCACCGGCTACGGTTCTCAGGCGCCGGTGGGGTCGGTATGGGCCTTGTTAGGTGATGCGGGAGTGGTGGCTGGGATGCTTGTGGTGGCGGAAGCGACATTGGCGGCGGCGGTGGTGGTGGAGGTGGAGGTGGAGGTGGCGGAGGAGCTAATCGTCCAGCTGGACTTCGCGACATCATTTCCCAGGATCCTTGCTCCTCCATGATAGAATTTGGCGATACCGTCATCGAGCCGACGGACGATGCCGACATGTGCCCGCTGTTGATCGGAATGGGTGGCAGCTCCATCACAGGAGCTGGTGGAATCGCTGCTAGCGGAATCGTTCTGGCGCCAGGCTGCTTTACATCCTCCTCTTCTTCGCCATCAGTCGACATCTCGTTGTCGACATCACCGCTTACCTCTGCCACGGACTGCCTCACTTCGCGCATCCAATCTTTGAGCAACGACATGGGCGGCCAATCGCCGCTGGCTTTGCCCCCGCGATGGGGGTTGAAGTGAGCCCGGCGCAGATGAGCCGCAGCGTTGTAGTAGGCGCCATAGTGCTTCTGCATGACGCAGGCTTTGCAGCTCGATAGCGGAATGGTGGGCTGTGGTGATGCCGGACTGTGTCCCTCGGGTTCGCAGCACACCCATCGCTTTACCAGCGCCGCGTGTTTTGCATCTGTATGGCGTCTCAGCTCGTGTTCGCCGCGGAATCCTTCGGGGTATTCATTACACTTGCGACAGAACACGCGCCGTAGAGGGGGTCTTTGATATGTTGTTTTAAATCTCATAGGGGTCAGCTGGTGTGCAAAGATGTTTGTGGGAGCGGCCTCGGCAACTGTATGTCTCCTGGCTCGCCCAATATGTTCCGGAACAGACTGGTTCAGGGAAGTCGAAACGCCTCCGCGGTCTATATTGCCATCATCCATCACATCCGGACGCGGCGCAAGTACCTCTCTATACGAAGACGAGGGCGGGTATGCAGAGCTACCGACGGATGACCAGCGTGGCTCACGCGCTGAGAGAGCCTGGATTGCTGACAGCTGAGAATCGTGGCTGGGAGAAACGACCGGCTGCCCTGGCCGAATAAAGCCGTGGAATCCAAACGCGTCGTTGAACCCGCCTCCCAAAGTCATGAGGAAATCTGTGCTGGAGCGAATATCTCGGGCTTGCCACGTATCCATACGCATGATGCGACGTGTGAGCTCAAATGCGGGTACATCGTCTGGATGTACGTCATTGGGAGAGCCATCTGTCAACATCGGTCCTCCCGTGATGAAGAAGTGCACAAGTGCCTTGTATACGCTGTCTATCGTGGTCTGGGGGCTGTCTCTGAGCGAGCCTTGGTGTTGAAACGTATGATATGGTAGCAAGGATATTGAAGCAAGGTCCATGAGGAGCGTCCGGATTATACTGAAGATACATAAGGAATAGAAAACGGCCAGCCATTCTTTCGATTGAAGAGGAGTGCTTCTCAGAGCAATTGCTTCAAACGCCGTCAAAAAGGTTACCATGGCTTGTTCAACAAGGCGACTGTGTTCTCCCGTGAAATCCAGGCGGTCTGACGGGGGCTGATATCCTAGGTTGGGATCCAGTTGGATGACGGGTTTGGGATAGAAGAGACAGTAAAAGGCAGTCTCGCGCAGCAGCACCTTGGCGTGGTATAAGACCGGGTACTGTGATTCCTCAGCCTCACGAGAAGGAGATATATATCCGGTATACCTCAGGAGATCAAGAGCACTATACGATGTCTCCTGGCAGTTCCAGCTGGCGGCCATGGCGCAAAGAATCGGGGGAGCGCGATCAAACATCTCACGGGTAATATGTGCCGCCTCATTGTATCCGTTGAGCCTCCTCTGAGACTGCTGTCCCGACCACCAGAAGGCGTCTCGATAGTCTAAACAGGTCCTGACATGTTCACCGATATGTGCCGGGAATGAACACATTCTTTGCAGATAGTCGTTTACATTTTGTCGCCTTATGGGGGATGTTGTGGAAGACGTTGGCGTTTGGAGCTGTGGTTGTGAGAAGGAGGAGCCTACAAAATCATGTCAGAGATTTGTGTGTCTGGGTGTGTGTTTTCGTGTTGATGGATTCCGGTATAATTTGAAAAGAGCTTGCATAATCAGAGATTGGGATGAGGAAGAAGTAGCAAATCGAAAAAAAAAAAAAAGACACAGAGAGGCTGGAGCACAGACAATGAGAAGACAACAAAACTTTATGTGCGTGACAGAGAGAGGCAGAGAGGGGAGAGCAGAGAACCGAATGGGCTATACCTGGCAGCAAATAGTCGGTAAAGGCGTTGAGAGTGCTACGAAAACACCCAATGACAGCCCAATGGTCCTCGGAGCTGATCAATGGCAAATTTGCGCAAGCGGTACATGGCTGGTTTCTATCGCACTGATTCAATTGAAGAAGAAGAAACGAGTTAGTCTACGACAGAAGGAGACGCCAAAGCAAAGCGAAACAAGCAAGCAAGTGAGCAAGTGAGCAAGTGAGCAAGGGAGGAAGAAGATGAAGCAGGAGGAGGAAAAGGAGGGAATGAAAGCGAAGTGACAAAAACAAAATGCCAAAAGCTCGGAGAATTATATCCCACCTCCTTCTTGGTCACTCTACAGCGGAGGCATGGCCGCTGGTCGTGGAAGAGACGAAGCTCTCCAATGGACTCCAATCGAGGCAGGCTGTCGACCCTGCTCCTCTTCAATGGCGGCAGGAGAGGCTCGACATCGGCGTCGATGGCGCTCCTCGGGGCTGCTGAGCGGCTGGAGTATGCGTAGGCTATGAGCGAGTCTCGCCGCTCCGTCGACGGCGTCGGGATTCTGAGAGGAGGAAGCCTGGAGGAGAGGGCGGGGCGTGGAAGGTGCATGAGAGGCGACGGGCCCAACGGTTCGGAGGCATTGGGTCTGGAGGGGAGGACGGACGACGACGACGACAACGACGAGCTAAAGGCTGAGAGCTCCGAGTCTCTCTTGAAGTGAGTGGCATGCATTCGGACGTGGCAGCTCCGATCAAGCTCGGTGGGAAAACCGTAGACGTAGTGGATGCACCGGTCGTTCCAACACTTTAGAGAGCGAGGCGGATAAGCGCTGGACACAGAATCGCTGCCGCGCTCCCGCTGGGCCCGGAGGACAGGGTCGTGGAGCTCCAGATGCTGGTCCAGCCAAGAGCCGAACCCTGGCGGCGCCGATCGCGAAGAGCCTCTCAGGGGCTCGACAACATCCACGTCTGTTTTGCAAGAGCAGCGAGCAGACGAGAGAGAGTGAGAGTTAGCGTTGGACAAGGCGGACTAAGAAACGGCTCCGGGCATGGCTGGTTTTGGGCCTGATGATGGATGGATAATGGATGGATAATGGATGGAAGTACAAGGCAGATGTAGCATGAGTATTTTGACAAACGGATTGGGGGCTTGCATGAGGCGGGTTGGTGGCGGCGGCGGGTTGCGTGGAGAACGGGAGATGGGCAGCTAGCTAATCAAGTACAAGTAGCGGTAGCAGGAGGGTCTCAGCTTACTATCTCGAACACAGGCAGCCTCGAGGCACTCGCAGCGGTGTTGAATGGCGCGAGCCTCTTCCATGTCGGACATGAAGGGGGCGTGCGAAGCCAGGTCTGATATTTCACTCACAAGTCAGCATGGGCTCCGTTGCCGGACCAGCACGAACGACGGGCTCGTATGAAGCAAGCAGTATGTAGTATGTAGGGCCGGCAAGGACGAGACGCATGTGCGGGAGCAGCAGCATGTAGGCAGGCTATCCCGTCTTGTCTTGTCCTGTCTAGTAGTAGGTAGCCATGTATGGAGCATGCATGTCTGTATGAGATGTATGTACGAAGCATGCAGGACCTACATCCGGAACAGCCAGGCATACTGTACTGTATGTAGGTAGGTCGGTACAGTATTATGGCAGGTAAGGCAAGGCAAGGTGAGGCAAGGCAAGGCAAGGCAAGGCAGGGCAGGGCAGGGCAGGGGAGGGGAGGGGAGCACTGAGAAAGCGTAGCGTGTGAGTTGTGAGCGTGTGAGTGGGCTTGTCAATCGAGGCCGGGCTCAAATGTGGACAAGGCTGTATCAGGATCAAGGCAAGGGAGCGGAGAGAGAGACAGGCAGGCTTGCAGGCGGTTAGCCAGGCAAGGGGAGAAACGAGCATCAGCTGGGGGAATGAAGGAAATACGCGCGCACACAGGGCTTGGGCCGAAGCACGCACACATATCGATGTACGATGTAAGAAGAGGAGGATACTGCACACATGGGGGGGTGTGGGAAGCGTGTTGGAGGCTGGAGGTTGGAGAGGGCAAATGAGAGACAGAAGCCAGTGGCAGAGAGGGGCTGAGATAGAGTTGGGGAGAGATGAGACGGGGCATCGTCAAAGACAAGAATGCAGATGAGACTGAGCAACATGCAGACAGGACGACAGACAGACATACCGTGGCGATCCACGACGCTCTCGAGAACGCGCAGTTTGTGGCGCAGCATGTCGAGCTCTCCCGGCAGGCTGAGACTGAGACTGGGCCTGCGACTGTGACTGTGACAGCCAGGGCGAGGGCCCAGCAGGGCGGCCAGCCTGGCCTGGATATCAGCCTGTTGGTCCAGCAGGTGGCCGACGGCAGCGTCGACGTCGAGATCCAGATCTGGGGTTGGGCCGGCCATTGCTCGCGGTGCGTTTGCCGGGTGTCGTTGCTGCTGCAGTTGCTGCTGCCGTTACTGTTGTTGGTGTTGATGCTGTTTGCTCGCTTTTTATTTGCTGTCAACGCAGCTGGCTTCGGTTCTGTTCTTTTCTGTTTCGGCTACAATATCACCAAGCCTCAGAAACATGCTGTCAGCGCCGAATCTGCCGTGTCCATGGCTTGCGTCTTGTCTTGAGGCAGGGCAGCTGAAAGGAGGCGAAAGCGGCAGGCGGCCCAGCAAAGAGCAAGCTGAAGAGGAGCAAAAGAGAAATGAATGGAAAAAGAGACGCTCCTAGCGAATAGAGGCTCCCCGGGTTTGCTTGCTTCCCTTGAGATGGACTTTGGAGCCCAGACACGCCTTTGCCTTGTCTCTTTTTTTCTGCTAGCACAACCAGTTGAAGCTCCCGCTCAATCACTCTTCAAGAGCTAGTCTTGCCTTGTTTGATATCTCGACTTTTTCCTTGCGTCCTTTGCTAAAGCCTCTCTGTCTTATTCTTCTTCTTCTTCTTCTTCTTCTTCTCTTCTGTCTTCTCTTCGTGCCTCTTGCTTCCTTGTTCACCTGCTGCCGGACTCGCGAACAATTTTCTCACTCGCATCTCTTCTCCTTTCGACGCTGCACGCCCACCTGCCACCCCTTTGCCCCCCCCCCCTCTCCCCTGCATCTGCTGTCTATTGGGGCCATTTCGCGGGAATTGCGGGCTGGGGTGTTTTATCAATAGGGCGGTGCGGGTGGGTTTATGCTGCTCGAGGTGCGCGGGTGGCAGGTACTCCATACAAAAGCGCAACGGTTTTCCTCTCTGGCCTTGTTCAGTCTCCCTCTGTTCCCTTCTTGGCCTCGCGAGGATTGCTGGCGGTACACGTTACAAGACAGGTGGGGCGCAGCCTTGCAGGTACGGCATCCGATTAGGCGCCGCGTCGTACTCCAGACGTAGCGCGTACTTGGGCCACGGGCCCTTTGGCCGCCCGACGGTAAGTACCGATAACGCCGCCGGTACGGAAGCGAGCGCGCACAGACTGCGCCTGGGCTGGCGTCGCTCGGGTCGGTGCCGCGTACCAGTTACCCGCAACCTCGCCGTCGCAATCGCTGTACTGTGCCAGTGCCAGTGCCAGCGCCAGTGCCTGTGCCAGTGCCTGACGCAGCGGTCCTCGAGCCGCCAACTGGTGCTCTGGCCGCACACCCACTTCTGCAGACCGAGAGGCTCCATAATCCAGGTATGATTCGAGCTGGACGGCCTGGGCGGCATGTCTCACGCGGGGTGTGGGAGTGAGGGTGGATGCGGGTGCGGGTGAGCGAGCAGAGGCCAGGGTTGAGCACTTACAGCAGTAGGTAGGACCGTTGGACGGCACTGTGTTTGGGGCCGCCAGCCTTGCTGGACGCGGCACCGTGTCTGAGACGCTCGGAGCATGCCATGTGGACAGGACGATGCACGAGGTGTACAAGCACCGTCTGTCTTGGCTGTACGATATTGCTATCCGCCTTGGGTACCGGCTTGTACAGGCAGAGCCGTGGGCGGCCACAGGAGCACTGTATGTATCTGTGCTCGGGATGCGATCCTCCGCGCTACTAGCTGAGAGAAGGGCTGGATCTGTGCCACTTTGCGAAGACGCGAACCTTGGCCTCAATCTTGCTCGGCTGCAATAATACTCCGGAACGGTGAAACGAGGGCAAAGAAGAGAAAAGAAAAGGCGCTTCGGAATACATCCGGGCGACACTAAAATAAGACGAGAAACACACAAGGCCAAAAGAACAGGCAAGGGGTCGCAAAAGGTCGCAAAAGCGGCTGGTGCACAAGCTCCCGACAAGCCACCCCCAAAAAGCCGCCTGCACCGTTTTCTGTCTGTTTATTCCCCCTTCCATCCCATCCCATCCCACCCACCACCCATCGCCTCTTGCTCTGATGCCGCTGCGGCGAATCGGCCGCCCTGTCTCTGTGTCTGGTGCTCAGTGTACAGTATCTGCCCGCGTCTGTCCGCAGCACCCGGTATGGAAGGTCGTAGTCAATTAGTAAATCAGTCAATCAGCCCAAAATCAACCCATCTGTGCGTATCGCGCGTTTTGCAGGGTGGTTATCAAAGACAGAAGAGTGGCAGTACAGAATCAATATTACTACTAGTAGTACAAGCATACCGCACCAACTTACTGCCTCATGTAAGGTATCGGTACAGTACCTCATACACACGGCATCTCCCCGCTGACCCCCTACATCTGCTCACGGCAACAGCTTCGCTCACGGGCAGGCCAGTTCAAGTACGGCTAGGTACTACCATCTATACTGTAAAAGCAGTCAGATATCAAATCTCACCAACACAGCTCTCGTCTGCCCTTACATTTGGAGATGAGCATGAGATGGATAGCATCAAAACTTTTTTACCGCTAGTAGCCATCGAGCTCCACCCATTGCACGTTGGCTCCCCGACTCGAGTCGCAGAAACGAAACTCTATCACCACAGACGCAAACACAAACAAGAAACCCCCCGTCCAGCTATACCGTTATGGAGCAGCACAGCAGCACCACGCAGCACCACCATGACCATCGCGGCTAGCCTGAAATGCGCAGCCGGAAATGGTGTTTCTTATTTCTGCTGCCTGTGAGACCCCCCTCCCCCTCTTCTCCCTCTTCCTCTTGCTCTTGCTCTGCCTGGGTAGGTTAGCAGGTATTTTTCCTCTCCTTGTTATCTTCGTCTCCTTTTTTTTTTCTCTCTCTTCTTCTAACTTCAGCTTGCCTCAGTCTCAGCTCCCTCAATTTTCTGTAGGTTGTCTGCCTCTTCCTTTACACTCACGCCTCCTACTGTTCCATCACTCGTATACTTGCTTGCCCGTGTATATAAACTCTGATACAGCTCGTACTAGAGCCGACTACTAACCCAAAATGCTTATCCAGATGGTACTGCAGTTGGCCTAGTACGCGTACTAAGACGTCTTGAGCGTGGTACGTGCGCAGCTTCTGGCCGCACCCTTGCAGGGCTCCAGGGCTTGGACTTTTAATCACATACCGCCTCGCCTCACCTGTCACCCCAGCGCCACGACCTGACTTGACAAGCTCGCCCATGCAAGCCTTGCTCGTCCCATAGACCCAGTCGCGGTGCCAGTCCCGCTCGCCCAGCCGGCCATTCAGCCAGCCAGCCAGCCATCCCGCCCAGCGACTGCACGCCGTCCAGCTGCTAGCCTGGCTCCAGACGCGATGCTACCTTTGCAAGCACGCAGGTGTGATTTGGCCCGGTCAGCTAGCCAGCAGCAATGCCATCATGCAAACCACCGCTGGCTTCTGTTTCTTCTTTCTTCTTCTCTCGCTAATGCTGATGCTGCACTGTAGGTATGCTTGCTTGATTGCTTGATTGCTTGCTTGCTTGCTTGCTTGCGTCCTCTCAGACACAAAGCCCCTCCTTTCCCCCGTCCCGTACGGTACGGGATTAACGGCCGCTCCACACGCCGATCCAGAACGCGACAAAGTCTTCTGCTCTGCCGCTCAGTCAATCAGAGCCGTTTCATGACATCGCTTAGACGACGGCCGACGTTGGTTCCTCAACGGCCTCAACTCTAGCACCGTACCGTACGAGTACGAGCAGATACTTATGCCTACCAGAAGTTATTCCCACTCCCTAGTCTGGTACAACAAGTCCGGCATCTGCCATAACGGACACTTCGCCTCGTCTACGGGATTCAGCTAGCAAAACTCCATGCCCGGCACAGGGACCCAAGGGCCTCCAACACACATCCGCGCCATTCTCGAACGTCCAACCTGAAGCCTTAGCGCCTTTAGCCCACGGCACATTTTTTCTCTCTTTTCTCTTTTCTGCAACCCTGCAGCCCAGCCAGGCCCAGCAGAATCCACGGGCACACACGCACCCACACCCGCGCACACAGCTCGTGCATCAGCGTCCTGGCGCCCTCGCCCTCTGCGACAAACGCCGACTCGTCCCGTTCCTTTTTCGCCACACGCCAGAATCCCCTTCTACTCACTCAAAGTCCCCGTCCATCATGCCCCTTCTCCATCATTCCCACATTGGGCTAGAGCCGACGCTCAGACCCAGAAACCCTTCTCCACGCTAAAACACTTGTGCCGGACCTGCTCCACCCCCAAACAGGAAATTCCAGCCCAAGAGCCTGGCAAATTAAAATCGAGCGAGCTCGAGAAGGAAAAAATAAAGAGGCCGAGAAGCAACGAAGAGGGTGTGAGGGGACTAGGCAAAAACATCCTAGTCCATACTGTACTAGCACTGCTGCTGGTTAATCAAAGCAGAACAGCTGTCCATGCCAGCGCTGCGTCAGACCCCCCAAGAAGAAGGAAAAGACAGACCACTCGCCTCTCCCCGGTTGGCCAAGATGCGCGAAAAGGCGCCCCTCTCCGGCACTGCTGCCCCCTTCGCTCAGGCCTACAGTACAGTGAAACCCGCTTTCTCGAGTCCCCATAATTCCGCTCAAGTGATGACGATGCCGGCCCTGTCGTCGGTTGATGCTGCTGCCACTGCGTACAGTATACGGGGGGCATGTGCGTCCATGCATACAAGCATTGATGATATGATGCGATGCGATGCGATGCGATGCGATGCCACTGTCACTATCTCCCTATCTAAACACCGACCGCCCATATCTAGGTAATCTCATTACATTATGGCATCCATATTTTGCCATCTCATTAACGCCTCACGAGAAGAGGGGGGGAGGGGGGGTTGCTGTTGTCAATATGAGTAAGTTATATGAGCATGTTTGCAGACACGAGTAAGTTAGTCTCATATACGAGGCCTTGTGTTGACATTACGGGTACTTGTAGTATTTCTAGTTCTACTAATTCGCATGTAGATATAGGTGTGCGAAGCGTGTAGTGGCTGAGGAATGGAACTGGCGAGTAAGTCCCGAGTCCCGACGAAGGTGTATGTACGTATTGGTGAGTGAGTGATATTTGCATATCTACCCCAAAGGACTACAACACAGTATAACAACCTACTCTTCGCAATCTCGTATTGCAAATTACTACTGAAAGAAGCAGGCTACTTATCGCAACTAGCCTACCATATGGAGTCATTGAATGCAGTGGCAAGGTAGCAAAGAAAGAGGAAAGCAGCTACGACGACGATGATGAGATACCAAAAGGACCAAACAGTATAGGAAGAAGAAAGCAAACAAAACAAGCAAGACAAAGCAAGGCAGTCATATTACAGCCTGCATTCCGAGGTCATACTAGGGTAGTACGCAGTAGCAGTGCTACTACAAGTATTGATAATTGATACCTATTCCCTTGCAAGCCCTGGTCCTTCGTACATGAATGGATACAAGAATGGACGGCGTCGCAATGATGATGCCGCGTCGCATATATGTATGTATGTACATGCTCGTATGCAAGAGGGCTGCGATACCCGGTCAAGGTAGCACCAGGCAAACAATTTGACATGTCCCAACATCCAGTCCATCCATGGCATTGGATGCGTCAATGCTCCCCAAGACCAGGACCAGGTTCCTATCACAGCTGCGTCTTTCCTCTTCTCCATCTTTTTTTTTTCCCCATTCACCTTTCTTCCATACACACGCACACGCACATACAAGTATGTGTGCATATATACGTCCAGTCCACAGGCTGACTGAAACCCCCGTCTTTATCGCCTTTGCTCCATACTCCAGCGATCCCGTCTTGTTCAATGTCGTATTCTATCCCACGTCCAAGCGCTGACTGCCGCCTGCAACTGCAGCAAGGCCCTCTACTGTACCTCTCTCCTCTCTTGTCCGTCTCTCTCTAACTCTCTCTTTCTCTCTCTCTTTCTCGCTCGCTCACTCCGCTCTCCACTCACAGCCCGATCGATCAGCAGAAGGATAACCCCTGTTTCGCCTCCTTGTTTATTTTGCTCCTCATTCTTATCCTCTCGCTGTACTTGCCCAGGTAGGCATACACGTGCTCTATCCATCTACTGTATGAATCGGTATCACCATAAACGGTCCATGGTCTATAACCAGGGGATATCACGTCAGTTCAAACATGGTACATGGCCTTGTTCGGAGACAATCCCGCCCAATGCCCATTCGTCCGATTTTTTTTTTTTTTTTTTTTTTACCTCATCTCGCATTGCCCGCCTGATGTCATGCTATATATTGTTGTACGGCTTTTAAAACATCGCAAGTGTATGTGCATACATTTTGCAGACCTGGTCCTGCGGCATGCATCTTACAGCTTAGCGCCAATGAAGCACCGAGGTATATTCCCAGGCAGGCAGTTTCACTTACCACTACCACCTTGGCTATGCCGCTTTTACTGCACAAAGCTGCTCTCCATGCCACTAAGGCCCATGTACGGTTAGTACTATTCGTAGTATCGAGGCATACGAGCTGGGCTCTCTTCATCATCTTCTTCTTCTCTCGGACTTTGTTCTGTCTCCCATTGAACATCATCGGACATTGAATATCATCGGAATTAAAAACTAGTACTAGTAGTAATCAAGTAGGGTATTACATGCTATGAGCCATACTGATTAAAGAAAATTAAGACTAAAGGAAATCTTAAAAGGTTTAACAAATTCAAGCAAATGACGCTACACCGTGTAATAGGTCGTACGTGTAGTAGCTTCTAAGCTCATGTTGAATGAAGGGCACGGCCTCTTTTCTTTTCTTCGTTTCATCTGATTTCCCATTCGCTGCCATGCCATGCCATTCCCTATATTTCGCCATACTGATAGTAATACCGCAAACTCGTCGAGAAAATCCCCAATGGCTGTCTCTCCTTTCATCTCAAAAGACAGGCGCCAATTCCAATCCGTGTCTAAGGAAAATGCAAGACGGAGGGAAGAATAAAAATAAAACAAGTACCCACCAGCGCCGGATGCCATCTTTGCGCCTCACACCCCTGCGAGAAGACTGTGTTGTTGCCGTCTAACCCTCCCTCCCTATCTCTCTCTCTGTGTGTCTGTTTCGTCACCGCCACATTCGAAAGGTGTCCATTAGCTAATGTTACCCAGCGATAGTCTGTAATGCGTGGGATGAGTTGCAGGGTCTGCTTTTTGACCCCCCTGGCTTCATCTTTCTTTTTATTTCTTGCTTTATGGCACATCTCCCCTCTATTCGTCTCGCGACCACGTCTTCTCTCGGAGAGGCTTCTCCTCGCCCTTCTTCTCACGACTTCCGTCCGCCTCAGCCTTGTAGGCCCAGTACTCGCCGAGCCTCAGCTCAGCGTATGAGGCATAGTCGAAGGCAATGTGCGAGATAGTAGCTTGGATCAAGGCCCAGATACCCCAATAGAAGCCGGGGACTCCGCGGAAGACATCCACCTCCTGCATGAGCTTATCAGTCTCTTCTTGTACGTCCATGGGCGTGGCTGAAAGCTTGGCATATGCTGCAATGTATTCGCGGATAAAGGCATATCGCTGCGACCGGGTTGGGATGGCTGCATAGTCGCAGTCATACCCTGCAAACTCGGCAAAGTGGTTGGAAATGTCAAACGCAGCCGGTGACGGTGTAGCGTATTCGTAGTCGATGAAGCTCACGGAAAGCTCCTGACCGGGCTCGCGGTGGATAATGATGTTTGCGCTGAGCAAATCGCAATGGGCAAAGACCAGCTGTACAATTACATGTTTGGTTAGCAGGGACACACGCATGTCGGGAACGGGTGGAAGGAATACATACCCCATTGTGCCCCAGTCCTGGGCGCTGGCTGAGCTTCTCAATCATCTCCTCCAGCTCCCGCTGCAGCAGGGCCTGTCTCTCGCGCTGCTGCTCCGTCTCCGTTGGCAGGGCCAGGATCCATTTCTGCATAGTCGACCAGAGGTTGGGGATCGGCTTGCCCGCTGCAGCCTTGACGATCATGGCCTTGCGGCTGTCGTCTTCTTCGGAGCTGCCGTCTGCTGCAGGCGCCTCTCCCTTGATTGCCGAGTCGGGTAGACACGGCACTGTGGCATGCCACTGGGCCAGCCTTCGAGCAACAGCTGCAATCAGCGCCGGATCGGAGAGGTCCTTGGCCTGGGCAACGGTGCCGGGCACGAAGCGGTAGAGCATGCCATTGGCAAAGCGCGCCAGCAGCTCCGGCGCCAGGCCGTGCTTCATCAGCAGCTCGTGGTTCGCGGCCTCGCGTTCTCGGTCGATAATCACGGCGGTGCCATTGCCGTAGGCGCGCAGCAGCACGGCATCCCGGTCCACCTCGGCCTTGGACAGGCCCGGCTGCCGATGGACGGCCTTGAGCAGCGTGTTAGTGATGCCGTCGGTGAAGCGGATGAAGTCGATGTCGTCTCTGGTCCATTGGGGAAACAGGCTTTGGATGAGCCTCAGGGCCGATTCTTGTGAGTCGCTGCTGTCGTAGGTGATGGGGAGGAATCTGACGTGCCCGTGGGCAGCGCCGCTGGTGGTGGCAGCTGGAGACATGGTTTGTTGGAGGATGGTGTGGCGAAAGGCGGAGAGAGGGATCAAGTTGGGGATGGTAGAAGTAGAAATCGAAATAGACGGGGAGCAATGGATCACGCGCGGGGCGAAGCTTTCATCTAACGGTTCTTTCTCAACTCTAGTCTCTATACTGGGCTTTGGACCATGGGTTTGCGAGGCTGTTTAGGGTTGATAATGAAGTTGGGCCAGAGTCAGGGGCTTCTGCGTCTCTTCTGTCGACTACAGGCAAGCTGGAGGGGTCGCTGCGGTGTCGAGAGTGCGACAATAGAGAGTGCGACAATAGACTCGCAACACAAGAGCAAGCGGAATGGTATTGTATTGGCCAAGCCGATATGTTTTGTTGCTTCAGTAGGTAGCACTTGTGGCGCGGTGATGCTGAGGCGACTCCAAGCAAGCTGGTTTTTGTATTCCCTCAAAGGACCGGCGAATGGACGGAGGCGCACAAACAATGGGAGAATCGCACACGACCTGTTGCCCTCCCCAGCCGTTGGCGTTTTTTGTGTGAGAAAAAGACTTAAAGGAGCGTCAAATAGGGCGGGCCGCTTGTGGAAGGGTACGCATGTGATGGTGGCCAGAAACGAGGAGACGGGCCAAATTAGGGGCTTGGGGCGAGGCGGGCGGCGAATCAACGGATCGGCCTGGGGGTCTGCGCTGGAGCCGGTACGTTGGGGCTATCGATGCTCGAGCCTGCAGGGTCCAATAACGCCGGACGCAGGGCACAAATAGCTGTTGAAGCTGTTGAAGCTGTTGAAGCTGAAGTATTAGGGATACCCTGTATGTAGCGCCACTGGAGTTGGCACGCGAGGATGCCGAATTTTTGTTGGGAGTGCGGATATGGGATTGGCAGCACGAGATCCCTGTCAGCTGGCCAAGCGCAAAGTCCAACGCATGTACTTTTCAGCGTCTTCAATTCGTGAAATCTACTGCCACAGTACTTTGCACGTGCTTTTGGAACGTGACTGCGCTAGCGATAGGCATTAAATTGCTTTTAGCAGAGGTCCCTTAAAACTGAACGCCCGATGAATCTGTTCACCGCCTTGCTGAAGAGCGCTCGTTTGTGTGCTTGTATTGATGTAGATAGGAAGAGACAGACAGCAAGAGGTGTAGACAAGAGGTGTAGAGGCGAGGCTCCTCGCGCGCTGACGTCAATCCTCACAGAGATAGAAATGACACATCGGATCTATACTCCCGCGCCTTTCACAACAGGTGCATGATAGATGGGTGGATGAATTAATCACCAGCAAAGGGGACGTCATTGCTCTCGGCTGGGGACTGGCAAGGCTGCGTCTAGAAGCGTCCATTTTGAGTCTGAGCTGCAAAAAGCCCCTGTTGAAAAGTACATGTAGTATCGATGCCCTGTGATGAGGTGCCGCGTTAATTGCTAAAGGCACCGAGATACAGGGACCTTTGCAGCGGAGGGTCGCAAGTTTAGGCCCTTCTCCAGCTGCCCCGCACTCGCTACCGGCTGTGGTACAAGATTTGGGGGGCCAGAAGCTGGCTGCTGCTTCGTAAGGCTTTGTACCACTGTACTTGGGGCCTACTGTACGCAATGAGCGGGCGTTGGAAGTACCTTGATAGCAAACTCAGCTTGATGCAGGTTAGCGATGGCTTAACGCTTCAACAACCTCCATCGTCAACACCAACCCGGCAGCGTCTTGGCCATCACGGGAGCCTCAAGAGATAAGGAGCCATCGGAGCTACTAAATACTACCGAGCACTTATACTCTCAATTTACTGCTAGTGGCCCATCAGCATCATCACTGCTGCTCATCTCCCACAGCAAGGCCGGTGCAGACTCATTTCGTGTCCCTCCCCGGCAAGCAGCGCCTTCACAACCACAGCCGGGATTGCTAGGGGCCGTCGCATCATGTAAGGCGGCCTCCTGTCCGCGGAATCTGCAGCCATGTCCTGCGTCAACGATGAAAACTTCGTGGCCGTCGCGCTCGTCATCAACCGCTCTCGCGACGGGCCCGCCTTCGTCTTCCACTATCCCTCCCATGTTTCGGCGCTCTCCAATCTCGCCGACAAGGCCAAGGACGTGGACGCCGAGGACGTGCTTTTTGAGCGCCTGTCACAGTCTTCTGGCGCTGAGCCCGCGCCGGAGCCCTCCGAGAACCGTGGCGCTATTCGTGATGATCACTACGTGACCGAATCGGGATCGCAAGTCGTGCCATGGGAACATGTAGCCGGCTTTCCAGCCCGTGATCTTGCCGGCATCTTGACTCCTGCTCGGTCCTATCACAAGAAGCTTTTCCAGCTCTCTCTCGACCCGCTGCTCTGCGTCTCTTACCCCATCCATGTACCTGAGAATGGCAAGTGGAAGAAGCCCAAAAAGGCCAGCAAGGCAAAGGCTGCCAAGGACCTTGATGAGGGCATCGCACCAGACGAGCCCAACCCTCCCGTGCGTGTGACCAAGGCCGAGCCAAGCAAAGAAAAGGCTAAAGAGGGCAAGAAGGATGAGACGGAAGAAGAGAAGCGAAGCTCCATGACCATGTTCAACTTGGTCTTCTTCCTGAATCCCAAGAAGCATGAAACCAGGGAGCTCGTGGACTCTTTGTATTCCAACATTGTGAAAAAGGTCAACAAAGCGTACCAGTACAGCCAACAGCACAGCGAGTTTGTATGGAAGGAGTCTAAACGCATCCTCGCCGCAAAAGACAGAGCTCGTGAAGAAAGTGAGTAACTCCTCGGTTTTATAAGCCACAAGGCAAATAGACGGAAACTAAAAAACATTGATGCAGAAAAGAAGATGAGTGCTCTATGGAAAGAATTAACCCAAAACTCCTCATTGGCAGCGTCCATGCGTGAAATCTACGACGCCGTCTCTCAGAACAGGATTGCCACTTTGCATCTGGATACTGTCGATGGCATCCTGACACCGTCTGTTCAGATCCCCGTCCCCCTATTCGTTGCGGATCTACCTCCGGAAGACGACGAGCGGCATCGCGGGCTTTGGCTCACCACGGCGAATGCCTTCCTAAGCCAGGATGCCCTCGAAGAGCCGGGGTTCTTGGATCGCAACTTTGCTCTCCTGCTCACAGACGATGAAAAGAAGATTGTCGCTGAGCTGGGGAATGATCGGGATCCCACCGCTTCGTCCATGGCTGAGTTTGCGCGGCTCTCCAAGCCGACAATGTCGTAAGTCTTTTGACGACTCAATTTGCACTCGTCCTCTTTGTACTAACTGATCCTCTCTCTTCAAGCTTCTATCAAGTGGGCCAAAGCAACACCCTGACTCTGGATCAAGTCCGCAAGTACGCCCAGCACTTCATCTTTTGGCGCCGTGCCATGGCCATCCCGCCACTTCATCCTCGTGACATCTACATGGTCTCTCCAAACTGCGACCTTGAGAGGCTATCTCAAGATGCCCAAGACTGGCAGACGGCCTTTCCTCTGGCTCCGCCTCTGCCGACATTCCTAGCTGAGCTCTCCGTCATGCCTCGGCCTTATAAATTCATCACTCCCAGCAAGGCTCACCGACCGCTCTATCTCCGCATGCTTGCTTGGTTGATGCGAGGCGGCTGGGTGACCCAGCTCTGCACGTTTGCCTACGTCGTTGTATGGCCGGAAATATTGTACGAGGTTGACTACGAGATCGAAGCAGAGGAACTCGGCGTTGCCACCTCCTCAGTCGACGGAACCGACACCACTAGCATCCACACCGCCCAAAGCACTCTGGATGGGCAATCCACACACTCATCACTCACATCGCCGCCGCCACAACTACCTTCACAGCAGCAACCACAGCAATCACAGACCCAGGCACAGGCACAGCCAAACATGCCCAACCCATCCACCACATCCGCAGCCGAACACTCCGCCGAAATGGCCCGCCTCGAGCGCATCGCCATGAAGGCCCACCGCGAACTCGCCGACAAAGCCACCGCCCACGCCCGCAAAGTCGCCCCCGTCGCAACCACTAACCCGTCCCTCAACGAAGCGCCTCATCTCGCCGGCCTCACGCCGCACATCATCGTCGACCCCAAAAAGGCCACGGGTAAAGAGTCGCGGTACCTCTCTGCCATTGCGCGGCGCTTCAAAGACGAGGAGCACCGCTCGGCGTGGCAGCTCATGTGTAAATACTTTGATGGGCGGTGTGCGTTGGAGAGAATCGCTCTGCAGGAGGACATGAAGCGGAAGAAGACGTGGACGCTGGTGACGAGTATGAGAGAGTACCTTTTGACTACAAGACATTGGTGAAACTACCTGAGATAGTTTTAAGACCTTAATCAATTGCTAGTACTTGGATGTTACTATAGTTCTTGAATACGCACTAATAGAAACACGTTACATGAGTTGAAAAGGGGCACAAGAGAAGGCTTTCGTAGCAAAAAGAGGACATAAAAGTAAGTCATTTATTGGTCATGAGTGGTATCTGAAGTAATGTAAGAAATTGAAAACAGCAAAGCAGTCAAGAGGATGCAAAGAGATGTTGATAGGTTAAAGAAATTAAGTAAGTATATAGATGTGTAATCCTCCAAATAAAGCCTAAAGAAGAAAAAAAGAAGAAAATGTCAGAAAAAAAAGGAAAGATGGGCTGTGTATCAGCAGTTCAATCATCAATCATATCCCTAAAATCTCTTCTCCAGAAGAAGCGACCAAAGTCGGGCCCCTTATCATGAGAAAAGAAAAAGAGGGCATGAAAGCCCAAAGTCCAGTCATAAGGGGAGAAACATCTCACTCTGAGAGCCTATGTCCCTTCTGTATCGTGCCCGCCAAAGCAAAACCAGCAAAACCAAATACATATCTCATAAAGGGTTGTAGTAGATACCAATACAGCCTGTAACAGCTATAAAGGCACATGTGTATATATGTATAAGAGGAAAAAAAAAAGGGAGAGGCTTGAGCGTATCAAAAACGTCGATAGCGAAGAGTGACTCGCAACTCCTTAGTACCGCAATGCAATATATGAAAAAGCAAAGAAAAACAGGCGTGGTAAAACAACCAGGAAAGCAAATAGACTCAATCCATCCTATTTATAAAAAGCCGTGCCAAAAAAGCCGTTGCCTATAGCAAACACCCTATCACTCCAAAAAAAGACGAGGCCCTGCCGGTGTGATAGATGACACCTAAAACGCCGCCAGTATGGGCACTCGGACATGTTCTTCTTGAAACGCCAGAGTGATGCAAATTTCCTCCTTCCCAAGACGTTGACTGCTAACGCAGAAGCAAACATCGCCAGACGGAGTAAGAAAAAAAAGGAAAAGGGTACCAAAACACACAAGATAGAAGGAGGTGGATAAACGCGATAAGAAGTCAAACATCTTAGCCGCGAATAGCCATCTATTGAGTGAGATCCATATCATACTCGTCTTCTTCCTTGAAGTTGATAGGCCCATTGGGGTCATCGTCCGCCCAGAAGTGTACACCGTCTCCAATATCGCCGGGCATGCCACCACTGCCACTACCCTCAGGGGTGATGCCTACTGAGTCAAGATTGGCGCCCATGTCGTGGGTAGTAGGCTCACCGTGGTAATCAGTGTGGTGAGGCACCCTGAGGCCACTGCCAGACGTACGGGAGTATTCAAAGGTTGACGGGTTGTTCTTGGATATGGCATCCATGAGCTCGGACTGCATGCGGCGTTCATCGTCGCTTTGTTCAAAAGGCAGTTGACCTCCCAAGTCGGCGATGGTGTGAATCAGCTCTTCCTGTTGCTGCAGCTTGAGATGCAGCATCCACATCAGATCTCGAGTCCAGCTGACAGCACCATTGAGAATGTCGCCCTTGTTAGGGCCCTTGTCTTTATCCTCGATGGGAAGGCCAGTTGTGATATTGCCAGCGCCAGAGCCAGTAGCTCTGCGAGCGCCTGGTCCGGCTAGCCCAGAGGTAGCGTTTACACCGGTGAGGGTAGGTGAGAGAGGTGTGCCGTTGGAAATCAGTTTGCGAACTTTTTCGTCTTCCAGTCTGTGTCCAGGGACGAGCTTGCTGAGATCTTGGATGCGCTCGTTGATGTTGTCGCGGCGACGACGCTCAACGAGGTTGTGGGATTCACGACGACGCTTCCTCTTCATTTCCTGGGTAGACATGGCGCCACCAGGTCCCACTCCAAGCTTGGCTGGCATAGAAGTGCCGCCTTTCATCATCACCTCGTTAATCTGCACCATGTTTGGCTGCATAGGAGACGAAAATCCAGAATTGAAAGAGGCTGGAATGCTTCCGCTAGGAGTCTGGAGCCATTGGCCCGACGGCGACTTGTCTGCTCTAAGAGACTGAGGGCCAAAGCCGGGAGAATCATGTGCACTTCCGATGGGAATGCCGTGCATGCTATTGGTCTTGGGAGTCATTGGTGTTCTAGTGTTGGAGGCTTTCCTCTGCATCTGAACCGACATGCGGGCGGCCCTCGCTTTGGCGTTGAGGTAGCTGGGATCAGTTCCGTCTGCCATGTCAGCGGCAGCCAGAGGAGACTGCGAGTAGGACAATGGTGACTGCAGATTGCCGAGAGTGCGGTAGTGTGTGTTGCCGTATGCATACGGGCTCTGGATGGGGTCCCCATCTGGAGTGTTTGAGTAGCCGTTCATTTGAGCGGCGTCGATTTGTAAACCAGAACCGCGGTGTGACTGGAAGTTGTTCTGGTAAGTCATGCTCAAGCCATGAAAGTCTTGGCCTTGGCCGTGAAGGCCAGATTGTCCGTCTGAGGCGAGGCCATCAAGCAGCTCATCATCGCCGAATACGGCAGAGCCGCTCGAGAAGCCATTTGTGTTGGAGTTTGTATTGTAGTTATTGTTGGCGAAAGACGGGGAGTATGTTCCCGACATGGCCAACTCGTTGGGATCGATATGGCTATTATTGGGGCCAGACCCAAACTGGGTGAAGCCGTGCTGGGCCATCGCAATAAAAGGTCGATTCCTTGATCGACACAGATGGCTCACAGTTGGCTAATATGAGATGGAAACAAGACTTTGTATCGTTATTTGCTCGTTTAGTGGTTCAAGGTGCTCTTTCAATGCGCTTTGTTGATTGCTTGATGGGGCGACCGGGAGCGGTCTCGGAATTCTGAAGATCGGCGAGAAATGCCTGAACAAGGAGCGGTTTGCAGGCTACAAGAGGGGAGGGAAAAAAAAGGTCAGAAAGTTTTGCCCAGTTAAATATGCCCAGAGCCTGCGCGATCCAACGAATGCTGATCAAAGGGCCGGCGGCAACGACGGAGCCTTTGGGCTTGACGTGGCGCAACACCGGAAGAGCAACAACGGAGGATGCCGTTTGAATACGTAGGAGGGGCTGACAAAAGAAGAGGGACTAACTCTGAGACCAAAAAAAGGGCACGTTTAGCCCTTTGTCTTGCTAGTAACGTTGCTAGATGATCGATTCGATGCAGAAAGGCGAAGCGCGAGATTTGTCCACCGTATCCAGGACAGATGGGCGCAGTGTCTGAGAGAGCTGAGATGCGAGCGTCGGAGGGGTTTGGCGACGATTGCTTTTTGTGAGCAAGGGCCGAAGTCGTTCGGCAATGCGCTGTGCGAAGAAAAAAAATAAATAGTGCAGGGTACAAGCAGTAGCCGGTCGATGGGAGGGGCGGAAATGGCGGGCTGCTGTGTAACTAGCTGGGGTGCAGGCGGTGACGGGCGCTTGGGAATCCGCAATATGCGCAGTCAGAAACCAAGCAGCGATGACGATGTGGAGGTGATGAAGCCTCAGTGGAAGCAACACGGAGCAAATCACAGCGAGGCCTGCACTGCGCGGTTTATTATTAGCTTGCTGGGTTGCGGCCAAGTGGTGCGCTGAGCCTTGGATGGAGGAGGGACCGGTGGTGGTAGGTGGTGAGTGGTGAGGGGAAGAGACGGGCCAAGATCTGCCCACAGCGGGATGGGCGCGGCTCTAATGTTCTTTTGACCTCTCGTGAGGGGTGTTGCAGCGAGCCCAGATGCGATGCCACCTGCGGGGAGAGGAGAATGAGGGAGAATGTGAGGGGGATGCAGAGGGAGGGATGCAGAAGAAGGGATGGAGGGACCGACGACCTCAGCCGCTTCGACTTACCAAGTATGGATGTTGTTATAGGTACCTGGGAGTGGAGGTGACAGTCGTGAGTTGTAGGTATCGTACGGGATATCGTATGTATCTCGCAGCTCAGCGGTATTTGTATGCGCGAATCAGGTATTCCGCAAGGGTAGCGCGGCAACTGCTCCGACAAAATACAGAAAAAAAAACGTCTTTATGTCGGCGTATTCATAAAAAGCACCCAAATATGCATGCAATATGTCTTCAATGTTCCGTCGCGGCGGTAGGATGGCTTGGCGCCTGTCTGGTTTGGTAAGCGGGCTGCGAAACCCTGCGCGCCGCGTAGCACAATGACGAAAGGGTGAGGTTGGCCCACCGTCTCTAAATAGAAGTCAACCACCTAAACAAGGCGGCTAGAAGGCTGCTGGAAAGAGTCGCTCGGGGAGAGGAGAGCGAGAGAGTTTCGGTGCGCCGGGGAGGCTGCGGGCACTAGCAGGAGGATGAAGCTGCTCGCCGGATGGAGTAATAGTAATCCGGTATTATTGGCGGCAGCACTGCAACGGATGCGCGTATATGCGAGCTGTGCAGATATGCTGTGCAGGAGATGAGAGGTGCGTGGTGAGCGAGATGGCGAGTAATGGGATGCAGAAACCAAGATCAACCGGCGCTGTTTGCGGTGGGACGGGGCGCTCAAATATTGAATCCTGGCCTTTGCGTCTTTGGCTGTGCCCCGTGCAATAGCAGCTGGACTGGAGCAGTGATACCGACTGCTGTTCTGGTGGGGGGAGGGGAAGGAAGATAGCGAGATCTTTCGCCTTTGCCTGGAGCTGCGTTAGCAAAGCCCCTGCTAGTGCAGATGGGCTAGACGCCAAGACGCACGACTTCTCGGATCTGTCTCTAGTAATCGCCCTCTAGCAGGCGAGCTGAAGGGACTTGTGGCCGAGCGTGCAGCAGTAGCTGGAGAATTGTTCGGCTCGAAGGAACACGGTAGCGGTAGCGGCAATAGCGCGGTGTGATTATTTGGCGGTTATTGGCAGGCCAAAATGAAAGGCTGTTTAAAGTAGGTAGTTGAGTGTAGGATGGATGGATGGGCAGAAGAGCAGGCGGGCGCCTGGTGGTGGTGGCCGCGATGAGCTGATAGGCCGCTGGGCGGTGTCAAGTGCTTGGGAGCTTGCGATTCTTATTCTTCTGCTGGCCCTCTGCCTTTTGTTTAAACTCTGTCGCCTGCAGCCTTACTCTCACTCGCAACCGGGCTGCTGGCGAATAAGGACGCGGCGTAGGACTGGATTATGCCCGATGGAGAAGCCTAGCTGACGACGATCAAAGGGCCAGACAAAGCAATAACTCGTGTTAGTTTCGGTTCGGTAGCTAACCCTCCATTCGGTTCGCTCTAGTTGCCGCTTTTCGATGGCCTGGCCGGTGGTGTCCCAGATGTGGTCTAGTAGCTGATGCTGATATCCGGTTTTGCGCTGATTGTTGCTCGAGGACTCGTACGGGTATACACAGATGCAAGTGCTTATACATATATGTACGTGATGAGACGGGCCAAAGCTTAGTAGCAGCTACCTGACTTGCTGTTGTCGTTGGCTGAAGCGTAGTAGGTATGAGTCGGGCCGTGCGGGCTGTCTTTTGGTTATCAGTATGTGGTAGAGCTTTAGGCTGCAGCTTTATATACAAACTTTGTGCTTTGTTGCCTTGCCTGTTCCGGGTGCTGTTTTTTTTTTTTTTTGGCAGAGGCAGACGCAACGAGTTAATCAAGGCAAAGCCAAAGAAGAATAAAGCAATGGGTAGCGCGGACAGATGCACAATGATAGAGAATATGGATCATTTCAAATCTCCATTCGAAAACTCGGCAGCAAGGTACCCGAGCCTCAGTTTTATAATCGCCGCCGGTAGCTAAAAATACCGAGACTCTAGTACGCGAAAAGCATCGATGCTTGCTTCGTCTTCTGACTTGCCTAGGGCGCGCGAGATGGTGGCCCGTACCCATCTCTCTACTTTCAGCATCCACACCCCCCGTTGCTACATACTTACAAAGAGGGAGGGGGACAGGCGTATAGGTAGGTAAGTACGAACCAGGTCGAGCGTGACTTGACTTATCAACCGCGTCCCTCGCTATAAACCCGGGGCCTCTTCCCATCGCCCACCGTTGTGAACCATTGCAGTGTCTCGCCTGGTCATGCGTTCCCAGCCCTTCCGCGAACCAGATACCGCTCTGGCCACGCGGTCATGTAAGGCACCGGTTGCAGAGGTCAGCCACGATGTCGATGACGATGACGATCTGTTTCTGCACTCTTCTGCCCTCTTCTGCTTCATTCTCCAGGCTCCGCTTCAACCGTGGCGGTGCTTCGTGTTGGGCTGAGCTGAGTATCGGATACAGACACATACAGTACGCATAACTACCAAGGTAGGCAGATCAAGCCAGGTTCAGGCACGCTCGCCAAAGATAAAGAGACTAAATGTGTCTGGGTGTGGTGTACACGGAATACGGAGTACGGAATACGGAGTACGGAGCGGCAGGCGCTGCAGCCAACTCAAGCCTCATCCGGCCAACTGCCCAAGGCAGGTATTTGCCTTTTCACGATAGGCTGCCGTTTCAAGGAAGCGATCAGCATGGGGGAGAAAAGAAATAGGTCTTGGTCAACGCCTTTTGCTTTCATGGAATGCAGAAACCTCTCCCCCACGCTACCATGCCCCGTCGCCGTTGCACCAAGACATGCTCGCTTGTGCTCAATGACGTTGTGGCCTTATCGCTATCGTCCTATCCATGCCGAGGTGAGCGGCATTCGCTAGCGGCATTCTCACCTTGGGGAGATTTTAGAGCTCGAGCTCGCTGAACCCCAGCGGTGCTACCACCCCGTAGTTGCGCCCTGGCCCCAGTGCTGCCAATCATGTGCCCCCTCCAACGACGTATCGACTTCCATCCCACACCCCCAGTTTCTGGCCCAAACCTCCACCCGTCAAACATCTCGCTCCCGCTGCCAGATTTCACATCCCGACCTGCTGTGGCCATCGTCGACGCCCTCGACCGCTTCGACCGCTGCTCTAGCTCTCCCCCACCATCCATTGCCGCCCGTGCTCGTCCAGCGGTACGCGCGGTCGCGATCTCTCCCGACGCGGCCGCTGCCTCGTGCCCGTTTGTCGCCTCACGACAGCTCCAGCGCCTGTAGGCTTCTCTCGTTCTCTCGCCCCATCCACCCTCCATCTCGCTTGCGCCAGTGTCTCGTCGAGCTACTCTTCCCCAAGCCACATTCTGCGCTTCTATACATATTTGATCATGCCCCCTGACTGACCATGTCTCTAGTGGAGCTAGCAGTTTCTAAGCTCTTAGGGCTGTCATCTCTCTGCTATTGTTGATCGAGAGACAAGAGGCCCCCCCTCCCATCCGTCTCTTGCATTTGCCGTTTGACTTGAAGGCTTTGCCGTGTCGATCGGGTGTTCTAATTGCCCGCCGCTGCTGTCAAACTTTGGGGATACGAGTTTCGGCCGTACTATGGCTTCCGCGAGTTTTCGAGATTCCATCAACTCCCTGGGCTGGAGTCGTCGTCAAGATGCGCCCATCACAACAACACAGCAGTCATCTGGCCTCTTATCCTCTCTCCAGAGTCTGAATCCCTTCCAGGATCGTGGATATACGATTCTTCCCACATCGGAAGGTCCTGGAGCACCTCTGCCGGCGCCCAGTCGGCGTGAAGAAGAGGAAGGCTGGTTCGTTTGTGAGTCAATCTGGGCATTGTCCCATCATCCACATCGCAGGCAACCCCCCCTGCAGGCAAAAACATGTGCATTGCAGCTCTAGCTCGGACTTAAGATGCTGCATGTGATGCAGATGCTACGCCTCGTGGCTAGATGTAGCTAACATGGAGTAGTGAGTCGATGGGATCGCATGCTGGTATTTGCCTTTTGCAATCTCGCTGCCGCTGCCTGTTTCGTCATCTGCTTCACCCTCTTCCCTGTCCTTTCTCTGAGACCACGCAAATTTGTGATTCTGTAAGTCTTGGATGACGTCGTCCTCTCCCCTTGACAATTGCTGCTCGCCCACCTTTTGCTGCTGCTTCGACCCCTCTGCTCCCCAACAATCCAACCTTGACACCTGCCACACCCATTCACACAAGCATGCACACAATATATGCACGGCTGGAGTTCTCGGTAGACGGTATTTGCATGAATTACCTGCATGCGTCTATACCTGCCGGAGCCAATACCCCTTGTACAAGCATTTGCGCAGCGCTAACCCCCCACTTAGATGGACGGTTGGATCGGCACTCTTCCTGGCATCTTTTGCTGCCGTTATGGGACCTATGAATTACATCTATCACCTTTTCTCCACGCCTAGACTGCCATTTACCGCTGCCTACTTTGGATCCATAGCAATGACCCTCGTGTTTGCTATCAAGGTATGTTGAACTCCAACAAGCAGGAAAGAGAAGTGGAAGAGAATTGGCTTGGCTGCAACATAATTAGAAGAGGTGTGCTAACATAAACAAGGTCCATAGCACCATTCTCACCCTTTTCGCGTCCTTGATTCAACTTGCTGCTCTGATTTGGTATCTGGTCAGCTATTTCCCGATGGGCTCCACGGGTTTGCGCCTGGCTACTTCGTTCGGAGCAAGACAAGCGACTGCATGGCTTTCCGGGTGAGTGCTGGCCAATACGTGTTAGCAAGCGGGGGTTCCATCAGTCCACCGATATAAAAGTGACCCCCCATGATGTTCCTTTGATAGGATTCTGTTACTTTATTTTGTAATGCTTATGGATATATGTAATCATGTGAGGAGTCTGGCTAAAGCTGCAAATCATTTCATGAACAGCCAGTTGCTGAGAAGTGGCCCATTCTGGCGACGAGCGTAAATCTGATAAGAAGCATACTATGTATAATCTAGAAAATTTACCGATAACCGTCGATCAACTTGATGCATGAGGATACCCTCCTCTAGGGGCTACTGATGCATAAATCTCCCCGAGTATGGGCTAAAAACACGGCACATCTTAACCACGTGCCGGGAATTTGCATATAGACTGGCAAAATGGACCGCCAACGAGAGGTCACCTGCCATATTAGAGGCCTTTGGATACAGCAGCAGCCGGTAGGAGGCGTGATTGTGATTGGCCATCTTGGACATCCTCTGCGCTCTGTACCACCCATTATCCCTTTGATGGCTGTCATGCTGGGTGATCCCCCAGGTACTAGTACCGTATAACAATGGAATGAGATGCGCAACACGCCGGTACCTACCTTAGCAGATTCTTTGCACGTCGAATGGGAGACGCCGCATGTCCAAATGAGCATAAATTTAGTGCTACTAGTAGAGTTTGTGCAACGTGCCAGAGCGACACGCCGCTTAAACGCCGTTTCTGTCTCTGCTGGTCGTTGGGGCGCCATCTCCGAGTGCCGCAACTCTGCCCAAAGGTAAGAGGCTGGTATGCAGATTGTACCTGTACTGCCCTAATGCTGGAAAACAGTGGCCGTAGCTTAGTACTTATTTCGCCAGAGGTAGCACTACGTCAAGGCGCCCAGACAAAGCGCAAGCCACAGTCTCTGCCATGAAGCAAACAAATCCTTAGTACAAGTACGGCTGTATGTGTAAGCGCCGGAGGAGCCATATCCGTAAGTTAGTTCCTGTACTGGGCTGGGAAGGGGGACAAAAAAGGAGTCCATGTCCATGGGGCATCTGCGTGCAAATGCGGAAACAGGAAACTGAGCTGAGATGAGCTTGCTGCGGTCTGCTACTCAAGTTGCTTTTTTTCTTTGACCTGGCATCGCTTTTTGTGACGCCCGCAAAAAGGAGGGTGGGTGGTCAAATGTTGCGTTGCAAGCAAGAATCTGCCACTACCAGGTATGAGACAAGGCGCCTCGGCAAAGATGACTCTTACGATGACTGCGGCCCACGTATTACTCGTAATATGGCAGCCAGGCAGGTTTCCTGTATTACTATTACTACTAGTATTAGCAACAGGTGGTCGCATTTGCGTCTCACCAAACGTGTTCCTGCTTGTGTGCTCCTCCACATTTAAAGTACCGCTACCTTGTCATGGGGCGCATGAGAGATTTAAAAAGCAGGCGCGGCAAATGCCAGGCTTGATGTACCTTGGTTAGTCTTGAGGGGGGAGGAGAGAGGAGACAGAACATGCCAACCATCGATGACAGTTCCGGCGTCTACTTTTATTCTCCTACATTTAGAGGAAATTTGAAAAATTAGTGCCCGCTCCATGTGATCGATCTCGGGATATCGCTTGTCGATAAGAGCGATAAGGGATAAGGGATACCTGATCTATATCAAGAAAAGATATAATGGATCGGGAACACCATCCATGATGAATGGGCAGAGTGTCGTGATAACGCGGGCGATCTCCCGGCACGGCACACAGCCTGTTGATCACGGAAACAAGCAAAAAAAGACAGGCCCGGGGGGGGCTTGGTAGGTACATTCATTATGCACGGCCGCAAAGAGAAAGTCGAAAGCCTCACCTTTTCTCGGGCTGCCAATAAGAAGAATTGCCCACAATCAGAGCTACATGCGACCCGACCGCAAGCCCCGAACAAAACGCAACGCAACGCAACGCATTCCCGCGGCTGAAGCGTCCCTCCGAAAAGAGACTGGCCGCAGGTTATTTATTGGGAAATAAAACACGCTTGATTGAGTGCCTTGCCTTGCCTTGCCTTGCCGCTTGGCCCTCGGTCGCTGTGACTTTTTGTTAAAACGCAAAGCGCCCCCCCGTACATGTACCGCTACAAATCACAGCCAAGCCACGCACAACTTTAATGGATTACCCACACTAACGACGCATGTCTCATGCCGGCGCCTGGCCTCTAAGGCCTGCAATTCGCTGCTGCGCTGATGTAGGTTCGTATCCGGAGCAGCAAACAAGTCCCCTCGGGGGTGTAGCATAGCAACTGCAAGAGACGAAGTGTAAGAAAATAATAAAAAGTGAAAAAAAAGCAAAAACAAAAAAGAAGGTGCTTATTTACTCAGCTCGTGGCCGGGAGTGCCTGGCTGGTCCCTTGTTGCTGCCTGCCCTTTTCCTTTACGAATCAGAACAAGAAAACTCGACATCTTTCCCTTCTCTCTCTCTCCCTTTAATTTTTTTTTTCCCTTTTCCCAGTATTGAACGCGCCTAATAAGAAACCACCGAATTAACCCGATTCTTCGCTCGGCTGACTTTGCACAAGCCATATTCATATTCGCGCATTTCCAGTCACTCCACTTGCAGCGAACGATTTTACATTATCCAGGTGTGGGCCGCAGAAAAGTTCCCAAGGGCTGCCCTCAGTCAGACAAATAGAATTGCATCATACTCGCGGACCAAGGGCTATTCAATTTTATTCTTTTTTCTCTTCTTCCTGAATTGAATTGAATTTTTTTTCTGGGCTCAAGGCGTCGATACTACCGCTAGCTCGGGACCGCCAGCGCTCTGACAGCGCGTTTCCATAGGTCCGCTGGGGCCAGCTTGCATGCAGTAATCCAGCACCAGGCCGTCCGCTGGAGACCGCTGTAACTCTTAGGCCGCCCAGCGCTCCGCTTTCAGGACCTGTCCTGGGCCCCAAAAAACCCGCCAAATCCGCCAAACCCGTCTGGGCGCCCTATCGTCTGGAAAGAGAGGGGAACCAAAAAAAAAAAAAAAAATTTATTATTCACACAACGAAAAATTATCAAGTTGCCTTTTTCGTTCTGCGCTCTGTGCCCTCTTCATTCTTCTTCACCACCATCTTGCACAGTCAATTCTGAAGAATTGCCGCGCCGGTTGGCCTCTGTTTGACCGTCTCTCACAGGCTGCGCCGCGTCCTGTCCCGGAGCGCAGCTGGGTTTTTCGTTACTTTTTCTGCCCTGCATTGCCCGCGTGCCTCGCTGCAGCAACTTCTTCCTCTTGTACCCCGGTCACCCTCGACCCTCAATCCGGCAGCCTATTTTGTCACCTCTCGCTCTCCCTTTGGCTTGGGCTGGCTGACTTGTGCTCGGCCTGCTTCTTTGTCCTTTCAGACGTGCGACACCTGGACGCTTGAGTGCGCGACTGCCACCGCCTTGAGGCGCCTTTTGCCGACCGGCCGCCTCGTGTGTGTTCTGGACCGGTTCTTGTTTTCGGGCCCCTCCGCCACTACCGACGTGATCTTGATCCCTTTGCCTGGGCTCAAGAGACGACCGTCCCGCTTAACAGCTACGGATTTTATACGCGATTGCTTCTCGTTCTGAGAATCATCCACCGCGACAAAAGAAATTAATTGCCTTTGATCTCCTGGGCTGTGTTACTGGTGCATCATTTTCTTCAGACACGCCAAACGAATTTCTCTAGAGCCTCTTGCCTTCTAGAGAATACGTCTGACCGTGGCCAAGTGCGACTACGCCGAGATTTCTCACTCTCTTGAATCTGTGAAATTCATCAGCCTCTCTCTCAAATCATTTCTTTCTCTTTCGCCTCTCCCTCTCATCTTTCGGTTCCATCAAAAATGGCGACCGCCTCAGCTTTCTCTTATGCGCAGGCCGCCAAGGGCCAAGGCACTGTGCCATCAAATACCCTCTCTGGACAGCCTGTTCAGGACTCTCAGCCATCTGCAACCGCGCCCAAGGCTAACACAGACGTCGAAAGCGCGACCGAGTCCACTGCCGCCGTCCGAAGCGCCGATTCCCCTGCCAACGCAGGAAAGCAAGATATTGTCAGCAGTACTGGTTCCGAGGAGATCGAAGCTCGATCCGAGGAGGTCCAAGAGACGCGCCGTGAGCCTTTGCGAGATGATGAATCTAGCAGGTTAGATCGCCCATGGCGACGAGGCGACAAGGGCACGAGGTCCTCGAGCACCACTACACGATCGGTCGATGAGCAAGACTCCAGGAGGCCGCGGAAGTCTAAGAAGTCCAAGGCGGCAGAAAAGCAAGCCAACGACCAATCAGCAGCGGATAAGGAGCAGGAGCCCGAGAAAGAGGCCCCCAAAGTTGAGCTGTTCGAGGCGCCCATTCCATCTGTCAATATATGGCGACAGCGGGCGGAAGCGCAGGCCAAGACCAAGCCATCAGAGCAAACACCCAACGGCGTGTCCAAGTCCGACGTGCCCTCCAAGGCGCCCGAGAACAGTGTTCCCGCTACTAGCCAGCGTGATAGCGTACCCAATGGCATCAAAGCCCCTCGAAAGCCGGTCGATACCCCTCGGCCTGAGAGGAATGCCAGCCGCGGCTCAAGGGCAGCGGACAAGGATGCCAGCAGAGGCGAGGTTCCCCCTTCAGTCGCCGATACGACAGCTTGGCCCACTCCTGAGACGGCCATCAAAGAAGACAAGAAGAAGCCCGCTGAGAAGGGCGATCGTGTTGAGAAAGACGCCTCAGAAGATGGATCTCAATCAAAGCCAAGACAGAAGTGGGTTACGATGGACTATGTGCCAAGCGTAAACTTCGAAACACAGCTCCCTCAGATGCGTAACTCCAAGCCTCGTGGTGGAGCCAGAAGCGCCAACGGTCCCAGGGCTACGGGGTCATCACACGCCAGTGACAAGGCCACCACCCCCGTCGCCAACCAAGGCAAGTTCACCGAGAACAGCAACGGCAACAACAGCAACAAGGACCGTCCTCGTGATGGCACCAACGGCCCGAACCGAAATGCTTCTGTGCCTCAAGCTACCAAGCGGGCATCGACAGACTTATCCACCCCACGTGAGCAGAGGAAAGCTGTCAACCAAACCGGCGCCGAGAAAAAGGATGCCACATCCAACTCTACTGTAAGTAATTCATGATCAATAGCTGCAATTGGGGAGGGGGTGAGGGGAGGCAAACAGAAGAACAAGGCTTCCATGCCGATCTCACCGCTGATATCTTGGAATGATGTGCTAATACTCTTGTTTTAAGGAGCAGGGTCATGCCGTTCGTGAACGAACAGAAACCCGCAATGATAGACCACGAGGCGCATACCGCGGACGTGGCGCACACCATCCTGCCAACGCTCAGCACCAGCATACCGCCTCCACTTTCTCTTCGTCTGGCGCGATGGGTGGACGAGGCCAAGGTCCCTATAGCCCGCCAGCTAGACAAGGCGGCCATGGTCAGATGTTTGTGCCGAACCAGAGGGGCGGCCGAGGCGGTCGAAACAACGCTGGAAACTACCATCGCATGTCTCTCCCCAATGGATCAGCACGCATTCCTCAGGTCCAAAATCAGTTTGGTCCCTACGAGTATCCATTGACACCGATGGCGGCAATGCCTTTCCAGCAGCCCTACTGGGACAACATGCTTGTACCAGTGCTGAAGAGCCAGGTCGAGTACTACTTCTCGATCGAGAACTTGTGCAAGGATGTCTATCTCCGTGCTCGAATGGACTCTCAAGGTTTCGTGCCCTTGCACTTCATTGCTTCTTTCAAACGTGTGCGAGATCTCTCCGCCGATATTGCCATGGTTCGTGCGGTTTGTGAGCTTTCAACCGAGGTCGACCTCGTCGTTGGCGATGATGACGTGGAGCGTGTGCGACGAAGCGAGTCTTGGGAGAGCTTTGTCATGCCGATGGATGTCCGGGAGGACTTTGCCAAAAACCACGGACCGGCTCAATTCACATATAAGAACCGAACGGCACCCGTGCCTATGCCACCGCATTTTAACGGAATGCCTGTCCCATTTGGCATGGCTTCGCCACCTGCCTATACAGCCCACGTTGAGGCGCCGTTCCAGCAACTGCCCGACGAATCAATCGCCAACCAAGGAGTCAACGGATATGTAAACGGCCACATGAACGGCTTTGCTGGTGCCAGCCAGCTGTCGGCTGACGTGCCCGATTTTGCTCCCACAGGTATCCTTCCGCTCGGTGAGGCTGCGGTGAACGGACATGCCGAGACCCCCGTTGAGGCAACAAATGGGGTGCAGAACGAGTAAATGGTGCAGCAGAGTGTTATACCTTACCCTGACGGCGCTGTGATTTTCGCTCCTGCTAGCTGGTGATGCTCTCGTTTATGTTTTGGAGGTGGATAGCCTTGAAGGCACTTCCTGCATATTTGTTTCTTGCTACCGAGCCGAAAGGCTCGCACGGCTTGTCATGGCAGTTCCTTGGCCGGTTCGAGCGACAACGCATTTTAACGATTTCTTTTTTTCTTTCGTCACAGTTCTGCCTGGCTATTCTTGGCTAAGGCTCGGCAAGGGAAACGGCAAAACAAAAAAGCGTTGCAACTGTGAATTATTTGAGGATTTTTGGCTTTGTGAGGGATTCGTTCTTTTTTTTTTTTTTTTACATTTTGCATGTGTATATATGCGCAGATGAGGGGGGCAGTTGGCAGAGATTGGGGCGTTTCGCGATCCTATACAAGGAAAGCACGACAAAAAGGGGGTGGAAAGATACCCCTGGAGACTTGTGTTTTCATTTTGGGCCTGGAAAGTACAACGCAGCAAAAGCGTTTGGCATTCTCCTTTGGGATTTTCTTTTATCATGATAAAAGTGAAAACAAAGAAAAAATTTGGAAGAGAAGAAGAAAGAGGAAAAAAGGGCGAGAGAAAAGCTTCTCGGGAGTGGGTATGAAATAGAGCCACCGCTTGAGGGCGAGGGCAATGGAAACCTTGTGTTGAAGCGGGAAAGCTTATCCCCGGCCATCGTGACTCTGACATGGTCTGCGGTAAAGGACTGATAAATTCACATGCCTCCGGGGCTCACGAGACAGTTTTATTTCACAGCATTTGGATTACAACTCACTGGTCTTGCAATTGTTGGGATCTCGGAGGGGCTTATGAACGAACTGGCGATACATGTTTTTTGCATCCCCAAGCATAGTTCGACATGCGATCAGCTACCATGCTATTGATGAGAAACGCACAAGGATTTCCATAACGATCTTTCATTCATTGTTATCATTATCATTTTTTTCGCTAGACAAACGATGGACGGTTACAAAAAAAAAAACTTTTGAGGCAAAAATCCAAAAAAATGAAAAAGCAAGACGATTACGAGCAAAGAATTAACAAAAAAAATCGCTCGAGGGCATTTGAGTGGGGACTTAATGGTAAAAATGGTTGCAAAATTGAGATTTTTTTACATTATTTTCGATTTCTTGAGTTCGTATTTCTCGGAGGGTTGTTATCTTTTTTTTTTTCACAGGGCTGGATTTGTCCCTGGCACTTTGATGCGAGACAGCGTGGTACCATGTTGCTGCAGATCTGTTCAATTTGTACGATTAGGATTCAAGAATAATACAACCCAAAAAGTTCAGTCATCGAATCTTTTAAGGAAACATGACGTCCTTTCTCAGGTATAATCGCGTATATTGTAAATTGCTCTGGGAATATCACCTAGTAGATACCTGACATTGTATCATGTCAAGATTATGTGTATTGCATGAAGTAGCTTTGCTTTTGCTGTTTTATGATGGCCTCTCTTACTTTTCCTCTATCCTATGAAGTTTATCTAGAATGACTGACTGCCTTTGCTTCATAAGAGACGAATGCCTACCCGAGAGAATGTCTACCTGAAAGAAGGGGCAGAAGTAGAAGAAGATGCTGAGGTTGATAGAATCTATGCCAAAATCACAACGCCATGGCCAACCCGACAACAGCAATGAGGCCGGCGGCGGCACTGGTGAAAGCTGTTGGCATCGAGGCTGGATTTGCCATTGACGATACTGTGGAATGTTTTACGGAACGAGGGCCTATGAAGGGGATGGGAGAGACATCGATAGAGGTGGAAGCGACTTGGGGTTCTGCGTCTTCTGATGTCGTAGTCGTAGTTGTTGATGATGCCGTTATAGCTGCTGTTGGCAATGGCGTAATTAGTGGCGATGAGGTTGATGTTGCACATGGTAAAGATGGCGTGGATGGCGTGGATGGCGTAGATGGCACTGTTGATGTTGTTATCGTAATGATTTCGATAGGCGCATCAGTCTCGAAGGGCACCTCGGCTTGGTAAGGCACAGTTGTTTCCGAAGTGCTAGGACATAATTAAAAAAAAAAAAAAAAAAAAAAAAAAAAAAAAAGGACAATATAGGTGCAGGTTCAACATCCGATGGCTTACAGTGTATCGTCTGAAGTGCTTCCTGCATCGCCATATATCACTTCTGGTGGAGTTATGATACGAAGCGGCCTAAGCGTAGTCAAAGCAGGATCATCAGAAAAGCCCGGAGGCTGGACTGGGTTGGTGAGGAGGCGGGTCGGATGTCTGCGCCCATAAAGGATATGATTAGATTATTTGGACTAAAGATCATGATTCTCCCGTATCAGGCGGAATAGTTGAGGGACTAACGGCAAGTTTTGTGCTGAGGCGAGAGAGATTGCGGCAAGTATAATGGCGATGGAGTGAGGCGCCATCTTTGGAGGCCTGGCCTGTCTGCTGGAGCAATGATTTGGTGAATAAAATCTCCGCCTGCTGTATTAACTTGAATCGAGAATAGAATAAAGGAAAAACCACGCTTCGACAGCATGATTCTTCGAAACTCGTGAATGACCACAACACCATGTAGTTGGAATGCAGCTGGTTGCTCGGCCCGAGCCGCTTTACATACGTCGCGACATACTCGCGATCTGGCTGCTGGACCGCGCAAAACTCTATCCATTATTTGATTCCTCACATCTTGATTTAACCCTGCGATGGTATTATTGCTATTTACTGATATACACAAGGCGCTGTTGTGTATCTGAGGTTAAAGATGTTTTTTCGTGTGTAAGTTCAGCCCGAGGCTGCGATAAGGGCGCTAGGCTGGAATAGGGACAGAACCTCATCCTCCACTATGTAGGTACTAGTAGTACCTACCAGCTATCTACAAAGAGGCAGAGCAGATTCAGTAAGGACATACCGAAATTCGCATTTGTAGTTGTATTTTCAGCGGTTACACACACACACACACACACACACACACACACACACACACACACACACACACACACACACATACACCTTTGGTTTACAAGACAGCTCTGCTCTCGACCCAAGGTCCTACTAGTAGTACCTTACCATAGAAATCACGAGGTACGTACTCGAGCGAGCGCAATGCTGCGGGACCCACTTTGCTCTTGCCGGGTGCTGACATGACATCATCACCTCCAAGGGCAGGAGCCCCTCCACCAAGAGCAAAAAGACAAGTGGCTTGCCCGCCATAGCCATTTTCAGCCAATGAATGCCATCACGAGCCACATCCAAGGCTAAATGATTGTCGAATCTTGGGTGGCTGGCGTTTGTTATGGCTAGGGAAGATGGAGTGGACAAGAAGGCTGGAGAGCGAAAGCGGGGTCGAAACGTATGAAGAAGAAGAAGAAAAAGGAAACAGAATAAATTTTGGAAAAGAGGCGCTGAACTTTGACGGCTTCACGTGGCGCTGAGGCTTGCTTTGGGCGGACGGGTGCCATGGGCTCTCCCGAGAGGTTGTTGAGACGGCATGGATGAAGGCTCAATCAGCGACAGCAGTTTTGGACTATCAGATGACGACCTAACTAAGGCTTCGTTGCTTTCTGTTGGGCTGCTACGTGTTGGGATGGCATGAAAGTCACCTTTGTGTTAAAAACACGGCGATGAAGTACTCCATACTTTCTTGAGATCGAGACAAGGCGCTTCAGCTCTCGGTGCCCAGCTGAAAGATCAGTCTGGAGCTGGAGGCCCAACGTAGAACAGCCTAGAATACCTAGGTGGAAGCTCGGTGCAAGCAGTCACAGGGCGACATGGGCGTGATCGGCGCGCCCGAGTCTGCTGTTGCTGTGAGCTCTGCTAGACGAGAAGAATCTCTTTTGTCTCGTAGATGGTGAAGAGGAGGAGATGGCTCAGTCTACCTTGCTGATCCTCTCGCAGAGCCATCACGTACAGATGCAATATCCAATACCGAACCATGAGGCGCAGCTGCTGTGCCACAGTCGATGCCATCATATCAACGCAGAGAGAGCTGCTAGAGGTCTGCTAGAGGTCTTCACTACTGGGCCGCCAATTCTGCCGCTCAGGCTGCCTCGCCGTGCTATCGCATCGCCCACGCCAGAGCAGCAGGGCAGGCGCGAGGCAAGCAGGTCATTCCGATGTCAGGCAAGGCAAGACGCAGGACAGGGGTGCGTCGTGCTCGCTCCTTCCCCCCGGTCGTGTGTGTCGCCATTACGTCTTGCCCCGCCGCTTCATGCAGGCTCTGTGGCCAAGGTCCCTCCTGCCAGGCCCCAATTCGACAAATATCGTTTGGTCCTGCTTTTTGCAAATCCTTTCTTCTACTCTTTCTCCAACGCTGCTTTTATCGTCATTCTCTGCTGCACATCTGCTTGGGTACGACAACGCCCAAACAAGCAGCACCAACGCCAATATCAGCACTCAGCAGCGCTGCTTGATCGATTCTCACGCAGTCACGCAATAATCGGCAGTTGTTTTTTTCCACCACGGCTCTGTGCGGCATATTACACCAGCTACCCCGCCAGCAGCGCACTTACACGTAAAGAAGCATCTTCTGCAGAGGAGACAGCGCAGTCTCAGCTCTCATCCAAATGGCTCACCACAGCCCGCAAGACTATGACTATTCCCGTCGCTACTTGCGCGAGGACATAGTCGATGATCGCGACCCTCGCTACTTCGATAACCGCGAATATAGCGAGGCTGTCCGGAACCGTGATCTCGTCCCCCGGGCGGATCCCCGCGACAGCAGCGTGTCTGTGGAGGAGGTTCGCCGCGACTTCCCTCCACCTACCGGACGAGACTACGTTCACCAAGATGTACGCCGTGCTCGTTCTGCAGAGCCTGGCTACTACCAGGAGGACTATGAATATCGCCGCACCTATGGAACCCGCTTGGATACTCGGGATGATCGTTACTCGAGACATGGCGGTAGCCACTACGGCGATGATGACCGCGACAGGAAGCCCAAACACAGCAAGTCTATGTCGAAACAAGAGAAGATCATTGCTGCCGTCGCTGGAGCTGCCCTGCTCGTAGGTGGCAAGGAACTCTACGATCGCCATGAAGCAAAGAAGGAGGGCGGTACTCCAGTGCAGCGCAACGCCTTGTCATCGGCCGCTCTCGCTGGCCTCGGTGCATTTGCTGCCTACCAAGGTGCTGAATTCTACAGCAAGCAACAGGCAAGAAAGGACCAAAAGGCAAATTACATTCTCCAGCGTGGCCGTGATGGTCGTCTTGATGAATACTACTCGGACGACGAAGCCGATAGTAGGGAGAAGAAGGGCCACAAAAACTTTCTGGAGAGTGCCTTGGCCGCCACTGGCCTTGGAGCCGCCGTCAAGAGTCTTACTGGCGTGGGCGATGACAGGCACTCTGATACCCGAAGCCGCGGCGGTAGCCCCGGTTCACGAAGCGTTCGCTCCGGCTCCGGCTCCAGAGCCGGTGGAGGCGCCAGCAAGAAGCAAAAGGTTGCTATGGCATCGCTTCTTGCTGGAGCTACCGAGGCCTTCCGTGTCGCCAAAGAGCCTGGTGGTTGGAGAGGAGAAAAGGCTAAGAGAATTCTCACTGCCGCCGCCGGTGCCGCCACTGTGGATGCCGCTCACGGAGCAGACCACGGAAAGCTTGGCCTTGCTGAATCAGTCATTGGTGGTCTAATTGGTAACCGCTTGATCAACGGCTCCAGGAATGATATTGAAGAAGATCGCCGCACCGGCAGGAGCCGCTCTCGATCTCGTGCACGATCCAAGGATGGTCGTGGAGGCGTCGGCCTCGCAGCGCTCGCAACGGCTGGATTGGGTGCTCTTGGCGCAAAGAAGGCCTTTGATCGATCCAGGTCCCGCGGTGATCGATCCAGGTCCCGCGGGCGTGACCGCAGCTATGATTCACGAAGCCCGTCGAGAGATCGCAGCCGAAGCCGAAGCCGCAGTGTCGTAGACAGAGCACGGGATGGTCTTGCCAAGCTAGGCTTTGGTAGTGGTGCCATGGTGGCCGCTGATGATCGTCGGCGACGAAACGACTACGACGACGACGACTACGATGATCGAGGCTCGCGCCACTCTGGCCGACGAGATGATGATCATGTATACGATGATCCTCGATACCGCCGCCGTGGCCATGATTCTGAGCGCAGAAACCGCGGTGCTTCTCGCGACCCTTCTCGAGATCGTTCTCGATCTCGAGACCAGTCGCGCCGGAGAGGCGGCTATACCTCTGAATCTGACCTAGGAGATTCTGATGAGGATGAGAAGAGGGCCAAGAAAATGAGAGGTAAGCAGGTTTTAACTACCGGCCTTGCAACCGTTGCCACAATTCACGCAGCACATGGAGTCTATAAGAGCATGGAAAAGAGGAAAGCGCGGAAAGAAGCTGTCAAGGAGGGCCTACTTTCGCCACAAGAGGCCAAAAAGCTCAAAGCCAAAGCCATTATGCAAGATGCAGCTTCGGTTGGTATTGCTGCCATTGGTATCAAGGGAGCACTCGCGGAGCTCAAGGAAGCCCGAGAGATGGCCCATGAGTGCAGAGAATGGAGGAGTGAAAAAGCTCAGCGTCACGAGAAACGGCTGGAGAGAGAGAGACGCAAGAAACTTGGAGAAAGGAAACGATCATCAAGCTGGTCGTCATCGGCGCCGCGAAACAACAACGGCTACTATGGAGACGGCGAAGGTGAAACGTACTTCATCGATCGCAGATACAGCGCAGTTTCTCAGCTATCCCAACCGCCTCAGAGACGAGACAGCCGTTGAGATGCAACCCTCAACAGCAATTATCTATGCTTAGAGACACTCTCAGCTGGCTTTTCCGTCTTGGGTATTACGATTCCGTCTTTCAACTCTCCGGACTAGCACATGCTGGGGGATCAGAGTCACTGCTTTGTCAACAACACTCCTGCCGTCTGTCACTCTCTCAAACACTCCACATACTATTGGCCTGGCGTAAAACACCATTGTTTTATTTCCTATGTTGGTAATGATTTTGACGGGATATGATTTGCTTACTCATGAAATACACGGTAACTATGAATTGGATATGATTAATGACTTCATGTGCTGCGTGGCACAAACTACATAGATTGAGCTTCGAGCCTAGCATAATTGTTTCTTTCAATATGTTTGTTTTATTTATATTCAGAATGACTAATAATGATTGATTTGCTATAGATCACCGACGCTACTGATCTCTTGTTCTTTGCGGAGAGAAAGGAATCAATCCGAGAGGATGGCATCGCTGCAGCTGCGGAGAAGCGATACGCTTAAGCAAGGCCATCATTCGATCAATCCACGCGAGTCAACAGCAATTCTCCGGATGCATTAGCCAGGTTTGGTATTTTACATGGATAGGCGGCAGATGTCCATGTAAGTCGGCATGCAGCGGATGCGGTTTTGATTGGACTTATGGAGGATGGTAATGCTGGGTAACGTGAAGAAATCCGGATTTTGGATCAAGTGGGAAGGGATGTGCAACGGCAACGGCAAAGACGGCCCAGGACGGGCACTGGCGACGAAAGGCTGTTGGGCAGATCTCGATGACTGGGGCTCTTGGGTTGGAAAACAGGTTAAGGGACGACTTTCTTGGATGGCTTACTTACATTGATTTCCCCGGCTGTGGGGGCCCAACAAGGCCTCACGCAAATTTACGAATCATGACTGCTGACGCTAATGAGTGCTATTACGCTTCTATGTAATGAAAAGATAAAAGACCAAATAAAAAAGAATATTTTGTGTTTTTAAAATCGGCTTTGAATAATCTCTCATATCCAATTCATCTATTCTAGCTGGCTTTTTCCCACGGCGGATGCCTTGTCCAAAGTTCCAACGTCCAAACATCCATACGCTATGACATCATCGCTTGTGTGACAGGCACCTGGTCGCATCAAGCAAGATCGTGGGCGCTCTTTTCGATTTCCCCTTTTCTGCTTCTAGCTTGAAACGCCGTATATGCGGCCCGAACCCCGACTTTGGCTCCACCGCCATATGCCTTGGTCTGGGCATTGATGGATCGGGTACAGTATATGCTCGGTGACGTCGCTGTGCATCTGCTTATACAGCATGCCTGGATGAGCGAGCAAAGCTCGTCTGTTGGCAATACAGCAAGTACTGCAATCCAACAGCCGCATGCTATATGCATAGATGACCGTTTGCGTATGGATGATTGGGGTGTTATATACATGTCTTTTTTGTTATCTGTGAAGCTTTTCGCATTCTATGTGTGAATATATTAGACGCAGGAGAAATGATAAGAACGAGTCTTGCGAGTTGCATTATTGTTGTATAGTACTACTGCTCATTGTTGTAGTATCCAGATGAGTAGAGAAGCAGAGAGATGATACACAAGCGACAAAGTAAACATCTGCGGCGCCAGCTCTTTATGGGGCCCCTGATAAATCTCCTCCCGTCTGCTTCCACTTCTGCGCCATGGCCATGATGTTTGACAGATTCTTGGCCTGCTGGTCGTCCGCGGGGAAGACGTAGTCAAAGTATTCCTCGTAGACGTCCTCGTTGTCGCCGCTGTCGTCCTGCACTCTTCTGCGGCGCTTGATCCTGCGGGGCATCTGCTGCTGCACAGCGTCAATGTCCTCCTCAGTGCCGTGCGTGCGCTCAAACGACAGCCAGGCGTTGAGCAGGCTGACGCGCTCTTCCTTGAGATCCTTGTCGCGCATGCTCTTGTGCGCGCGCTCAAAGACCTTGCGGGCGCGGGCTTTGGCCTCTTCGCTGATGGGCTGCTCTTCCTCTTCTTGCTCTCCTCCCTCGGCCTCGGCGTCGTCGTCCTCGGGGATGTTGATTTCGAAGTGAGCGTAGCTGATCCAGACCTTGACGTGGCCAGTCTTTTCGAGGAGCCGCTCGTACAGCTCGCGCGTTCTCTCGTACTCTCCTTCTTCTTCCTCAAAGTCGATGTAGGCTTTCCAGAGCAGCTCCGGCATATCCAGCTGCGCTTGGCTGACGGCCAGCTCGAAGATGGCTCTCGCGCGGTCGAGATCGTCCAAGCCACGTTCCAGCTCGGCAAATTTGATCCATGTCTGGCAGTTTGTCGGGTTATACTGGACATGCTTCTCGTACAGTGTTCGACAGCGCACAAATTCAAACAGCTTCCGCTCGATATCAACGTATCCGTTGAAGATCTTGTCCTTGGGGCACATGCCAATGGCGCGTCCCAGTAGTTTTCGTGCCGCTCCGAGCTCGCCCTGTCGAATCTCGAACTGCGCCGCAAGCAGCCATATCTTGGCAAAGGTAAATTTCTTATGGGGTATCATGTTCAAACACGTAGTGTAGATCTGTCGGGCCCGCTCGATATCCTGGCCCTCGAGCTCCTCCCAAACTGCGTAGAATATCCAGAGATAGATGTATCGGCGCCAGTGCCGCTTCTCTTGAGTCGGGGGAACTTGAGCAATCGCTCGCTCGTAGACATCTCGAATCCGATCTGCATCTCGGGATGCTTCTTCCAAGCCGGCATAATCGAACCAAGCATCGTAGTTTTTGGGGTTCTCGCGCACTTGCTCCTCGTAAAACACTCGTCTCTTGGACAAGACAACGTCCTCCACGCCATCCTGATCACCAAACTGCTTTTCAAAAGTAGTATAGGCCTTGTGCAGCAGTCTCGATTTTGATCGGGGCAAGCGGTCGAGGGCATATTTGTAGATGGCTCTCGCCCGCTCGTACTCCTTCAGCTTGGATTCAAACCGAGCATAAGCAATGAATAACTTCTCGTCGACAAATTCGTCGCCCAGGGTTTCAACCGCCGTCCCAAACACCTCTCGAACCAAATCGCTTGTGCCGTACTCTTCTTCGAATTTAGCCCACTTGATCCAGTTTCGGGGCTCGGGATGGACCATGGTAAAGGACTGGAAGATATCACGAGCTCGGTCGTACTCTCCATAACGCTTTTCCAGCTTGATGTATGAGCTCCATGCCGCCTCGCTGGGCTGCCATTGCATCCATCTGTCAAAGACCTGTCGAGTTCCGGGAATGTTGCCCAGCATTTCCTCCATATATACGTATTTATACCAGATCTTATCGACTCGGGGCAGCCGCGTGACGGCGCGATCAAGGAGATTTCGAGCATGGTTGATGTTTCTCGACTTCATCTCGGCTTCAATGTATCGCATCCACACTTGGATATCGTTGGGATGGACATCAAGACACCGCTCGAAGACGGATCGAGCACGAGCAAACTCTTTCTGCTCCAGCTCCCATTGCGCGTACTGGAGCCAGTTGCTCAGCTTGACGCGATTGCGCCGAACATAGTCCTCAAACTCCTTCCGTTTCCTGCCCTGGTACTCGTGAAGCTCCTCAAGATCGGCAAACCGCTGCGTCGGGGCCTGGATCGAAACTTCTTGTCGGTCGACGGCTTCTCGAAGAAGCTGCTCGGCGCTGATCTGGACAGGCGCCGCGGCCTTGTTCTTGACCCTCGGCGGGCCACGCGAGGACTCCATCGTGGGAAATGATTCGTGTAGCGGCAATCGACAGAGAAACTCTAGACAGACCTCAGTCTATGATGTAACTTCAATAGCTGGAGAGCAATCTCGCAGGCCAATGTTTGCTCGGACAGCCCCAGATGGCGAGATTTCGAATTGCAAGAGCTGCAGTAGAGACAGCCTGCTGCTTGCACTAGTCCAAGTACTCGTCTTATCGCTGCGATAAGAGAATATGCTGAGGCATTCAAGGTGCACGGGCCACCCAGACCAAGGCTAGTCTACTGCGCTGCCATTCGCTTCTCAGCCTCGCAGCTTCATGAAAACATAAGAAAAAACAAAGGCAGCCTAGCGACCGTATTTGCAATCCTATATTGCGCTTCGCCCTGCCCAGACGATCTCTTTTCCGTCATCGAAGCATCCAGACCATAACAACACCAGGCTTGTCAGCCTGACCAGCCGCCATCATGTCGACAGTCGCCGACGACCTGCTCAACGATTTTGGAAGCTCAGGAGATGAGGCAGAGGAGCTGGAGAACGAAGGCCTTGTGCTCACAGAAAAGACGACAAATGGCGATCGAGACGCTATGGATGTCGACGACGACGAAGAAAACGAAGGGGCCTCCGACGACGAGGCAGCTGGTGCGATGAACGACATGGAGGATACAGAGGCCACCAAGGCAAAGGTCGAGAAGATGCAGCTTGGAGCCGTCAAAGATGTTCGCAGCGTCGCCAGTTTGATGCAGACGCTGGAGCCTATCCTTGAGGTTAGTAGATCCCTTACTCCATATCCCCATCCCCAGCATCACCGTCCCTCTTATATATCTTTTTGGATGGCTCCGTTTACATCGTTTTCGAGATGAGCAATTAGCCCTGACGTGTTGGCTCGAATACTGCAGAAAATCACCCATTACAAGTCGCATCCTACCTCGCAGCAAACCAACGTCGGCAATATCGAAGACCATCCCGAGTATCACCTGTTGACACAGTCAAACAGCCTCTCGACCATGATAGACGGCGAAGTTGCGCTGGTTCACAAGTTCATCCGCGACCACTACTCGACTAGATTTCCCGAACTGGAACGGCTCGTTACGACGCCATTGGAGTATGCCAAGGTGGTAGCTATCATTGGGAATGGCCCGATGGACGCGGAGAATATCAAGGCACTCCAGACCTCGACAGAGAACCCTCTTCGCGTTGGGCTTAAAGCCGTCCTCGACGGTCCCTCGCTCATGATTGTCACGGTGGAAGCCACAACGTCCAAAGGTCATGAAATGGTGCCTGAGGAGCTTCAGCGAGTCCGTCAAGCCTGCGAGATGATGATTGCACTGCACAAGGCGAAGCAAACGCTCACAGAATATGTGCAATCGCGCATGAATATCTTTGCACCTAATCTAACGATCCTCATCGGATCACTCACAGCGGCGCAACTTCTCAACGCCGCCGGAGGCTTGACAGGCCTGTCCAAGACGCCGGCATGCAATATCCCTTCTTGGGGCTCCAAGAAGCGACAGGCTGGTCTGGCAACTAACATCGGAATTCGTCAGCAAGGATATCTCTACAATTCAGAAATTATTCGGGGCATCCCCAACGACCTAAAGAAACAAGCGATGAGAATCGTAGCGGCCAAGTTGGTCTTGGCAGCACGAGTTGATCGCATTCATTCAAGTGCTGATGGCTCAACGGGGGAGCAGTTAAAGTCTGCTTGCTTGGAAAGACTAGAGAAGCTTACAGAACCCCCTCCAAACAAAGGACAGCGAGCACTGCCTGTGCCAGATGACAAACCCGCCAGAAAGCGAGGTGGCCGCCGGGCTAGGAAAGCCAAAGAGGCACTCGCCATGACCGAATTACGTAAAGCCCAGAACCGCATGGCGTTTGGCAAGGAAGAGAAGGAAGTTGGATACGGCATGGGCGAGGGCACGGTGGGCATGGGCATGATTGGCCAGTCCAACGACGGACGCATCCGAGGCATGCAAGTCGATCAGCGGACAAGAGCCAAAATCGGCGTCAAGAGCAAAGGCTGGGGAGGAGCCAGCACACTGGGCGGCGGCACGGCATCGTCAATCGGAGGCTTTGGCATGGCTCCCGGCATGGATCTCCGGGGCAAAGGCCTGCGGTCCTCAGGGGTGGGAACTACTGTTGGCTCTGCTACCGGTACGGCATCTTCGCTCGCCTTCACCCCTGTCCAGGGCCTGGAGCTTGTCGACCCCAAGGTCCGAGCCGACCTCAATAAGAAACGCAAGGCCGAGGAAGACCGGTGGTTTAAGGGTGGCAGCTTTACGCAAGTCGGCAACGGCGGAGGAGGCGGTTTCAAGGTGCCAGAATTGCCGGCCTCTAAGCGGGTCGACACGGGTGCGACGAAGATGGGGCCGCCTCCGGTACCGAACCGAAAATGATGAAATATGGACAGAGAGACAGACACACATAGAGAGAGGGGGAGAGAACCAGGGCTGGTTACGTCTTCTTCTTTTCCCGGAGGCGGAGGAGGAGAGAAGATTGAGATGGCGGGTTCTATATGCCTCAGCCTACTAGTAGTTTCTACACAACTTTGATTTGATTCGGGTCGATCATAAATTGGAGAATGGCTGCTGTTAGTTCAGGAGCAGTCTTTGGGCAGGAGATTTTTTATTATCGTTATCAACACGGCGTTGTTACCCGCCTATTAATTCATAGGCTTGCTTAAAGAAAGAAATGTATATCTACAGATAGATGTCTGCACTACAAAATTTGAAATATGCACTTGCTGCCATTTCAGTGACTCCATTTTCTTCTTGTCTCTCTTCTCTCTAAGATACGACAATCAGCAAATACGTAGCATATCGAGCGTTTATAAGAGAAATTCAATGTGTTGCTTTTGAACGTTGCAAAAAAACATCTCCTTCATGTACTATTAACAAGTAACACTAGTATGGGGAGGAATAACATCATTTCCCGTACAGCTCTCACCTATTCAGCCTCGTCTTTCCAAATTCGATCATCATGTCGTACTACGAAGATCCCGCCAATGCCACCCATGCGGCTGGCACAGGCCCGATGCCATGCTAAGGCTAGGCCGCCAGGGACGAGATGGGCTGCTGTGAGTGAAATGTGACCAGATGGGGGAGGGGACAAGAAGGGATTGACGGGGGGCGTGGCTGATCATGAGGCGGTTGAGCGGCAGGGCATGTTACATGAGTCTCTCCATTGAGAATCCCAGAGACGAGATAAAGATGCTAGGATGGTCATTTTACAAGTTACATGCAAGCCAGGGCTGAAAAGGGAGGAATGAATGCCTCGTATCCAGTGTAGATGTGATGTAAGTGACCAAAAAGAGAGGTCGTGATGGTCAGCAGCAGTGGTTTCAACCATGGCGCAGCAGATGTCTCTCAAGCCACAGTTTCATCGCAAGTACTGGCTGCAGTCACGGTTTCTAAAGCATGGGAATCTCTAAAATAACGGCCCGCCTTGATCGACGTATCAAGCGAAAATTAGCTTCTGATACTAAGTCGCCCTGTAGGGCAATTTGCTAGAATTTCTTGCTCAGTCCTATTTGAGCATGTGCGATGAGTCAATGGAATGTTAGCCGTTGCACATGTCTGATGGCATCGAATATGGCGGCCGATTTGTTCTTTCTTTCCTTTCTTTCCTTTTTTCTTTTTGGCTGCCCTCCCCTTTCGTGGGACAGTAAGCAGGTATGAAGGTGGTTGTTCTCCAATTATAGCGCAGAAGCAAATCCCAGATCTCGATGGGATTCCCTCCTGACTCACCCGACCATTGGGGAAGGACGCAAAGAAGCGGCCGAAACGAAAAACCCTGGCATGGAGGCGAGTAAGAAGTCGGTACGTGCGCCGGCTATTGCGTCACAGCTCACTCAATATCGTGAGGCTCCAGCTACCGCGCTGCCGGGTCCGAGAAGATGCATGTCAAAGCCGGGGTCCAACATCGTGAGTATCGGTATAAGCGCGCTGCTGTTGGGCAGAAGGGGATGTACTAGTACCAGTAGGTGTGTCCCCTTGTTGACAGCACGCAAGCTAGAACTGGAAGAGAATGAGGGACCAGAGAAAAGGGAGAAAGGGAGAAAGGGCACCGATCGAAGCAAAAGCGAGAGATCTCGATGACAATGACACTCTATGTCTAGCCTAAACAGACGATGGGTCCAGCGGTGTGTTGTTAGTTCTCTATTGGAGCAGTGCATGAAAGTACGTACCGTGGCAACTTTCCGATTCGCGCAATGCCTGTGATGAGGAATCAGAAACAGATGCGCTTCAGTGGTTTAAGCAGAAGAAAACAAAAATTAGGCATGGGTTTTGTGAGAAATCCGATACGACTCAATGAAACATAGCGGAAGATCCGATCCTTTCGCAATACCTATTCTCGAGGAGTACATACGTAATGTCTTGGGCGGTATGCAAGTGTTGTAGGTAATGATATACAGCTTTTTCATAGTCCCACGCCACTAAAGAGACGCCTGCATATATTTGCCATCTCCATATCAAAACTAAGGGTGGGAGAAAGGGAGAAAAGAATGAAAAGCGCAGCTGACCTCGATCGAATTTCTTGAACAAACTTGCATTGAGCAAAGGGGGTGTATAAAGATTATTTCTTCCTTCATTGTTTCATTTTTTTCGTATCTCATAAGACAGATGGAACTGTCGATCACCAACAGGGTAGGCAGACGCAGACTCGCCAGATCATGGGAGCAATTTACAGTAATTCTGCATGTATATTCGCCTATGGGATAGCCATTTATTGGCTATCCGGCAGGAGATGTCTTCTTGGTTGCACTCTGAGGTAGCAGTGCGCATGAGTGGTTGCCGCTTTTTGAAGCCATCAGGCTATGATCTGATCTCTGTCCTTTCTCGTTTCGAGACAAAGATGCCGCATCCGCAAAAAAAGCATCGAGCGCTTATACCAGTCGCATGCGGCCGAAACAAGGCAACAGAGGGCACCGCTGCGTCCCCGCGCTCATTCTTCCTTTGAACGGCATATTCTCGCAACTCTACTCGTGCGTGCCTGTGGGAGTCTCCTAGGTGGCTTCGGCTCGTACGCGCTGCACTCCAGCCCGGTCAAGCTTTTCCCTTTGCACGGCCATGTGGGTCAGGCGGGGTCCCAGGGCTTGGGCCGGCGGGGAGGCCAAGGAGCGGGCTCTCTCGCCCGTTTCATCGATCCCTCCGCAAATGTCGAGATCCTCGCAGCCATGCCTGCGTGGAGAGCAACGGGGCCTTTGGTGATCGACAGAGCTTGCTGAGAAGCCCAGACGTCACCGAGGACGCTTCCCATGGTGTCGTGCCCCTAGAAGCAGACCACGGGTTTCTGACACTGCTCGTCATGCCGCCGATAGAGCCAGTGTGGTGCCACGGCGTTCTACTGATTTGTAGATAGGCTGATAGGCATAGGGTACCTGACGATGACCGGCGCCGTGGGTGGCCGGAGCTAGTGCTGCTACTCAACGCGCGTAGACCCTTTGAGGCCATCCATTGTTCACCTGTTAAAAAGTTAAAAAAGCTCGCGAGAAGAAAGACCAGTAAGCTGGACAGGGTCTTGCTAGTAATGCAATAGCAAAGGCTAAAAACCAGGGTCGGAAATTGAAAGGGGATAGGTAAACCACAGCTCCTCTTCTCCCTGCTATTGGGCAAGAGAGGGGAGGAAACTTTGAGGCGCAACGAGCATGTAAACGAGCAGTGGGCCAATAGAGGGCACCGGTCATTCTGGAAAGGGATTCGCAGCAAATGCTGATTCCTTGGAAGCACGATGGACCTGCATTTTTGTCCGCTAAAAGAGATCCCGTGCTGCTGCTGCTGCTGCTGCTGCGATCCATGAGGGGATGGTTGGTGCAGCCACAGGCTAGCCTTGGCTCGTCAACTCCAGCCCATCATTCATCTCTAGTAAAAACTGTTGTCCCTCATTTCCCTCATTTGCGTGTTCCTCTTTTCTAAATCTGTTTCTCGCCGTCTAGGAGTAAGGGTGGAACTCTTCTCATAGATTGACCGCTCACACTCTATTCACATGTTGCTTATACGGCCGTAATATGGCGGCGCAAAGTTAGAATGTCTCGCGCGTGGCCGCAAACGAGCGTATACTTTGTAAAGACCATTAGTATTTATCCAATTGCGGAAACTCGGGAAGTCTCTCAGACGCTTGTTCCCTGCTCTAGGTACCAAAGTTTGGCCGCTTAGCTTCCATCGTTTCTTTCGCCGCCGCTGTTCCGGCGAGTGTGCTATGCCTCGACGGAGCAGCTGCCAACGCTGCTACACCTGTGACTAGGCTCGTATGCAAGCTTCGAGCTTTTTAACTTTGGCTGGGAGGCCTGTCGAACGCAGGCAAAAGCCGCTAATGGCCTTTGTGTATGTAATCAGCAGCGTGAACGGCTGTTTTGCTGCCGCGCTGCGCTGGTTATCGCCAGTCCAACACCTTCTTTGGACTGGATAACTTATGCTGGACTTCCGCAGAATATTGATTTCATGGTGACGTTTGGCCTTTTGTTGTTTGACTAGGTACATGAGATAAGAAACAGAAGTGGCCAACCCTTTCAAAGCCACACCCCGCCACTCCCGCATGCAGACTAAGCAACGGCGCCGCTGGAAGGCGAATAGGTATAGTATGTGTGCGCAAAGTATGCCTGCCCAAGCTGTGATATTCCCAAAGTATCTGGTACGATCGTATGATAGCCGTGAGACTCGGAAAGGCTGGTCCAAGTGATCACGGCGCTGTACTTGGCCATGTAGCTACGTGCAAGCATCCATAAAAGCAAAATCCTCCCAGGCCGTTCCCTTTTCTTTTGCCGAGAAGGGGTGCCAGTACCTACCTGTATGGAGTGCCTACTCCGTAGTCTGCTCCGAAGTGAAGACCCCGGTGGTAGCCACTCTTCAACGACTTGGCACAAGCCACACCCCAAGACCTCCCATGACGCAAGCCACGGAGACATCCTTCCGCACTTGTAGAAAAGGCGCCACTCAAAGTTCATCAGCCGTAGAGTTAACAGGATCCTGATCGCTGTCTTGGGGGAGAAAAAGGTAAAGAAGAAGGAAAAAAAAAGAAAGAAAAAAAGACAATGGCCTGTTAATCTCCCAGCTTCAGATTTTTCTTAGTTGAGCTCAGCGCGAGAGCAGGTAAGAACAGGTCTCAGAATATGATAAGAGAAGAAAGATCATGGTCTGTAAGTCTGACTGCGATGTAACGCGACGAGGAACCTAGGAGAGGGGCAGAGAAAATAGCATCCGCGAAAAGCCCATGGTTCGTGTAAGAATTGCATCTTTGCTAGTAGTACGCTTTCCACGGATCCAGGGCTCTAGCGTACAACAGCCGAACGGATGCGTACGAGGAAAAGCGAGAAGAGGGGGTGTCATGTACCGACCAAGCTGCTGTGCTGTGGCAGCTCGTACCGCGGGCGCCACCATCAAGTACCCCGGGATGCCAGTTGGTGTTCCTTATCCTCTGCATTCAGGGCTCCGTACACTTGGCGACTTGTGCCTCGCCTGATTGGCTGCGCTGTAAAAAGAGAGTTGTGGCTAGGTGGTGCTAGAGTGCTTTGGATAATATCCTTCACTACGTGCAGTACTAGCACGAGCAGAGTAGAGCCAGAAGCAGAAGCGGCCGGACACTGCGGAGTTGTTAGCCCCATCAGATGGCACTGGTATCCATGGAACCCTTTGCTGAAAGTCGCACTCTGCCAACAGGAGACAGCGGGTGTTGCTGGAGTCATGCTAAAGACAGCTGTGCTAGGAACGTCTCCGGGCGCCCCAGGAGATCCGCCGCCATGCAGAGCCTTGAGCTGGATGTTTTCTCGATCTTCCCGATAATTGGCTCCTGGGCCGCCAGTGTCACTGGGTCATGGTCCGCTTGGGTCCTGCTCCTCCATTGCATGCGAACGACCCTGGATGAGGCGCTAGCGTTTCCCTTGCCCTTGCGCTGGTCCCCGTTGTCCTGGCCCCCGATTAGCCCAATGGAAACCAAACATCAGCTCTTGGACCCCGTAGAACCCTTGAAGACCCCTCCGAGACCCCTGCCCTGCCCTTGGGCTCCTCCTGGGACCCGTCATTTGTTGCAATCTTGACCTCAGCCGGCTGTCACTGCATTCATGCGAAAGTGCTTGGGTGTGGCGCTGGTTCTCCAGCGTCAACTTTTAGAGCTTTCCATATCACGATGACGACATGGTGAGGTCAAAGTGGCCGAGTGAAACTTCAGATGCGGATTTTTGCAAGCAGCACCGAATTTGCAGTTATGGATGGTCCTGGGGTTGATGCGACGTCTGATACTATATTTTGATTCGCGGACGAAATCGACTCGTATGGTCGCAAGCTCTTCATTTCTCCGACAGTAACGCAGCGTTTTACTCCGAATATTTGGAGCGCTCTTTTACAGCTTTATACTCATCCGTCTGCCCCCCCCCCCCCCCCACCACCCCCCCCCCCCCCCCCCCCCCAAATCCTTTCGCTTTTCGCAAGCTAGTTCTAATACCTCTCTACTGCTTCTACAAATCGTTCTTCAAACAAGACCATTTAAGTCTACCAAATATACAAGTTACCTCTTAGGACATGCGTTGTGACGGAGGGGCAGCAAGTGATCTGTTCTAAACATTCCTGATCTAACTAGACGGCTGATATAAGTTTATGCCATTGCTGCTTAAGGAAAAATCCTATCAACTTTTACTTCAATGCCTGAACAATATCCCAAATACACGCTCGACTTCAAAAAAATTGGCCATAGCTCTTTTAATCGAAATGGGCTAATCCCTAAGACATGAGATGGTACATGATGGAGCCTGCACCGGCTGACTCAATCATGTAACATTCTCAAACATACATGTAGTCTCTGCTACTTTAGTCTCCTATACCTGGCTCTAAGCCCCGAGGCTTCCCAGCCATGCCCAAATTTGAGTCCATATTGCCTTCACCAAATTCCAGTTCGCCTTCACTTGTTCCCAAACCTGGCTCAGCCATTCGATCGCAAACTCGAAGATTTGTTCAACTTGAGTCAAAATCTCTCCCCAAAATCCGATGAACAAATCACCAATGGCCACCCAAAAATCAGCGGCCTTCTGTTGCTGATCATCAGGCAACCCTTCAATCAAAGCCAAAACTCTCTCAGTGCTTGCATCAATGTTGGCAATAGACTCTGCTTTCATCCTTTTACCCTGGGCTCTAACTCGCTCTATAGCGGTGGGTTTGTCTGCACCGCCAGACTCCAGGTCGTCGGTGACGGATTGATACTCATCAGTGAGCCCCTGATGATGATTACTTTGATCTTCCATGACAGTTTTGATTTCGGGAAAATCAGCGGCGAGCTTTTTAAGCTCATCATTGGTGTACTTGGAGGATTTTCCATTTTTCGGCTTACTTTGAGAAATCTCCCGTTTCGATCGCTTTCTTATAGCCGGCCGTGGCGTCCAAAATGTGAGCCTTCCATGATACGGAACCCATATTGTCTGCTTAGATTAGCTTAGTGGTTTTTATTAAAGAGGTGTATAGGAGACGTCAGAAGGGGGAAAGTGGGAGTAAGAAGAGGGGTGGGATAGAGCATACCGAAATAGCTAAAGTGGTCGTGATAAAACGAGTAATTGGAGTAATTGACGATTTGAGTTTGGGATTGAGTTTGAAAGCAGATGGAAGCTGATTGAATAGGTTGGTGGAAGAGTAGAAAAACTAAATTGCTCGATGCTTGGGATAAGAGGGCTTTTATAAACATCTATATGAGTAAGTTACCCAATGAGGTCTGTCGGAGTAAGTTAACCGATGCAGATCTATCTGAGTAATATTTACGATTTAGTAAACAACTATTACACCATTTGAACACTGATAGATTGACTCAATTGAGCGACTTATCGAGTACGTCCGTCTACTCTATTTATGGTTAGTAATATTTGCTTTATGCAAGGGACAATTTATAGTCCATATTTGTAAGGACATACTAGCAGTATATGCTGGCGTCTTAAGGTCAGCATATGTAGGTCAGTATGTGCTGGCAAATAAACTGCAAGACAGCTGTATTAGTATTGATATTACCCATATATTGAGCTTCATTGAATCTGAAGTGGCATGAGTTGCTATTCAGTGAAGCTGTTAATTGAGGTGTAACTGTTTTATAGTACGAGAGTCCTTTCGATTGTAGAATCTCTTATGCTTTTGCGGTGCTGATCAAGAACACGCCGTTGATAGAAATGTGTGGAAAGCAAGGTACTATCATATGCATGTTGTAACTAAAGCCAAGAGGATCTGGTGGATGTTGTGTTTGATTCGATCGCGGAAGTGGATATGTAATGCAAATTAGACTACCAATACACTGTTTGGATAGCTTCTGCCAGACATATGACGTATATGTAATAAGCTAAAATAGAGTGACGTGTGTAAACGTGTCAATGGTAGTGATATTTGTGTATTTGCCCACCAGGAGAAGAGTATTGCCATTAGGAAGCTATAGGTATGCAGTATTTGCGTTACCGGCTGCAGAAGCTAATCCCTATTTGCTCACCGTCATGCAAGACAGTATTACTACATGTAGGTACCCAATCTTACCTAGGGCGTAATCGAGTATTACTCTCCAGAAGAAAAAGAAATTCGAGCGGCTTGTATTCATCGTCCGAAAAGCCTCCGCAGCGACAAGCCTCGCGCTGATGGTGCAGATTCATTTTGACAGCACAGTCTTTGGGACTCGACATATTCTTTCACAGACCGAGGTTTTGTTGCCATTGATTGGGTGTATCGACTCACTGCGCTGGTCTTTTACTTCGGATGGTGCACCTTGAAAGCTTTTGGTCGTTCAGTCCCTTGCATAAGAGACGGGAGCATTGGGCCGACCTAGTGTGTTTAGGCAGCACCACAGCTGCAGCCATCAGATCTCTTGTTATTGGCTTCCAATATTGATTAGACTCCAATCTGAGAGAAAGCAGCAGGCAATTGGTTAACACCTTAGCTGAATGCCTGCCATGTACTCAGCCATAGACCAATATTGGCTGGTAATCTTGCATCTCGTATACCGTTGTAACTGAGATATTGATGATTATGAACTGAATCTGAATTAATTGCCAATATTGCTGAGCCTCGTATTGTGGCTGCCCACCAGAGTTCAACGCAGCTTGTAGAGGTATGCTTGAGACCATTATTATATGCAGTAAGATTCCATGCGCGCTGCGTTGCACCAAAGGGGGAGAATAGGCAAGACGACGATTTGCTCTTGATTGGAGAATTAGTTTGCAGTTAAACGTCGCTTTTGTCTCGGAGAAAGCCGATGAGTATCTAGAGATTATGTGTAATGAATAGGCAGAAGCCGATATAACGTGTATCTTGTTATATCCTACATATCCTACAAAGCCATAGAAGCATAAGGCCGCCTTACAGTAAGTGAATACTTTTGTCTTCTAAAATCCCAGCGGCAGCGATTTGACATCGTATTGTAGCATGCTTCATGAAATATCCTGTATCGGTAACGCAAGATCATTGGCTACGACGATCAACATGACGTGTAGTGGCACTGGTCGTTGTGGGCAATTCTGGCTCTTGACGACGAGGCTTTCTACGTGTATATAGTAAAGCAGAATACTCTGAAGCCATGACTACGGATATAAACCACCAAAACGTAATTCTGTTTGGAAAGGAATGGCAAAGAAAAAGATGGAAAGGACTGTCCTGGCTTCAGTGATTGATGTTCTTGTACGCACTTCCATAACGGGTAAATCTAAACTATTAGGCTACGTGTATCTTTATGCTGCATACATGTAGTTGTTTGCTATATAGTTTAGTTAATCCAACGATCCTCATTTCACCCTCTTCGAATCTAAACCTCTTATACATCCTCTTTGGTCATTGCTCCTCGCTCCTTACTACTATAATCTATACACTATTGCCAATTTGGCTGCTGCATACACACTCCGCGCTACTGTCAATTGAATCGCTCCCAAAGAGAAATAGTCTTTGGGCCTAACAATAAGAAGAGGCACATGGCATAAAGGCTCACAAGATCTGCTCTCGGTTAGAGTTAACAGCCGCTGCCTAGGCACGACGGCGAATTGTTCTAGAATAATTCCCCATTAGCAAAGTGGCAATAAGCTTTGAACATTTCATTGGATGAGATAGAATGTCAACGAGTCGTTGGCGTCGGCATTTGGTGGGACTAGGTCTCTTCACTGTGGGTATCCTTCCTTTACTCGTTGAGAATGGATTAGCAGTGGAGCAGTAACCAAAAGTTGTCATTTTTGATATTCTGGATGCTTTTGTCCGGTAAGCTCCGGAAATGATAGGTCGTTGATTCCATGCCTAATTAAGGCTGTGTGAGATGTTAGCCGGATGTAACATGTTTTAGGGCATAGACGTTGGGCAATCAACGCACACCATATGGTCGTGAACGTTCTGTTCGTCGATGTCTACTCTTCTCGTCATGACCTTTGGCGTTGCTTTGCGTCATCTCGATTGGTGTATTTTGTTTGGCCGAAACAAAGCATAGTAAGCACGGATAAGGCGTCAAACCTGGTTTACCAAAAAGGGCTCCAAGCAGCAGCTGTTAGCTCTTACACTAGCATCCACTTTTCACTTCTTGGCAGCAGGGAAAAGACGTGCAACTCTGAAGCCTTATGCCATGTCCATATACCAGGCGATATTTCGAAAGCTTCGCGACTCAGGTAGTCTATAAGCCCAACAGCTATTACTAAGGACTGGAGCTAGACCACAAGACAGTTCCGCCGCCACGGCTCTTATAAAGGGACTGGCGGGAGATCCTAATAATAGGGTGCTGAGCTGAGCCTCCTGCTTTCCGGCGCCATCTGGCTCCAGCAACGGGCCTTGCCACATAGAGCAGTCCCTTTCGGAGATCCAGTACCCAGATTGTCGAGTGGTTAGTCTGTATGCTAGTGCCTTGTTATTTCGCTCATCGGCGTTTTATCACTTACAGTACGCAGAGAACTCGACTCCGCTCTTGGCACATCTTTGTTCGCGGCGTGGCCCTCTGGGTCCAACCCACATCAACATTGGAAATCGCCTGGTGAACTGCCGATCCGAGGCCCTTTCTTATCCCGCGGAATACCGTTATGAGAAATGACGATAACGCTGCGAGACCGCTTGATGTACGGCTGCCGCAACGAGAAGGAATTCTAATAGAATGCGGGCGTAGCTGCATAATGATTATGTGCGTGTATGCGCGACCACATCATAGCATTGTCCCGCCCGCCGTCTTCATGTGTGCAGACCAGCGGCACTCCGCATCAGGTTGGTAATTAGTAGCAGGTTAGTGCTGGGTTATTCTCTAATTATGGGCCGTCCCTCTCGCTAAAGCAAGCGACAATCAGATTTTTTCCTTCACTTGCTGGGCCTCCTGGTCTTCTAGTTACCTGCAGCATGCTGTACGACATGCCCAGCCATCTGCAATGTCATGTCGGGCCGGTACTTGGACAGAGACATGTTGGAGCAGCCTAGGACACCGACAGGTGATGCATGATATTCGAGTGGCCAACGGCATCTAGGCGATCTTCGGACCATCGTGCTACTAGCAGCTTTAGCGGCCGACTGAAAGCAGATGACTGAGTAATTGTACATCCATCCAAGTCCATTAATGAATTCAGGTGAAAAAGACGGTCTGTCGCTCGGCGCGGCCGAGTACTGGACGGCCTGGACGCCTGGACAGCGGGTGAGGCGCGTGAATGCCAGTTTGACGAGCCTCGGAGGGCAGAGAGAAACCCGCAAGCTTATTGGGGGCATCGTGTAGCCTGTTGGCCCCGTAGATGCCTGGGTCATCCATCTAACTCGCCCTTCTTCGGCAGTCTAATCAAGCATACATGCTGCTTTCCCGGCCCCCTGTCGAGGTTTGACATGTTGGGTTGGGGAGCTGCAGCAGCAGAGACAGAAGCAGACAGAGACACGGCGAGATGAACAACGAGAGACGCGATGGTGATGTCAAAGCCCAGGCGATCTCGCGACGCTGCAGCAGCCAGGAGGAGCCATCTCCGCAGCGACGCTCTGCACATCTGTTGGGGAGACGCCAACGTGTGTATAGCGAGCTGTTGTCGCAGAGTTTAGAGGAGCATCAACACGAAGAGTGCTAATAGTAGAATGGAATAGTGGAATAGTGGCAAACCTTGGATTCCCCTCTGGACTTGGTTTTCGTTATTTTTCTCTTTTGCCGCTGCCGCGAAAAATAGGACCAACGAGACCCGTCGAGGACCCTGGATATTCATCGTCGAGAGCTCCGGCCCTCACGAGATCAGCTGTGGATATGGGACCCGAACAAGACCGATGCGCCGTGCCAGGCCTGGTCATTCGGTCGAGGAACCACCTTGTCTTGAATAGCGCGAATCAAGCCAGGCGGGGGTGGATAATAACACATGTAGTTAGTTGGTCGTCTGTATACCTGTAGCAGCACACGGCGTCGTGAGTACACAAGAGTAATACCGTAGTCTAATAGCAATTCTAGCATCAGCTAGACTGACGGCAGGTAGACGCAAGAATGAGATGCACGGATGGTGGAGGGGGGGCCGAAAAGCGCCGCCAACTCCCATCTCCAGCCAGCCAGCCGCCGACTCCATAATAAAACTTGCACTTGCTGGCGTGTCTGCATTCACCGCATTTTCGTAGCTTGTGTTTCATACTTGTAGCTGCTGCTCAACAAGACCAGAGCAAGGCCCTTCCTTGCGAGGTGGCATGTGAGCAGCGCATCCCTCACGCTGACGCCGCCAGAGTGACTCTGCGAGCCAAACAGTGTGAGTGGGCTGGGGAATGATGGGCTGAGACAGCTCCAGTGCTGTCTTTGCCGGAGCTTGGGCGATGGACAAGTCGATGGCATCATTGGACAGATGCAGACGGAAAGAAGCAGTGTAGAGATGCTGGATGGACGGATGGACGGATGGAGGCTGGTGATGTGCGAGTTGGAGGTGGAAAGCCACGCTGGCAAAGTGACGTTGATGCCTGTTCCTTTTGATGCGTTGTATCTGTTGTTTGAGTACTCAAGTTGTATTGCAAGCTGATGGTTACGCTATGCAGCCTGACTTTGATGGACGAAACCAGGGCAAGCAAGTTGTGTGTGTTGATGCTTGAGTGCAAGTAATTTCGGGCTGGTACCTGGGCGGGCTGAGGGCCGAGTTCCATGCCGAGAAACAAGCATTTGCATGAACTACCTTGCCTTAAGTAAGCCGAGCTGGGCTTTGCATGCTATGACCTCACTTCATAGGAGCTGTTTGTTATCTTCCAATGTCTAACTCGAATCAAACACATTGTGTTATCGGTGTCGTCCAAAGTCGAAGTCAAAGTGGAATAAGCCAAAACCCGTATGCACATCACATTGGGGAATGAATCACAGATCTGCCGCCAATCACCCGCAGCGGTTTAATAACGCAAAAAGAGCGAGGCGCCGCGCCCTATGATCTGCCATTTGCGATTTACTTGGTCTCAGATGTGCAGACAGTATCCACCGCCTCAGCAGGTTCCGGCTCGAGGGTACTCGGATCGTGCTGGCGGCTGTGCGTGTCGCACAAGTACCCAGAAACTGGACTCAACTGACATTGAGACTTTGATCCATTCAGTTCCATCCATATCCACCCAGCAGCACGCGCCCCGCGCTCTCTCCGCCGCGGCTACTGCGCTGTGGCCCTCACAAGTCGAGACGGGAGTCTGGGTTAGCGAAGAGGAAATTTAAAACAAGCCGGGACGGGACCCCTTGGCATGAAGAGAACCTTGTTGTTCCATCGCTCACGAGGACAGTCTGTTGGCAGCTGAAACTATATACTACCTTAATCACCTAGCTAGGGCATATAGCTCATTATACTTGTCAACTCGTCCACGGCTAGAAAATGATTGATCCATTCGCATCTAGCAGCCCGCCGATCAGTCACTACAAGTCACTCAGCCAACCTCCATGGCAGTTGAGTCAATCACTGCCAACTTCGCGGCAATTCCAATCCTAACACTGCTTGGCGCCTGCACCGCTGCCCTCTCAAGCCTCTCCCTGTATTACCACAGGCCTGGAGCAGCCCATCAATCCCATTCCCACTGAGCCCTATACCAAGAACCACGTCAAAAGCCCACTTGGCTGCTAGCCCACCGCCTAGCCCGCTGCCCAACCCACTGCCAGCCCACCCCGAGCCCACTAAAAGCCTCTGAGCGCTAGCGGGAGTTGGCCGTGCTGGCGCTTCACTGGCAGGGGTCCTGTCTGCTGCCCAATTTTTTTGCCCACCCCACCGCTCTCGGGTTCCGCCAGCCTCTTCCTCTCCATTCGCCCATCGCCAACAAAAAGGGCTCGAGCTGCCTCGCGAATAGGCCTCGTCCCGACGCAAGCAATTCGCCTCTGGAGGGGCGATTCCCGTTGCTTCTCGCAGCCAATACTTATACAGCACGAACCATCTCGCACCGCATCGCCTCGCATCGCATCCGTCGCTGCAGTTCCAGCGCCCCTGCATCGCATCCCCAGCATCTCCCTTCACGCACGTGCCCTGCCGGCGGCGCTGCGTGTCTTGCCCTCGAGAGCTCCCCGGATTCGCCTGCTCAAACTTCCATAACCATCGTCGTTTGGGCCGGGCTAATCTCCTCCTGATATCCGACCTTTCGCTAGGCCTGTGTCTCTGTTGTGTGGTTGTGTGGTTGTGTGCCGCTGCCGTTCAATTTCAGCTGCGCCTTTGTCACAGTCATAGGCGAGTAATCCTGGGTGACACGGCTTGCGACTCACAGTCCAATTTCGTTCAAGAGGCTGAACCCACCGGCGCCTCACGATACCTCATAGGAAGGAGGAAGGGAATTGAACCAGCTTAAAGGAACACGAAAAAGGAATAAGAAAGAACCAACATGTCCATGTGCCGCCGCCATGTATCGACTTCAGCAGCATTTGTGATGGCGCATCGCTTCATGTTGGTTTAACTTTCTCACCGAAGCTGGTATTCCGCATCTTCCGCGCCGTCTTTAACTTCATCTCCCGTCCTTTAGATATTGATATTCGCATCTTCGGCATTCTTCTTATTTCAAGTTAAATTTCACCTTCGACTCTCCCCCACTGGCCGTCACCACACGATATGCTAGGACGGCTTCTGCATCTTGGCTCCGGAGGCCAGTCCATAGGCCCTACTCAGTCCACCAATGGCTCACGACCCATCCTTTCCCTGGAATCCGTCCAGGAAGACTCTCACACCCGCAACTTGCTTTTCCCCGACGCCCAGGATCTCTATCAGCACCGCAACGATCAAGTATTCCCATTCTTTGCCGCCCCGGCAACCTCTTCCGCATCGCCAGCAAACGCTTTCGACTACAACGATGACATCGAACTCGATGTCAAGGACGTTCGCGTCATCATCATGCAGGATGCCCTAGGTCCCACTAATGCGTCTCTGCTCTACGATAGCCACCCTCTTCCCGAGTCCGCAGCTTCCGCCGAAAGGCACTCTACTGCCACTCAGGATCTCAAAAGGGCGGCCCCCTTCTCACCTCGCAAGGGAAGCCAGAGCCAGGCTCCGCGCCCAACGGGTATTCAAACCGATGGCTCTCAGCTTCGCCAGGGAGCATTTGATCGCCGAGCCTCGGTTCACGGCCGTAGTCCCAGTTTTGGAGAAACTGATGGGCAGCGAGCTGCACGCGAGTATCGAGAGGAGCTGGCTACCTTCTCCAGCTGCATCTTTGGTAACTCAGAGCTCATGGCTTACAAAGGCACTTCCACAAAAGTCCATGTCGTGCCATCCGAGCCACGCGTCACCGACTATGGCAGCTCCATGTTTGGTGACGGCCGCAGCTCTATCGGCCGTGCTAGTGGGCGCTCAAGCAAGCTGTCCCAGTCCTATTCCTCTCAGACCATGTCTCCGACGCATCCACCGCTTCCCACCGGCGCCTCTACCCCACGCCATAGTGAGCGAAAGAAAGTTCTCATCACTCGGCTCTTCCCCGTAACTCTTGCCGCTGACGACTTGGATACTGCCACACCACCAAGCCGGTATTCAGATGACAATGGGGGATTCCCATTTCCGCCAACCGGAGACGAGGCTGCCGCCAAGAAGAAGAAGCCACAGCCAAAGCAGAGGCGCACGCCAATGTATGCTGTGGTCCTTGTCGTACAGCTCCCGCCTTCTCCGTCACGCATATCTTCGGCCGTACCCCCCAAGCCTGTCTTTCGCGAGCCAGGATCGTACAATGACCAAGATATGTTTTCTTCGTCCTACAGTTCGACTCGTGCGTCTGGCTGGAATATGTCGGGATCGGGCCTTTATGGCGAAGCCACAGATTCGTCATTCTCCATCGATGTGGAGGACCGAATCGATTCGCTTACCAAGCACTGGGACATTGTCATGCGCACCTTGACCCATCTTCAGTCTGTCGTCTCGTTCAGGTTGCACACCATGCTCAAGCAAACTGATATGGCATCCCCGGGACCGTATTCAGCAAATATGAGCTCCAGAAGACCATCCGTGACCACCGATAGGCGTCTAGACGAGTCCCGGAACAAGCCGTCCAAGGGCACCACCAAACTTGTCTCCCTGTTGCCAAACTGTCTCTCAGATGATCTGCATATTGCATCAGAAGTCGGTCTCGCCAGGTCCAGGGTTGTAATGGGCCTGAGTGCTTCTCGTGTCGTCACAGGGCAGGGGCGCTGGGGAATCTGGCGTGACGAGGCCATTTGGACTTGTAAATGGGCTGCTGGGCTGCATCAAGGTACCTTCCTTCATACCCTGCTTACTGGATTCTTGGCCACCCATGTCGACTGGCTGCAGGCGCTCAGCTCTCCTACATACAGGAGAAGAGCACTGGTTCGTAAACAGAATCAAAATGAAGATGATTTATCGCTGCCGGCGCGGACTGTTATCGTCTCAGAAGACAAGATGGCCGCACGACGCATCATCTTTTTGCTTTCTGCGTTTTTGCCGGCGAACCAGCAAGTCCACGGCCCTCGAGTACATCGACCAAGTACGTCGGGTGCTTCGGTTGGCGCATTTTCAAATTCGCCCCCTTCCTACGTTGTTCCCGTTGTGCGAGAGGAATCCCTTCGCCGCAAGATTAACCGCCGCACCGGCTTTGGGCGCACTTCTCACTCTAGAACAGCTAGTCAGAGCACCAGGAGTGGAACGTTGTCGTCCCAGATGGGACACTTGAACATCACAGATTCCTCAAGCCACCACAGACGTGCTTCCGATGCAGCTTCCATTCGAACTCCTGGTCTTCCCATCCCGGGCCATGACCTGATGAGCCGAAAAAGTAGCGTTGCCACTTCCACCATAATGCAGGACTCAACCACGCCGCATTTCTCAACAATTCAACGGACCGATAGCCTTAGGAGGCGACGCCCGGGAAGTAGTGGCAGCGCTGCGGCAGATGACCTGAAGCGATCTCTTAAAAGGGGAGAGAGCGGCGGTGCTGCAGGCGGTCGTCCGCCAAGCCAAGGACTGCGATGGAGCAGCATAATGAGCGGGCTATGGAATGCACGCCGTCGTGAGTCCATGGACAGCGGCAGCACTTACAGCCAAACTAGCGATCTGCGGTCGCCAATTAAAGTAGGCTTCCCTCAGTCAAACAGGCTGTCTGACATAGGTCGCGAGCTCGCCCCTCATGAGGAAGTGCCTGGGAGGTCACCGGCTCATCTGCGTCAAGCCAGTAATGCCAGGGATGTCGATGCGACGCGAGGAAACGCTGAGCGCACTCGGAAATCCCTCACTCAGGCCGACAGGACACCAGATCCTAACGGCGCCTTTGAGTCTCCTATCAAGACTTCAATCAATGCCGATGATAGTGTCATCGATGTTGACGTTCCCTTCCCCGACTACATTGCCTCCTTTGAGTCTGCCATTAGCTCCCCCTCTAGCAGCGGATACCTCTCGACACCAGGCCTGCCCGGCCTTGAATCTTTTGAGCAATCCGGACGTATCTCGATCGATGGTGATCTGCCCCTTAATGCGGCTGGCTGGTTGAACCGTTTCCATCCTGACTTCGTCCTGCAAGGAGTCCCTCCTCAGGATGACCTTCTCGAAAAGATCAAAGCTGCACTTCAGGCTGAGCCCACACCCACCGTGCTTCAGTCTGGTAGCGATGATGTCTCTGAGCGCTGGGTTGATGTATGCTCTGCTCTCGTCGTGGACACGACTAAAGATGCTATTATTCGCATTACATACCGCCGACTAGTTAAGCCAAAGCCAATCGTGGAAACCGTTATTGGAGGTGTTGCAATTACGCCCTCAGCTTTGCCGCAAGAGACTATGTTGGATGAGAAATGGGTGGAAGAATTGGTATCCGTGCCAGATGATACTTTGTCAGAAGCCTTGGAAAAGGTTATCCATCTCGTCCCAGAGTCTAGCAAAGAGCATTCTTCCGCTTCCTCTCAGGTTCATGTCGACATCCTTGGGCCTCTCGACACCGGTAGTAACATGCCAGATACGGTTTCTGAGGTCACGCAGACACCGGAGCCTCCTCTCGAAATACCTCGGAGACAATGCAAGACGGTAGTGCTTTCTGCTCTTGAAGACACAATTCGAGATGTTATTGACCGCAACGACGATGACACCCCCAACAACTTAGGACAAAGGCAGCAATCCCCGGCTAGCGAGAACGTACTACGCCTAGCAGTGAGGCAATGGGCCAATACTCTTGACTCGAGTGAATGAGTCCTGAAAGCTACACGGATACGACCCCTTTTGTACCCCTTTTGTACCACCTTTCACACACTTCATCCCATTTCCACGACACTTTTTCAAACGTTTCTTTCTTCATGACGTTATGAATTGGCTGCTACATTAAAGGACGACAAGTCAACCGAAACCTGTACCATCACCTTCTTAATACTTTGATTGCTCCTCATACCATATGATACCCCAAAGGGCGCAGAGATACCGCGTCTTATCTTTCTTCTTCTTTTGGGCCAACCATACTCACATTTACCTTTCACCTATTGCTTGTTGGCTGAGAAGGCCAAGCCTCCATTATCATTAAGACCTTTTTCTCTCTTTCGGTCTAGCGTTTGTTTGAGTTTGTTTTGCTTTTTCGATACTACTTGAATTGATTTTATGAGCGAGGCGTTTGGATGATATCAAAGGATACTACTACCTGCCTAGCTAAGGAATGCTAGTGCTGAGTTTTACACGATTCGCTATATAGAGCAGAATCTCACTTGAAGAGAAGAGTAAGCCGAAAGCGGCAAGACAAGCCGCTTTCTTGAGAATTTCGATAGATTATGCTTTTTAATGCTACAGATACACTTTTGTTTTACTTTCAGCCTCTGCTTTCCTTTCAATGTGCAACTTGTGTCTTCAATTTCGTACTTGTGTGAATCGTCTGCCCCTCTTGTAACTTAAAGTTGTAAAAACTGAACTCGAGAATTTTTAGATAATATTATGCCTGTACATTATTTCTAAACAACGCCTGTTTCTTATTCTTTTACCTCTTTTTACCCCCTTTACCCTTGACCTGATGCCTACCCGTCTTCGCCCTCTTCCTCTCCTTCTCCTGTCTCGCCCTCCGAATATCATGCACATCCTTCACCTCCTTCTTACTGCCCATACCATCCTTGAAGCGTCCCACACGCTTCTCACGAGCCTCATTAACCCTCTTCTTGCGCTTCTCAAAGTCATCCCTGTACTTGTCGGCCTCCTTGGGCGCCTGCTCCTTCTTATGCTTGTACCGCACGCCAGAGGGGAGATGGCCCACGCCGTTCCCGCCGCCCGACTTAACCAGCTCGCCCACCTGCGGCAGCTTGTGCACGCGGTTCGCCTTCTTCCACTTGTCGAAGCGTCCGCTCTGGAAGCTGGCCGCAATCTTGACGCCGCTCTCGCCGGTGATGAGGCGCGCGCCCTTTGAGCCGTCCTCGTCGTTTGCGCTGTTGACGTATTTCTTGGATTTGGCGTCCCAGCGCATGCGCGCGCGGGTCGGTGCGCCAAAGGCCTTTGCGGTCTCGTCGTTTGTGAGGTCCATGGCGGCGTCGCGGGCGAGCTCGACAAAGGAGGAGTTGTTGCCGCCAGAGTGGACGCCGTAACCGCGCTCTTCGGCGGCGTTGACGGTGCGGGGCGTGTAGGACATGAAGACGTCGTTGTCGCGCCAGTCGGTGCGGCCCTTGTCCTTTTTGGACTTGCCGGTGTTTGTGATGGTGACTTGGAGATCGTCGTCGCCGTAGTCGTCTTCGTCGTCTTCATTGACATCTTCATCGTCGTCATCGCTGTCTTGGGCCGGAGCACCGCCGAAATCGTCGTCGACTTCCATATCATTATCTTCATCTTCTTTCTCTTGCTGCTTGCGTGGCTTGACTCGCTTGCGCAGCTCCTTCATCACTTCTGCGGCCGCACTTGATGCTTTATCTCCCTGCCCAATCTCGAAAATGGTCTCTTGAGGCTTGAAGTTGCTAATCTTGGCCAACATGGCGGCCCGAGCCTCCTCTGCGTCATCGACGTCCTCGCCGAAAAGGGGATGCAGCTGTGACCAGCCCCTGGATGCTACTTCTTCTCTTGAACGCTTTGCGCTCTGACTTGAGGCCGAGTTTCGAGTCTTCATGTAGAGCTTCTCTGCCTTGGCGGCTACGGTTCGTAAGGCGGCGACATCTTCGCTCTCATTCATGAATTTGTTGAACCATTCCATGTGCGTGCTTACAGAGTCGCGCTGCAGAGTTCCAACGACAACGTCCTCGGTGTATGATGGATTCTTCTCTGCCTGTCCAACAACTAGTTTCTTGCCGAGGAAGAGCTGTAAGTCTAGCAGATACGGGGCATCGATATCTCGCACCAAACTGTAAGCCCAACCCCTCTGGCCGGCACGAGCTGTACGACCAACTCGGTGGATGAACACTTTGGGTTGCGGGGGAAAGTCGTAGTTGATGACGTTGGCCAACACGGGAATATCAATACCTCTGGCAGCGACATCTGTGACGACTAATAGATTGGTTTTACCATTTCGGAAATCTTCTACCTGTATTCTTCGAGCGGTTTGATCAAGAGAACCGTATACGTGAGATGTGGCAAATCCAGCTTGTTGTAACAGGTTGTAAAGATATTCGACGTGATGTTTTGTGGCTGTGAAGATGATTGTAGAGTGCTGTGTTGGCTTTCCGGAGCCGCCGTCGGGTCCACGCTTTCGCTTCTTGGAATTGTTTTCTGTCGACTCCTCCGGGCTGGCAGGGGGTCCGAGAGGGACTCTAATCACATCGTGAAGGATATGGAGCAGGGAGCCTTCCTTTTCAGCTCCCTTGACGGAGAAGAATGCAATCTCCAGGTCGGGGGACATCTTGGTATCTGCATCGAGTCGCACAAGGCTGGGATCTTGGAGACCGGCGCGGGCAAACTCGACTAATGAGGCTGGAAGCGTGGCGGAGAAGAGAAGTGTCTGTCTTGAAGGAGGGAGCGCGTGTAAGATCTCGGTCAACTGAGTAGCGAAACCCATCTCGAACAATCGATCGGCTTCGTCGAAGACGACATATTTGATGGATGAGAGATCAAGGTTCATCTCGACCTTGAGATGCAAGAATCGACCGGGCGTGGCGATGACGATGTCCGGGTTCGCAGACATGAAGCCGAACTGCTCCTCCAGGCTGTCACCTCCGACCAACAGCACGGCCTTGAGATCGGTTCCTCGGCCGAGTTCCTTGACAACCTTGAGCGTCTGGATGGCCAATTCTCGCGAGGGCGAAAGGATGAGCGCTCGGGCACCGAATTTGGAGCTATGGGCGCGCAGTCGCTCAATCATGGGGATGACAAAGGCGGCCGTCTTTCCTGAACCGGTTCTGGCCATGCCAACGACATCTCGTCTTTCGAGAACTAGGGGGATCGTTTTCCTCTGGATCGGCGTCGGGACTGAGAAACCCTTGCGAGCGATGGCTTTGAGGATATTCGCATTGAGACCTATGCAGTAGAGAGTTTGTTAGTGCTGGTTTGCTAAGTGGAAGAGTCGACTGCTTTTCGCTTACCCATTGCTTGGAAACCACCGCCTTTCTTAACCGTCCTGCCCTTCAAATTGGAAGCCTTGCGATATGAAGCCGCCTGCTGCAGCGCAATGAAGGCCTCATCGTCATCCTCGCCATCTCCTCCCGCGCCAGCATTGAGAAAGCCATCAAAGTCGAGTCCATCTTCGCCGAAGCTCTGTCCTCCGTTCTCGCCTTCGCCGGGGTATAAAGAGTCGAGAATGTCCAGCTCCGGCTCGGAAGCAGCGGGCGATGCTGCACGACGACTGGGCATGATTGCGACGCGCGATATGCTGTGAATTGCGCTGATTTGTTGTTTCGCAATCACTGCCACCAGACTTAGCAGTAATGCTACCTTCAGACAGTGAAGCCGTATCTTTTTTTTTCGTCTCCATCTAAAAGTTCGGGCTTATCTTATCAGCCCAGTGGGGTGCGGGAACAGCCAAGAATTATGGAGTCCAACCCCTGCCATCCAAGTCTCTTAATGCGGCATTGCGCGCATCCACTTCGTCTTGACTGCGAATCATCTTTGCCAATCGCCCAACTGAGAGCACGCGAGAGCTGCTGCGGCTTCGTTTCGACGTTTGTTCAACCACTCGCCAGACGCTCGTTGTTCCCCGCCTCACTTTCTGATATCATCGCCATCTACAAAGAGGGATTGTCATATATTATATAGGATACCCATCTCTTTCAAGCATCAACCGAAAATCATCATGGCGGACGTCGACACAAAAGAAGACAAAGATGCGCTCGATGCTCTCGAGCTAGAAGCCAAGGAATTCGACAAGGTACGCTATGCGCTTGCAATAAATTCATCGTTATGCTAACAAGCTCATCCCAGGATGCCGAGATTGATCGAATCCTAAAGGCGTTTCGCCTCGATGCGTGAGCACTCTCCATCCCGACAACACCACGCTGTCTAATGCCTTCATCTACAGATATGCCGTCCTAGACCTCCAACCCGGCGTCCCCGAATCCGACATCAAAATCTGCTACCGCAAAAAGTCCCTCCTCATCCATCCCGATAAAACAAAGAACCCGCGCGCGCCCGACGCCTTCGACCGCCTCAAAAAGGCCCAGACCGAGCTTATGGACGAGAAGCACCGCGAGCGCCTCGACGAAGCCATCGCCGACGCCCGCATGCTGCTCATCCGCGAGAACAAGTGGACCGTCGACAGCCCCGAGCTCAAGACGGACGAGTTCGCCAAGAAGTGGCGCGACAAGGCGCGCGAGGTGCTCATCGACAACGAGCACCGGCGGCGGCGCCAGATGAAGGCCCAGCTGCAGGAGGAGGGTCGCGAGCAGCGCCGGCAGGACGAGGAGATTGATGATAGGAAGCGCAAGAGGCAGCATGAGCAGGATTGGGAGGCGACGAGGGATGTGCGAATTAATAGCTGGCGAAATTTTCAAAAGGGGAAGTCTGGTGATCCGGATAAGAAGAAGAAGAAGAAGCTTAAGCCGATTGGGTGAGGGAGCGGGAATATGAAGCAAATCATTTCAACTTGCGACTCCATTTGATTTCTCGTTTTTTATTCCGCTTGAAAGGAGTATATGGTTTCGGCGGATTATTTTCAGTAAGAGGGGTTTCATTTTTCTGTGAGTTGCTTGAGTTTCGTGATGGACTTGACATCTGACAATGGTAGCCGATGATATCAAAGACACAAACATCAAACATGACAGATGGCACCTCTACTTCGATGCACAGAGATGGTGGCATTCTAGCAGAAGCATAAGACCATGGATCACAGAACACATGGTGGAGATGACGACGATCTCCTTGTTACATCGCTCCAACAGTGGGTTCCATTCATCATACTTGAAGCACATAGAGCAGGCAAATAGCATATACACACAAATACATGTATCATCTCATATATTAACGAGGGGAGATTGGTCTCTGCGAAAACAAAAGTCTCTTCGCCTCCTTTTTCTCCCCTCATCGCTTTTCTCTCTTGAAATAAGTAGTAGTAGTAGGTAGTTGCAGTTATTAATATACACAATGCTCACCAAAAGCGTCTCACGGCCCGAGCATGGAGCGCCATCCGTCAATGATATCCTACACCATTCGAAACCCCCTTTTTTCATTTTGTTCGCGGTCGTTATAACAACCATCGTATGCAAGCTCTCCCCTCCTTCATAGTTACCTCGCCCACTCTTTTTTAAATATGTATTCGATTTCCCCAGGTCTATGCAAAATGAGATCGTCCATCCTCCATCCTCCTTTTGCCCGAGGCTATCAATGTTTCATGCATGATCGCGTTAGAATTCTTTTCCCGTTTTTCTTTCTGTTTTAGATTTTGAGCCTGTATAACAAAATGCTATACAAGGTAAGATTAATCGTGAACCCGTTCCCGAGAAGAATCGAGCTTAGTCAGAAGTAGGCTTATTCTCCTTCTTCCCCTTGTCATCGCTTGTCGATCCGTCGGTAGATCCCGGTGTGCCTGATGAGGCTCCATCCTTCTCGTGAGCAGGGTGGTTAGTCAGCGTATGCCACACAGATTTGAGGAATCCTTCGTCCTTGTGGGAGTTGGGGTCATTGGGATCGGAGCTGGAGCTGCACGTCGGAGAAAAGCTGTATGTTAGTGAACGATCCTATACGTATATGAGCAGCTCAGGTTTTGGAATCTCCCTCTGACCTTGACGAAACGTTCATGACGCGGCGAGCTGACTGGTCGTCCATCTCATCGGCGAGCATCTCGAGAATGGTTCGCTGGCTGGCGCTGAGCGATTTGGGCATCTTGACTCGGAACTCAACCTTGAGGTCGCCGGATCCCGCCCTTCGTGAGCCAAGTCGCTTCATACCCATACCTGGCAGCGTGACCTTGTCGCCTGTGTTGGTGCCGGTGGCCACCTTGAGATTGACCGATCCGTCCAGCGTGGGGATTGTCACCTGTCCACCCAGAATGGCCGTGGTGAGGGGAATGTTTGCTGTGTAGAGAATGTTGGAGCCCTCGCGGCCGAACTTGGGATCGGCGGCCACTCGGACAAAGACATAGAGATCTCCGTTCTGGGCCCGGGAGTTGGCGGATGTAGACCTTCCGGTGATGGGAGCATCGCCGGCGCCGTCTATCCGGAGTCGCATGCCATCTTCGATACCGGCCGGAATGTCGACTGTAATGGTCTTCTTGTTGCGCACAACTCCCTGTCCAGAGCACGTCCGGCACTCTGAGCTCTTGGGGATAGTTGAACCAGTACCTCCGCAGGATCCGCACGTCGAGGCCATCTGGAAGCCGCCCTGCGCATAATGCACCCGTGTGCCTGTTCCATCGCAAGTGTGGCACTGCGCCCGTTGTGCGCCAGCCTTCAAACCGCTTCCTGAGCATGTGTTGCAGGTTTCCACCGGCGTGATGGTGATGGAGTGGCTCGTGCCCTTGGCAGCCTCCATGAAGCTGATGCTCACATGGGCCTCAATGTTGTCGCCCACCAGAATCTCCTGCTGGAAAGGATTCGATCGACGGCCGCCGCCGCCAAAAGCCGAAAACAAGTCCTCAAAGTTAAAACCCCCGCCAAAGCCACCTCCAAAGCCGCCCTGGGCACCGAATCCTGCGAAGGGATTGCCGCCCGCAGCTCCGGCAAACGGATTGCCTCCAGCTGCGTTGGGATCGAAGCTCGCATCGCCAAATTGGTCGTACTGCTCTCTCTTCTTCGGGTCGGAGAGGATCTCGTAGGCAGTCTGGATCTCGCCAAACTTGTCCTTGGCCGTGGGGTCCTTGTTCGTATCGGGGTGGAACTTCTTTGCTAAGCCATAGTATGCTTTCTTAATCTCGGCAGCCGTCGCAGACTTGTTTACACCAAGAGCCTTGTAGGGATCCTTTTGCGACAAGGTATTGGTGGCATGGAAGGTCTATCACGAACATGTTCTGTCAGAATCTGTGGGGCATGTAGTCATAGTTTTTGGCGCTCGGAGACTCACCCTCTGCGATACTCGGCTCGTCTTGTGCTCTTTCCGGGCATTGGGTCTCTCGGATCCAGAGCGAAACGACGCCGTGTGAAGCTGAGCGCCTTTGCGCAGGCATTGTTGGATTTTCGGGCGTCCCGAGAGGTTGTGGCTCTTTGCAAGTGCCCGCGCCGGAGCTGCGGCCTTGGAGAGGAGGTTTGACATGGTTCGGCACGGCAGACCCAATTTGATGTGGTATTATGTCTTTTTCTTCTTTTTGCTCTTCTTCTTTTTATCCTCGTTTACGCTTCTTCTTCCTTTCTTCGCAATCAATCCTTCTGCGCCCAAGCCGAGCAGATGAATCGGACAAATCAAATCGATGAGGAATAAGACAAACAGAGAACTGGAGAGAAAGGCTAGAAGCGAATCGGCTTAAACTGGCGCGGCTCGAAATTTGTCCCCTCTAAAAAGTTATTAAGCAAAAGAAAGCTCTCCACCGAGCGATTCTATCGTTATCTGGCGAACCAAAGAACTTGCACGAATATGCATCGAAGAAAAAATTAAGGTGGGGTCTCTCTTCTGTCACACAGTTCTCCAATGAGAGCTCAACTTACCGCGCTTCTACCGATTTTAAGCCGAGGTCATGTGTTTTGCTTCTTCGATAGCGAAACGCAGCTTTCTTGGTATGCCGTCATAAGCCGGCCGATCCCGCTCTCCGGGTGCCGCTTTTGCTACGGTCTGTGAAAGCCAGTTGATCATGTCCAAATGGCAGAGCAGCCGTTATCAGCCTAGCTATTGTCTAGGTGCATTGCGCTGTAGGCTATGATACACGAGTTGCTGCCGCGATCTTCGGATGTTGGAGGGGTAGTCATTTTGGGATCGGCATTGGAGATCCAGGCTTTATCAAAAGTACCTAGGTATGGTCTCGAGCTTCATTGGGGTCCTGCGGTAGCTTCCATTACAGCCTCTGTCGCAATGAATTTAAAAGAGACAGCTTTGTACCATCAGCTCAGCATCTATGAAGAAGGATAAGATGTCTCGCTTGCTAATAAGCGACACCTGCCGCTTTCTTATTTTACGCGCCGACCGAGAATTGATAAGCCAGCCGCTTGGACCCGCCGAGAGCAACGGGGGTTTGGATGACAGGCAGACAGACCGACAGCGGGGGGCCAGGCTATGGTGTTTGTCAGTATGGCAGTACAGTAGAATGCCTTGCATGATTACATGGACAAAGCCGGGTATGCACTGTACCCGGTTTATTGCAGTGACAGATGCAGAGGCGCAAAAGCTTTCTCCAAGAACAAATTAAACCGCTCCGAAATCAAAGCCGCCTCATGCACGCCTTGTTCCAGCCCCGTCCCGTTGGCTGATGCTGATGGCGTCCGCGTACCTACATTGTGCTGGCATGTCATCAATGTATGTCAGAACTGGACATGGGACGCACAGCAAAGTGGACCGTCGAACCACCACAGCCCGGCCCGTGCCCTATGGAGGATTTCTTCAGTGTCGGTCATCCTTGTGTGCCTGTCCCGTGTCCCTCCTTTGTCTCGCATGCAATGTTTCACGCCACCTTTTCCTTTGTTTCTCAAGAGAGGAGAGGAGATTCCATTTAAACTGTCAAAAGGGAAAATCGCTGTGGACAAAAGACTTGTAATCGTTTCAATAATATTATGCTATATTTGCAAATTCGCATCAAAGAACCCATTGTAAACAAAACCCATCAATTCGTTCTCTCCTCTTTGGGGGACGATGTCAAATAGATATCTGCCAGACCGGTACTTGCTGGTACACTGCTTTGTTCTAGCACACACACAAAAAAAAAAAATCCGAACCCAACAAGCTCTTCGTTCCCTAGTATTGCACCACCAAACGGCGCGACGGGAGCCGACATGACTCGCATTGGAGAAACATGACAAGCAGTAAAAAAAAAAGGAGAACAAGTTCAGAGTGCCAAACGACTCCCACGGGTATCTACCGCATACAAGCACACAGCTGGTGTGCCGTGGTCAGGAACCTAGAAAACGCCAAAAACACCGATCCATGCTAAGCAAAATCTTGGAGCCTCGCTCTTTCTCTCTCTAGAGCGCTTCATATGTATAAGGGATCGGTTCAATCTGCCACCTCGATGCTGTATTTGGTCGGTGATTGGTCCTTGACGTCTTGGTGGTTGCGGACTTTGTAGATGAAGTCGACAATGACATCGTTTTCTTGGATGCCCAGCCCATTGAAGTGCTTGCGCACAGCTAGGGCGAGCTGATCTTTGGACTGTCGCTTGATCTGTTGCTTGCGAACCATTGTGGGGGAGTATAAGCCCAAGCTGCCGGGTCGTGACAGCACCCAATTGTGAAAGGAGCTGGTGTAGGAGGACGGCGTGGTGAGCTCGTGCTCGCGGAGGTAGGCGTGGAGGGATCGTCGCTCGAAGGAGGCCCAGGGAAGCTGTTGTGGGAGAAGTGTCAGTGTTTGTTGTCTTTAAGTAGGGAGTAGTAGCAGCTGTGACCTTGAAGAGATCAAGCAGCCGCAGAAGAGGAGGCAATTTGACGTACGCTGGGCAGAAGAGGCTCGGTCGGCACTTGTACGGGCGCCGAAGTGGGAGCGGCATGCAGCTCGCGGTTCAGAGCAGCGTGAGACTGATGGCTGGCACCGCGGCGCATCTTTGTAGAGCCGTGGCCGTTCTTCCCTCCGGCGGGAGTGTCGGCTTTGTGATCGTCGTGATCTTTTCGAGAGTTCTTTGTCGGGGCCATGGTAGGCGACTGGAGGAGGGTGGACCGAGAAGCGGCGGACGCAGGGAGGTTTCTGGCTTGAAGCTACTGCTAGCAGTAGAGGCTATGGCAGTGACAGTGTGGTATATGGAGTAAAACAGAACGCAGGCCACGAGAGAATCGAGCGTCACATCTCATGGGCAAAAGTGCTTGTGTGCGGGATTGCGAGGTTCGGAGGAGGAGAAGCGAGCAAGCGACCTGGAGAGGACCCTGCCGGCACAGCAGCAGCAGCAGCAGCACCTGACTGCTAGCACCACTTGAGTAGGTCGACATGTACCGCTCGACGCTTTTTTTCCCGGCAGAATGACGCGCTACCGGCCTTGACGCCGCCCAGGTATCGCGCACAGCCAATTTCCGTGCGGAGATACTTGCGCCATCCAGAGGCCCATGGTGTTACCCCACCTAGTGGGGTCAATTAAAGCGTCGCGTGCACCGAATTGGCTGCGTGTGCCTTTTTGCTCTCTTTTCCCGGCCAGGGGACTCAGCGATGGCTTGGGCTAAAGCGAGCACGTACCTCTTTTCTCTCCTCCATTCTCTCTTCCACTACTTGAACGTCGCCCATGGCGATGAAGCTTGGGGACCGCTTTTAATTTTCAATTTTTTCTTTTACACTGCTGATTCTTCTCGTCTTTGCCGTCGGTCCACTGTCGAAATTTGCTAGTCTGGCCTATTTTTTCTGTTCCTGAGCCAGCTGCTAGCGCCGAATTATCAATTGTGTGTAACGGTCTCGCAAAAAAGTAAAAGTCAATCCCCGTTGGGCAAATCAAACGCACAAACTCAGATGCAGCGCTGGGTCAATATTTCCACCAGCTATTAGCAGAGTTTTTACAAGTCAAAAAGACAAAATCAATCATGATATGCCATCTTCTTACTCAAGTAAGCCGTGTGCTTTAATGCCTGATGTAACCGTTTCATTAATGCCCTTGAACTGTTTTGAAACAAATTTGCGTGCCGAACAATGCGATAAGATATCAGTGATGTCACTGCGCCCCAGAAACAGTCGACAAGCTGGTCCCTTGCCCTTCTCGCCCAATCAGGACTAGCGCCAGTCGCTGCTTTGAACGGCCTCTTGCAGAGCACTCGGAAATAATCCAATATGATATGATACTTCATATGGAAGAAGATTGCAAAAAGAGACGGATTTTTAGCGAAGCAGACCGTGATGCTACTTATGATGTTTCTTTTTCAACCTTACAGCTCCGTGCGAATTTAAGAAATCTGGCCTGGTTAAAGTAATTTTCTTCCTTCGCGCCGCAAACCCAGCACTTAAAGTCAATGGAGAAGAAAGCTACTAGGTACTTGTAGGGAGTTGGCAGCTTCCGGGCGAAATAATGGACCAGTTCAAAGCGTTGTAAATTGGGCTGGGTTAAACATCCTACCGCGAATAGAATGTCAATTTTTCCTTCACAAAGGATTATGATGGAAGAGCTTCAAGGAGTGTTCCAAACGCTTTGCAACGATGGGGGCCGACGCATGCACCACTATAAATAGTACACCGACAGGCCTCGGAGAGGGTTCAACATGCTCTGAAGGTTCTATTGGGACACCGACCAGATTCAGCCAAGATTCATCAACGGTTGAAGGCGCCGGGGAGGGTTAAAAATGCTGTGAAACCAGTATGATGGCGTCAGCCATAGAACATTGCAAGCCTCACAGATTTATGCAGAAACGGTTGAAGGCCTCGAGGAGGGTTGAAATTGCTGTGAAAGATGATCTCGCGGACCAAAAAATTGATTGGACAGCCATCATGCCAGAAAACGAATTGATTGGACACCACGTCATGCGTTTTAGCGGTAAAGATATCTCAAGATTCTTTAACAAATTTGGATGCAAAGAATGAAGAACGCTGAGATGTATTAGAGCACCAGTATCTAGTATGCCTAGGTAGTGATATCAAGTATGAAACAGAACAACTCTCTAAAACCACAGCTCATTGTCACCTCATCTTTAAGGATACCTTAATGTGATGCGGCATTGTGCCTTGGTTGATACATACGCTATCCAAACATCATGTTGGATGAAAACCTTTTGCTTCTGCCATGTCGATTTGTTTGCGATATGACATATGCATTTGACTTACATATACGGCTACAGCTGCAGCAATATAGTTCTGAGCATATGTGCAACACTCTATTCCATTTATCACTTTCTAGGACGCTGAGTTTTTTTTTTTTCTTGCGCGCAGTCATTTTTTGCTTAGTTCATAATAGTCTGTTATATTTCGCTATGTTGCGCATAGTTTCGTCTCAACGCCCAAATCTTTGTGTCCGTCTCTCTCTCAAAGATGCGCTCGTTAACAAAGATGAATCGCAACTTGAACAGCACATAAATCTCTCTTTTATAAAAACAAATGAAAAGAAGATATTTTTAACTACTCTATAGATGACGCAGATACATATATAAATTTTGCTTCATACCTTGATTATCCATTCCCATCATCGCGCACTCAATCCTTCTCATCTTCAGCTGCCACAGTATATTTTCACGATGCCAGAATATTATCAGGATTACACTGTATGTGCATACTCTCCAAGATTTATCCATCTCCAGTTACATCAAAGTTAACCATTCTTCGCCTTCATAGGGTGCAATAATCCGAGCAAGATGGATGCTCGAGGGTGAAATCGGCGCTGGAGGCTTTGGCCAAGTCTATCTAGGTGCATTCCCAGTAAAACTCCATGCTCTCAACCGTTACAATCATTAATCCTTTCCGTCTTCATCTTACTCAGCCACCGATCTCAAAACAAACACAATCGTCGCCGTCAAAACCTCCCCCCTCAAAACAAACCCCAACAACAGCGCCAGCGCCGAAGGCAGCCTCCAGCACGAATCCGCCTTTTACAAATACCTCGGCGAGCAGACCGGCATCGCCACCCTCCACGACATCGGCACCAATGACCTCTACAGCATCGAGTTCATGGTCTGCGACCTCCTCGGCGCTTCGCTGTGGTGCTTGCTCGGACGCTGCGGGCACCGCTTTTCGCTCAAGACGACGCTCATGCTGGCGGACCAGCTGATTTCGCGCGTGGAGATGCTGCACTCGAAGAATATCGTGCATCGGGACTTGAAGATGGAAAATATCGTCATGGGCTTTGGTAAGGAGGATGGAAAGACGGCGTATATTCTTGATTTTGGCCTGTCTGGGTATTTTCGGCCCCAGAGCGATTATAAGACTGCGCCTGGGTATTATATTGCTGGAACTATGGAGACTGCTTGTATAGCATGGCATTTGAATCGTGTAAGTATACTCCAAATTTCCCCCAAAAGTCAAGTCTAACGTCTTATGCGTATGGAGCCTCAATCTCCCAAAGACGACCTCGAATCACTCGCCTACGTGCTCATCTATCTTTTCCGCGGCTACCTCCCCTGGACAACCGACGGCGGCTCTCTCATCGAATCCTACTCATCCGAACGCACCCTCAAGCTGAAGCTCTCCTTACCCATCGAAATCATCTGCAAAGACATGCCCTCCGAGTTTGCGAGACATCTCAAATACGCCCGGTCCCTCAAGTATGAGGACACGCCAAACTACGGTAAGCTGCAAGACATGTACCGGCGACTGATGAAGCGCATGGGGTATCAGTATGACGGCGTGTACGACTGGGACTTGAAAGACAGGAATATCGATGAGATCAAACAGCCATCTGGTGTTATCATACCAGCCTCTGCACAAGACAAACCATTGGAACAAGAGAAGCCTGTACCACAAAGCGAGTCTTTAATTCCAGAGACACCTTTGGCTCAAAATAAGCCTTTGGCACAAAGCAGCCCCTCACCAAAAGACAACCCTCTCAAGCGAAAGAACCTCGAAGATGACAAAGAAAATGTTGAACAAGAGGATGAACCAGAGGAAATCACACAACCCGCCAAAAAACGCAAAATCATACTCATCAAAGCAACCGACGAAAAGCAGCCCGCACTAAGGCGCCGGGGCAGACCACCCAAAGCACAGCCCAAACAAGCCATCACAAAGAATGCGCAAGAAGCGGCCATGACCACTAAAAAGGTCGCCGAGACCAATGAGGTTACAAACAAAAAGGCTTCTCCGAGGAAGAAGCCGGTGGCTCGAAAGAAAGCGTGTGAATGATTAAGGAAAGGGCATCATTCTGGAGAGGCCATCTCGGGTAACACAGCATATAGGGGAAAGGTGTCAAGAGGGAGAGAAGAAAGATGTCTGCAGGGCAGCATTAATAGAGTTTCATTCACGTCACAGTATGACAGCTTAGCATATAGAGTTTCGAAATTATATTGAACGATTTCCATAAGTTATAAAGCAACCTTAACAACGATGTAGGTGAATATATATATAATACGAATTCCAAACGGCAACATAACCCATACTATTTTCTTGCCCGTTCCAATTCCCGCCGGCCATAGGCTCCACGCCCGTTTAAAACCCAATTTAGCAAGAGGTAGCCATGCGCATCCCGCCATTCATGTTGTCATCAAGAGAAAATAAAAATAGAAAGGGGGTATTGTTTTTTTCTGGAAACCAAGCAAAAAAAGTTATTGCGCCGTCCCATATGATTGGAGACACATCCGCCAGCTATCCGCAAGTAAACATCGCTCTCGCTCAGCAGGCTTTCCTTCCCTATCGACGTGTCCCTTCCCTTTGACTCATGGCGAACAGATAGAAAAATAATAAATAATCTTGCAAAGAAGAAGAAAATGCACAGCGAAAAGCAAAACGAATTTCAGTGTAAAAGTCATCAGTAAGACGTAACAATCGCTTATGCCAGAGCTTACAGGACGTTGCCGCCAGAGTTCAGCACAATGCAGTTATGCAAAAGGTTCGCTCCTTCATGCAATAGCTCCCATCGAGAATTGTCAAAGGTATCCTTGAGCACCATGAGTAACGCCGTGTTGCCGTTGATGCCTCTCATGTTTCGTAGCTCATTCGGATCAGTAACTCCGCCGTATTTCGTAAGGTACGCTCTCATTTGCTGCCACTGCTCTTCATGTCCCACTGGCGTCGATCCAGTCAAGAAAGGTCCCTCCACAGCATATCCGTAGCACCAGACGACGAGTGCCGCGAAGTAGAGTACCCAAGGTCGATTCAAGAGCACATCATCGCGCGTCTCGTATGGCTTATCGTGGTCAGGGCTGGTTGAATACGGAGGACCTGCTTGATCGGGCACGAGAACCGACAAGAGAAACTTCAGCGCGTAATAAGTAGCATCGCGAGCCCTAGCAGATGGTGCCCAGTATTCCTTGATTCTCCTCTGGGCGCTGAGGAATTCTTGATGTCCAATAGAGCGACCAAGCAGTCGCTTTGCACGGGCGAACATCTGACAATCCACAATGTCTGCATGCATAGCCATGTGAGCCAAATGATGTAGTACTGTACGGCTTTCAAATACGACGTTAAAATCTTGCTGCTGCAAGTCTAGTCTGTAAGGGTCAGAGTCATTTAGCTCCAGTGCCCTGTCAAAATTTGATTTCCATGAATCGTATGCTCTGGTGAGAGTTGCCCGCCACTTGTCTCGTCCGCCCAGGGCTTGGATGACACCTCCTCCGAGGACATTAACCTGAAGATCGCGCTGGTGCATATGGTATGTGACACTGAGAAGTCCTGCCATGAGAACTGAACGGCCAAACGGTGTCGTCCGCACATCCTGATGGCTCAAAGTGCGTTTCAAACCTTCGAGAAACGTGACGGGCTTGATGCCTCGAGACATGAGATTGGCTTCGACTCGGCCTACATCTGCGCTGCTCGCGGCCCTCCAAAGGGACTCATCGCAAGGCAGTGTTAATCTCATCTCATGCGCTACCATCACCGCTGAATGGCCAAACATGGTGGCATGGGTAGAGTCTATAATGAAAGCAGCAAATGCAGCTCTCCGAGTTGCCTCGTTTGTGATCCAATGGTTCCACCATTCGTCTGCTGTATGAGCTATGCCAGAAGCCGAAGACTTTCGCGATCCATCTGAGCTGTGTTGTGGAGGTGAATCCAATGTCGATTTCCCAATAAGAGACCGCCCTCTCCTCATCAACGTCACCGTGGTGGCGTGATGAATATGAGCACGTTCATGAAGCTCTCTCGTCGAATACATCTTTTCGTAAAGCTCGAGCAGGATCAGCGTCTGGAAAACCCAGAGTTTGGCCGGAGGTCGAAAGCTACGTTCCATAAACACTTCCCATCGAAGATGCTCAGCTAGGAAATTAGATACTTCAGCTCCAGCCATTGTCACTTTAGTTCCATGAGTCCTATCCAGGCAAGCAGCACCAATTGCCATGATGGCAATGAGCAATAAATTGGGCGTCTTTTCCGTAGCAAATGTCGGCTTGTGCAAGATTGGCATCTGATCGCTAAAGTGGTACCAATAGGAGCCGACATAGGCCTGCATCATCCTTCTGCTCAGCATGTGTTCTCCGGAAGAGCGATCGCCACTTAAAATGCTGATACGTCGCTGCCTCGCGGATAAATCTTCGTCGTCCTCTTTGAATCGCTCACTGATCAAGTCGTAGATCTCCTGGCTGCGCTCTTCAGTAATACTTGCCTCTGGGGCATGCTGCTCCAAGAGGTTATTAACGGCCATGACATCTTGCGGGTCAGAAGGAAAGAATCCCACAGTTGATTGATCCAAGTAGTGATCTCCATGATCGCCATTTTGCGAATCGCCGTAGCTAAACAAAGTTCATGTTAACCTCTTTGAGTCCCAGCTATTAATGCATCTTGAGAATACCTACCTTAGTAGAGGGGGTGGCAGCGCTTGTGGATGGGGAGAGCCATTCTGCGGTAGAGAGTTGAAGAGGTAGGCCATGAAGTCCTCGGGCATTCCCACGTACGGAGACTTGTTGACGCCATCGTCAGCAAAAACCGGGCCACTGCTTGACATTTCCATGTGATCGAGTATCATCATTTCGTTGGGGTGAGAGTGGTGAGCGTCAGAGTACTGTGCTGACGCCGTCGTCGCTGTATGAGGCATTGCTCCATCTCTCGGCGCCGGGGCAGTTTGCAAGTGAGAATATTGTGCAGGCGGCAAGCTCAGTGGGAGAACATTGTGCTGAGGAATAAACCCAGCGGTCTGCGGGGTGCTACTGGACTGGCTGTGGTAACCTTGATGGCTGGACGCTGGCGATATCACACCGTAGGGCCCGAGATTCGTTTGGATTGACGGCCGACTCGGCTGCCCGTGAGAAGGACCCAGACCAGAAGGTATCCTGCGAGGAGGTGCCGCGCTATGTACGATGGGATCACGCGCAAAAGCATCATGTCCAACAGACGATGCGCTACCAGCAAAGAGAGGAGGGCCGACATTGTTTATAAGCGGATAGGGATCCCCTGGAGGCTCTTGAGGAGAGGGATGATAGTGATGTGTTAGTGGGGGTGGTCTTGGATCGTTATATCCAAGCACGGGCACAGGCGCGGGCGCGGGCGCAGGCATAGCAGGACCAGGCCCTTGGCGAATTTGATCAGCAGGCACAAGTTTGGGAGAAGTAACAGATGCCGCATGGCTGGCCATGGAGTCTCTTCTGTTTAGCTGCGAGCCCTTGGCCGTGTGTCTATCCATGTGACGTTTCAACAAATCGCCTCGAACAAAAGTCCGCGGACAGTCTGGATACTCGCAGTGAAAAATCTGTTTAGAATTATGATTAAGCTGATGCCGGTATCTGGCTTGTTGTTAGTCTCGCCTATCCGATATGTTTGGATGCCGCAGCTTGAGAATATCCCGCAACAGGAAGCCGCCTCATATACGTGCTGGTACGAAGCAACAGTATGTCGACTTTCGCACAAGATGCAAAGAGGAAGTCCACAAGGTGGCATAGGTTGGGGCCAACTTACAAATGCTCTGCTCTTGAATAGCTCTTTCCACAACCCTCGGCGCTGCATTCGAATCTCTTCTCGAGACCTTTCCGACTGCGTCTTCGCTTTCGCGTGGGCTCCTCGGAGTTTGATGAGCCATCATTCTGGTCGTCACCAAGCTTCTTCTGGCTCTCGTCACGACTGGAGATGCCATTTTCCGTCTTGACAGCTTGGCGAAGCTCGGCTTGTCCAGAGCCATCTGGCGACGCGCCGCCTCCATCACGGGCGGAGCTCGACATTGCGGTGGAGCTGGCCGGGGAGATGGGTAAAGTTGGCTTTGCCGTCAGGGACCGATCTACACTAATAGTCATAGCTCGATTTGAAACGGTTTCTCTCGTTGGCAGAGAAGTCAAGGACAGCAAATCGAGGGTCCGCCAAAAGGAGGCAGTCGAGGGAGCGGCCGGCTCGTCGGGTTCGTTGGATGAGAGACGAGGATGAAAACAAGAAAGGATTGCGCAACGCACTCGTCTCGGACCAACCTCCGCTCAAAGATCCTCTTTTTCCCTTTTTCTCTGGCCTCTCGAGTTTAGCCTTGCGGGACCCCCGTTTATGGGACTCGGCAGCGGAAGCGGGACACTCAGGCCAGGAACAGGACAGGTGCTGGGGGTTGGTAGTTTTAGGCAAGACACGATAGATATCCTTCAATATCAGCCCGTCTAACAACTGGTTATTGGGATGCGCTCAATGCAACATGACGACCAGAATCAGCCCGACGGAACGACCCGGCCAGTGGATTGGATCCGGGGCCGATCATGCGAAAGAACAAGGAGACACGGCGAGGCCAGGGAAAGACGTTGAACGGCACGGCCGATAGCGCACCGTTGTGTGACGGAAATTAGGGCTCACAACTAGCAACGAGGCCGGCTCCCAACGATCCCAGCAGATAGATGAGAGAGCAACCGGCGATGAAGCAGCGCAGAACAGCGTCGTGTGTGACAGAAAAGAAGAGGAAGAAGAAGAAGAAGAAGCTCCCGCAAAGCAGTCTCGAGGCTGAAGATGGATCCCGCAGTCTGGGGAGGGGCCCGTAGTCAAGTGCGGCTGTGGGACTGGGGGCAGAAGCTGAGGGAGAACAAGATCAGTCCACGATGCCCTCGACGCCGGAGAAAAAAAAGCTGGAGCCGCCCAAAGCACAGACGCTGCAGCGTATTGCGGGCTGGAGCTAAAAAGGGCAAAACAGCAGAGTCCGCGAGAGAGGCAGCAGTTTGCAGCAGCAGCAGATTCGTCTTGCAGGCTCGAGGCTGCGATTGCCAGTGGCTGCAGTGCTGGTGATGATGAAGAATTGCTGGCTCTCCCTCGGCGTCTCGTCCGCGGCCCTCTTCCCTCTGCAGACGGCGATGGCAAAGCGAACAGAGAGGCGATGGATGGAATGGATGGATTGGACAGGATGGCGCGGACTCAGTGGACGATCCGATGGAGATTGGGCGTTGCAAAAAAGGATGCAGCTGGACCAGACCCTAAAGAGCAGGGAGGATCCCCCCATGGAAAAAGGCTGGACCAGGCCACAGAACCATGGGGTCAGTCATTAACGGCTGGGTCTAGCGCACCGGCTAGTGCTGTAATCAATTGCTAGATGCGCCTGTGAAGCGCTATTTGAGGCATCGCGGGCCAGTGAGCGCGAGACAAGCGGGGACTGCAAGCGATGCAGCGGCGCTTGATTGGGCGAGCAGGTCTATTGCATGGGGGGAATGAGGAGGGATACCGTTATGGGGTCCGGAATATAGCACAAGTAAGGTACTTGTATATGGGGGGCAATACATGGCAAAGAGGCTGACCTGTGGCAAAGAGAAAAAATAGAATAAAGCAAAACAGGGGACAAAAGATTAGTTAGCAGTGTCTTCTATAAGTTGCGGATCGCCACTCACTCAGTGGTATAAGTCGTATCAGAAACAGCAGATGCTTGTATATAAGAAGTTTACACCGGCATACCTGAGTAGAGACACAAACACAGCACACAAGCATGCTCGTGCCATACTCAGGTGCCTACCGCTCAAGCAAGTAAGCTGAATGAAAAAAATGGCTGGGCTTCAATACATAAACGCCTTTCCTTTTTGTCGCACTCGGCAAAACGTCTGCAGCTTGCTTGCAGAGCGGATAATGCGCAGTCAGACGCGGGCGTCCAAAAGGTGAGTGAGTAGTATTCACAAGAGGATTTGAGCCGATGCGCATTCGCAACGGCCGATGGCCTTGTCCGTGCTGGTACAGACAAATCACGCCAGCTGCTAAGCCAAGTACGAAGCGAAACCCGGCCGTGTGTTGCTTTCAAGGCAAGCAAAGCAGAAACGAGTTTTTGCGCAGAGCCATATATGCACGGGACTGTCGGTTCCGGTCCCATGTCCGGCAATCCATGTTCATGTGCCTTGAGGAGGAGGGATCACCCCAGCATGGACGCACCATTCACGACCCTGGCCATGCCCAACATGTTGCACAGCATCCGCGCGTATGTGCCAGCTGTTATGCCAGCCCCAGAAACGCCCGCTTCAAGGCGATGCCATCGCCCCATAGGTCTGTACGTCCTTTCATAAGGCTTGCTGAAGGCAGGTGAGGTGGTGTCCCATAGTTTGACTGCGAGTTCTCCTATTGAAAGGGGAAGAAACGACGATCCAGCGAGAGAAGAAAACAAATGTCCGACTGTTGGAGTTTGGCGTCAAACATGCGCAGCACATTGTGCCAGCCGCCAGCTCATAACGCTTAATTCTCAGCCTCGTATGTCACTGTCGGCTGGCGCGGCCTGAGCCGCCCGCTGTGGAGTTTAGGAAGAGATTGAGTGGCTGCAATCCGAGGGTCCAACACGATGCCAGCACGGAAGGTTATCGGACAATGCTGCTAGCAGTAAGACGCGCGAGTAGTGCAAACAAATACAGAACCCGGGCGCGGGAAACCCCCAACGTTCAGAAAGTTAAAAGGCCATGGGGGTAATCCGGTCCATGCCGCAGAGGCACGCTGATCATCGATCTCGCGATGCTCCGTAGAAAGCGTCCAGAGACTGCCATTAGTCGCCGGTAGCGCTTGTGCGGGCCACACACGTGCAACCCCCAGACCCCCAAGCCCTGAGCACCGTCGGTACCGCGACGTCTCCATATTCCGACGCCAAAGCTCCGTTTCGCATGGATCGTCGCCTCGCTGCCACGGATCAGGGAGGTCAAACGAAGAATGGATGCCGCGTGGACAGGCGTTAGCCTCTCTGGCGACCCGGCACAAAGCCGCAAGTGCGGGGGCTAGCGGTCGAGAATCCTGAAGCCACACACACCGAATGGGCTTGGGACTGATCTAGCCGTTTAGTAGGCCACCAAGTGGTACCAGCAAAACATCGGCTGGCGGTTGGGGTTCAAGTCTCGTTTGTGGCCGCGGACAGGGATTCGCTGAGCCCATGCCAGCTGAATGGCAGACGACTGCACTGCATGCATGTGGCAGTGAACTGCAAGCTGCTAGCAGGGTTAGCAGGTATTTGGTCAGCATTAGTATGCACTGCGAGTGGCTGTCAAATAGTGGTTATACGCACCGTGAGCAATAGTCAGTTTGGAAGAGATTTGCAAGATCGGGGCTTCATCAGTAGCAGCTGAAAAGAGTTGAGAGCAAGCAGGACAAAAGACCAGGCTCGCCTGCAAGACACATGAGAGATCGGATCTCGCTCTGTCGGGCCGAATGATCCCGATCTATTAGGCAAGAGTTCACTTTACAATGCTACTACGCGTCCGTACGTGCATAGTACAATAGCAAACACCGTCCATGACAAATTAACCACAACGAACGCAAAGAGGGTGTCTATCCGGTGCCCCAGAAGCACTCGTGACATCCCGCAATGCTCAGCTATTGCTGCCATGCTCTTCTTCCCACTATATACTTCCCGCTGGTTACATAAGTTACTACTAGTCCAGCGGCTATTATATCCATCTACGGGTGAACCCACGAACCATTTTACCGGACAAACATATCGAACCATCTAAATTCGGCGCATCCATCAATATTCACGGCTAATTGCAGGATAGTACCAACTTGCAGGTCAGCACCGAAGAAAGGCTCACAACAATAACACTCAGTGGCTCTCATCTGGCTACCTATTTGACCTTTGACGCCCTGATATATAGAAAGAGAAATCCTCTACATTTATATCACAGCTTCACTTCAAGAAAGAATTTCAAAATTTCGCGGTCCTTAAAGGCTGGCATGTACTGCTATTTTCGTTCCCCGCAGTCCCCTCTCTTTGTCCCCCGCTGGGCGCTGATCCGATTACCCCTTTGGAGTTCTCGCCAAGAGAGAAGGGTAGTATTTATATAATAAGCTTCGCATATCACAGACTTGGCTTGCAAGTCTATTCCGACATGCCGAGGAATGCTCTTCAAATAGACCATAGAGATCGTCGTTCCCTGACATGTGGACCAGGGCGCGACCTGGTTATAAATAGTTCTAGTAGCATTGCGAATAGTACCTACATATTCAGCAACAGGGATAATATCATACGTGGAGGGCGCGCCTGACCTTGTCCAGTGATATTTTGGAGTCGTTGATTAGAGACCAGCAGCTGCCATGTTTGGATTCGGTACGGCTCGCATACTGGCGTGGATAGCCCTGATAGCTGCCACTCACGCGGCACCCCTCGATTTGCAAGGGAGAGGAGCTGCCACACTTCCCAGTATCGACCCCTTCTATGCCGTGCCTGTGGATGTGGACAGTTCAGCTCCAGGGGCCATATTGAAACACCGTCCGCCACCGGCGCAGATTGCAGCCTTCGGTCTGGCCCCCGTGAACCTCCAGGCCAGCCATCAAATCCTGTACAGGACCAACGACAACTTTGGAAACGCCACAGCAACCGTCGTCACCGTCTTGATCCCCCATAATGCAGACCTTTCCAAAGTTTTATCCTACCAGGTGGCCCAAGATTCGGCTTGCAAGGACTGCGCTCCCTCCTACGCGCTTCAGCTCGCGTCAGCTACTATAGGATCGCTGGGCACTCTAGTCACGCAAGCGGAGCTGCTTCTTGTCGAGGCGGCTCTTAATCGAGGCTGGGTAGTCATACTCCCTGACCATGAAGGCCCCAACGCCGCCTTCCTAGCCAACCGACAGGCTGGTCAAGCAACCCTTGACGGGGTCCGGGCCGCCCTCAGCTCTGGTAGCTTCACTGGCATTTCCAAGGACGCCACCGTTGCCTTATGGGGCTATTCTGGCGGCAGCCTTGCTTCTGGTTGGGCCGCAGAGCTGCAGCCAACCTATGCGCCGGAGCTGAAAATCGCTGGTGCTGCGCTAGGAGGCACCGTGCCCAACATCACCACCGTCCTGTCAGAGATTAACAAGAGTGCCTTTGCTGGCATCATCCCGTCCGGCATCGTCGGCCTGGCGAATCAATATCCACAGGTCAACAGCGTCCTTGAGAAGCACGTGCTACCGAAGTATCAGTCCCTGTTTAACAAGGTACGGAACCAGTGCCTCGTCGCCGATGTCACGGATTTTCTCTTCAAGGATGTACTGGCCATGCTGGACGATCCGTCTCTGCCCTTTACGGACCCCGACCTTGTCAGAATCCAAAATGACAACGCTCTTGGCAAAGCCACGCCCAAGATCCCGTTATACGTCTACAAGTCTACTGGAGACGAGCTGAGTCCAGTGAGCGAGACAGACGCATTGGTAAAGAAATACTGCGGCGGCGGAGCTTCTGTGGAATATGTCAGGGACATCCTATCGGAGCACGGATCTCTCGCCATCACCGGAGCTGTGAAGGCATTGGCTTGGTTGATCGATGTTTTGGATGAAGGAAAGTCCCAAAAAGGTTGCTCCACGTCAACGGTTATATCCTCGCTGCTTGATCCCAGTGCGTTAGAAATCATCCCCGGTTTCATTGTTGATGCTTTGCTGGATCTGCTGGGAAGCCCGGTTGGCCCTATCGTGATAGGATGATTTGTAATTACAGGACGTAATCACTAGCTTACTCCTCAGGCTTGAAGCGACTGAATGCAATTACCATCTTGCATGTTGTTCTAGGAAAAATCAGTCCTGACCTTGGGTCGTTTAAGCAGTGATAGTCGATAGGAAGCTACCCTGAAGGTATCAGATAAAAACTTGATGCATATAGCAACTAACCAATACAAAGTACATTCACACGCTTATGAAGTTTTGTCGAGTGATAAGAGATCTAACATGCGCAGCAAAAGAGAGTAAGAATAAGTGTCGTGAATTGGTAGAAATTGATAAGGCGAATAACAGCTGTGCATCGGCATCGAGCAAAGTCCGCCAATCTCCACCAGCATCAGCATGTCCTGATTCCACTGCTGAGAGCGATGTTCATTACCTTGATTGTGATTCCGCACACAACGACACGTTAGTACTAGAAGTTAATTCTGTTAGTGTGGGCGAGTGATGCCCATGCATAGATCAACATGTTTCTTGCAAGTTATAGCGTCGTGCAAAAGCGGTTTAGAATTCACATTTGACGCTTTCGGAGTAACAGAGCAGCCCAAATACATGCGTACATGCCACCCACGTTCTCCGTACAGTGCCCGAAGATCTCCGATTTGCACGGAGTTTGCTCCTGGCCCATGCCAGTTATAGGCAGCTCGATACACGGCCCGCTTCCCCACGCTGACGCTCCACACAGCGCTATCGGCACAGTGCGTGCTAACGGAGTTAAGGACCAATATCTCTTGAGGAAGGTGAGATGGCATCATTCACTTAGCGAGCCGCTCTGATTGGAACCTGCTATCTCCATTCCCAGGCTTCGGCTTCACACGCACAGCAGATTTCTGCAAGCAAATGACACGACAAGATGCCTCAGCTCACGACTTTGCCAAATGAGATTCTTCACAACATCTTCCAGTGGCTACCGCCGAAGGATCTCGGATCACTACCCCGCGTCTGCCGAGCACTTCACAGCTATGTGAAAGACAACCAGAAGCTGTGTCACGACGTATATCTGCATCATTTTGTAAGGATTTTGAGAATCTTTGCCTCCATAATTGGATTATCGAAATCAACAACTGATATATGGACTAGGATTTGCCTCTAGCCGAGGAGGAAGTCGATTGGGAGGATGAACTACACAGTATCGTCAGATTAGAGAATATCTGTCTGCGTGAAACCGCTGAAGAAAAGGCAAGTCTATCCTTGTCGTATCTTTCCCCCTTTTACGCCTTGTACCATTGGCTATTACTCATCTGCATCTCGGCAAAGTGATATACTGACTGGTCACGTAAATCGTCTTTAGGAGGATGAACTGAGTTTTGTATACAATGTTGTGAACCGGATGCTCCAACATGCCTCTTCCGCAGGCCATGCTGTAGAGGCGTCCGATACCCAGTATGCATCGAGAAACGTAGATTTCCTGAATAGCCTCTTTGAGAACGAGGTCAACCGCGAGGCCTTCCTTCAAAAGTCTTCCCTCTTTGAGAGGGTCTACAGATCCCAGCACCAAGCACCGTCTGACAACATAAGCAAAGAGCAACGACAGCTAAGCGCAAAGCTGCACTGTTTATATGGCAAGCCAATCCTCAAGGTTGGAAGACTACGATCAGCCAGGACCTATCCTTATGCATGCTCGAAAGTCTACGACATTCGACAGTACACCGCCCAAACTCGATGGGGCCCCTTTATGAGCGATGGGAGCGATCGCGTGGACTGGGAGAAGGTCGAGGCGATCCTTATTGTGTTGGGGAACAATGTGTACACTAAGAAGCTTACTCGGCTTTTTAGCGACATCTGGGACAATCCCTTCTCTGGATCTTGGAAAGGCAGCTTCATATCTTCTCCTAGTCCTGATATAACGTCGTTGGACGCCATGGATCCATACGGCGTGACTGGCACGTGGTATCGGGTACGTGACTTACTTATATCGCTTGGATACAGCTCAGGCTTGATCACTCGTGACGATTGGCTAACCCATCATAGCTTGTTTGCTTTCTTGACTACAACGATTTCTTCAGCTACAACTTTACCAACCCTGAACGAGACGAGTCTCCCCTTCATACTCTGGACGTTGGTGAAGCGACTCGGTTGATCATCATGAGGATCCACGTCACTAAGATTGAGCAAGCTGGACCGGATTCAGAGTACTCGTCGGATTTGCCGATAGTGCACTTTGAGGGTATCTCTCGCCCGCTCGACGATTCGTGGGACGACAATGCGTCATCTGATCTTCGAGGTATGTATCCTACCAGAAACCCTTTTCTTTGATAAACGGTGCTGAAGCTAAAGACTTTCCTTCGAAAGGGACCGTTGGCTTAACGAAAGAGGGCGAGGTACGTTGGACGTCAGTATCCATCTTCCACGGGCATGAGAGGTGGAAGAGTGAGGGTGTCCAGGTCGGCGGGGTGCGATCTGCTCGTGGGGTGATTGGGAACTGGTTCGACAGGTAAGAGAAGCGCGCGCTAACATCTTATCCCACATCTCTCTCCGTGTATGTCTTTAGTATCTGATACATCGCTTATCTTATCCAGGGACTATGATCCTCACGGCCCCTGCGGACCGTCGGCTTATTGGAAAGCTAGCGACTCCGAAGCAGCGCATGGTACGCACGCCGTTCTTCCCAGGAACTTCCTGCTGTGGAGCGCGCTGATCCATATGGAAGACTCTGATGATCCAGAGGGTGACATGGAGTATACTATGGAGAACGAGGAAGAGGACGAGGATGATGACTCCGAGTCGGAGCCTGTGGCAAATGAGCTGCCAGAGCTGCTGCTAGATGCGGAATTCGAGATCATCGAGCTTACCCAACATGTCGAGGAACCGCCGTCGGGGGCTTAAGATGTGTCTATTGCTTTATGGTGTCTACATTATGTACGATGGCAAATTTTCTTCCGTTATACTAGCAAGCTTTTATACCAAGAGCCATCTCTGTCAATGCCATCCAAATATATGATATCTTGTCCTTCTTTATAATTTGGGATCCGGGTCAACGTTGGCCTTGTTATGCTCACAAATGCAAAGCAGCTCGCCATCGCTTTTTCTCCTAACAGTGCCTCTCAAAGCACACAATCTCTTTCCCACCTGCAGGATCTCGCAGTGTATAAGCACCTCCATGCCCGCCGGGATAGGGCGCATATACGTAGTGTTCAAGGTGCGGCTGACGCCCATCATCTGCCAGAAGCCGGGCTTACTGACAAGCGAGAGGGCCGTGGAGGTCAGGAAGTCGAGAAGAGTGGCAGCAGCGCCGCCGTGGAGGTTGCCCATACCATTGGTGTGTTCATCCTGAACGATGAAGGAGAAGGTTACGGAGGGGTGAGGAAGGGTGGAGTCTGTTGAGACGATTTTGATGGCGGGGATTAGGCTGTGAACCCATCCCTGGTGGAACAAAGTATCTTTGTTAGCCTTTTGATTTAGGGGGTCAAAAGATGATGAAGAATGATGAGAGCGTGGGGATATATAGGTATGTGTGCATTTAGTACCTTGTCTTTTCCAAATTTGTCCAGCCAGTCTTGGACTTTTTCAATGTCGTCTTCGTTGTTGATTTTGCCCATTATGAGTATGATTACTGAATAAAAGCTATGATAGTCTTGGCGAGAAGTTGGAAGTGAGAAGAGATCTGATGAGATCTGGTAGTCAACGCTGGCTTTAGAGGTATCTCTGCGTGGATATCCTCAAGAATACGGCTCTTGCTTAGAACAATGCGTCTATCATGGGGTAATTGATTAGGATATAGAGCTGCTACGGCCCACAGCTGGCTATAGCGATGCGATATGACTGACGTTGATGGCGAGCGGTAAGCGAAGAGTGAGACGGGAAGTATTGGCGATAGGAATTGATCGGAGGGTGAGCGCGAAGTGCTAGCGAAATGGACCTCGGTTTGAGTCGCATTAGCGCAGGCTGCTAGAATGGGCAAATAGCGGGCGAGCGCGCTAACCCGCTGGGGACTTTTAAATTCAATCTTAATCTGTTAACCCGGAGAGTATCTGCATTTGAAGATGGATTGATGGGAGATTGATCATGGCTTATTGGAAGTTGGCTTATATTTGATAAGTTACAAGGTAGCCTTCGTAGTTTCAGTTCAATTTAGCTTCTTCACGCCGTTGATTTAGTACTCTATGCGCTGTAGACAAGTGCCGTACAAGAGACTCGAATTGCATATGATATTGACGAGTACCAAATCCGTAATCGATAGGCACATGTACTCTTGCCATATGCTCAACTTCAACTGGACTTTGTCTTTCATATACTGTTTATAAAAAACATTTATCTTTCATGAACTGCTAATTCATCTACAATAAATTCGATCGAGTACAAAAGGCGTTTCTGGGGAAGCTGGAGCCGGTGGCGGCACTTTTACCGAGGCTCTTCACATGGCCGTCCACTAGCGTCATTGGCCGGTGCACAGAGCAACCGCGCAGCTCTCGATGCGGAAATGCAATTCAACATCTCCATCAACACCATTAATCATCACCAACAACGTCACGCCCTCTCCCATTTGTGAACATCAGCCCTCCACGAAGCAGCCGACAGTGAATCAAACGCCCTCAGACGACGTCGCCGAGATCCCTCAGATCAACACTTCGCTCCTGGCAGCGGCAGCGCAGCGACTGTCAGCAGCCTAGCACGCCGTCGCCATGGAGTTCATTACAGCCCTCAGGGGCACCTTTGACGGCCAGAAGCCCTCGCTCTTCGAGGTGCTCTCTGAACAGCAGCTCAACGGCCTGCTGCCTCCGACGCTGCGATACCTCCTCGTCGTCGCTACCCACCGACATCCGCGATACCTGCTCCGGATCCTCAACTCCTTTGACGAGCTGTACGCGCTGGTGATGCTCGCCGTCGAGCGCCACTACTTGCGCACCCGTGGAGGCTCGTTTACAGAGAATTTCTACGGCCTGAAACGCGAAAAGGCCCTGCATGGCGAAATCCCGAGAGCGAGCCTCGCAGCGCCGCATTTGGTTCGCGAGACGTTGAAGTTGACAACCAAGGACGTGTGGCAGAATCTGGTGGTTCTGGTCGGCGTGCCGTATCTGAAGAGGAAGCTGGACGAGTCTTACGATATCAACGCGCCCAGAGCGCTACTCGGCGCGGCATACACGCGAATGCCAGACAACCCGACTTTGCGCGATCGATTCATGCACTACTACCGGTGGTTTCTGCGCAATATCTACCCACACGTAAACGCAGCCTACGGCTTTGCCATGCTGGCCTTTAATCTGGCCTACCTATTCGACCGAACGAAATACCACAATCCGTTGATGTGGCTGATTGGGACGAGGCTGCGGCGGATGACCATGGCAGACTACCAAGCCATCGAGAAGCTGTCCGAGCCCGCGGCCAATGCCGCCAAGCCTGGCCTTCGATCTCTGCTATCCACGCCCAAGGAGTTGGGCTCCAGAGTCATGTCAAGCCTATCCATGCTGCTGCCTATGAGTATCTTTGCGTTGAAGTTCCTAGAGTGGTGGTATCAGTCAGATTTTGCGAAGCAGTTGACACGAAAGGCAGCTGAGAGCATCGAGTTGCCTCCTCCGATAGTCTCTGGAAAGTCATCCTTTGGCAAGAAAAAGGCTGTAGACTCAGATAAGGCCGAAGAGAAGGAGGAGGAGTCAAAAGAGATGGCCATTACGGAAAAGGAGGCCCCAATTGCAACGCCATCCATGCTTCCCATCTTCGTCGTTCGATTCCCCGAAGACTCGTCTCTATGTCCCATCTGCGTCGATGAGATTGTCACGCCGACAGTTTGCCAGACTGGTGTTGTCTATTGCTACACATGCATCCACCGATGGATCGAAGGCATGCATCCCAAGCAAGAGGAGTTTATGGAAGACCGCGAAGGCAAGTGGGAGAGCGGCCAGGGTCGTTGCGCCGTCACTGGAAAGCGAGTTCTCGGCGGAACCGAAGGCCTGAGGAGAATCATTGTATAAACGGATGGGTCTCTACGTAATAGATGGCGGCGAGCAGAGCGTATTGCTTGTCCTATATTTATTACATCATAAAGGAAGAGTTGGATTTCATACTAATTTGGGATGTACGATTGTGAATGAGGTTTTACATCAAGCATTTACCTATGCAAGCAAGCGGGAAAAGAACGTAGATGGTTATTTAGACGGCTATATAATACTTGGAGCATATCACGGGACATTTTAGGCGCAACATTTAAGTCGTTGGAAAGGAGCTATCAAAGATGAATGCGTTGCATGTCTCACTTAGTTAAGCCACCCAAAGGCATGTATAGAAGAAATCTTTAGACCTTGGCCCGACAACAATGGACGATCAGCAACACGAAATGCCTCTTTTGATGTTCCATGCCGTGATGGACTCCCAAAAGGTCTCACCTCCTGGAATGGTGGTTGCGGCGTGTCCATGTGTATAGCCTCACGGGCATTCTTTGGGTGTCTTGGACGGCCAGGCAACGAACCATCACTTAGGAATTGGTAGAACAATGAATGGATGAGCTTAATGAGCTGCTGCAGAGGAAACAATGCCAATTGACGATTAAGTAGTAACCACTAGTTGTCAATGGATTCTTTTTCCGGATAGAGAGGGCTTTGGCTTAAGTGTTTGTCTCAATTAATCGCGTGGTGGTTGTGAGCCACGAGACATAAGACAGGAGAGGGCATTCCAACGCCAAAATTTTGTACTTCCTGTGAGAGATAGTCCATTTATATATTCTGCTGCTGCCGCTGAGAAACTCCTTTCTCTTCTCTTCCCTTTTTTATTTTCTTCAACGAGTCATCCCTTCCTCCCGTTTTACTCATCCTCCTTTGACGCAATATATTGGTTGAAGGTTAATTAAGGATGGCGTATTTTCTGGATACGTCGTATGCCGGAGAGGCGCTCCTCTCGGGCTTCAACTGGTTTGATGGGGTAGATCCATCTCATGGATTTGTTGCGTAAGTAACCCATTGCTTGCCTCGTTTTCTTTTCTCTTAGATGAATAGATGCTAATGCGTATTCTCCATGTAGCTATCAAAATAGACAAAATGCCGAGCAAATGGGCCTCTACAGCATCGACCACAATTCAGGGGTTGTCAGAATAGGAGTCGACAGCACGCAGAGGTATTCAACTTTGGATCAAGGTCGACCGAGCATTCGAATCGAAAGCAAAGAAACGTATGAGCATGGTCTCTTTATTGCAGATTTTTTACATATGCCCCCATCCCACTGCGGTCTGTGGCCAGCGTGTAAGTCCTGCCTTCACTCATGCACAATAACTTGGCGAGAGTGGCCTCACTAACATTAAATACCTAGTCTGGTCATATGGCGATAACTGGCCCTATGATGGCGAGATCGACATCATAGAAGGCGTCAATATGGCGCATAACAACATCATATCTGCGCACACTGCAGATGGCTGCATCCAGGGCTCGTCCATCAACGGCCTCTATAGTGGCCAGCAGCTAAACACGCAATGCGCCGTGGGAACCTACAACATTGGCTGTGGCTTCAATCCTTCCTCTGACGACCTCTCATCATATGGCGACGGGTTCAACGCCGCTCATGGAGGCGTCTACGCCATGGAGTGGAACGAAGAACATATCCGTATCTGGCACTTTGCTCGTGGATCGATTCCTCGCGATATCGAGAACAAGGAGCCGGACCCCGAGAGCTGGGGACAGCCAGTGGCCATTTTTGGAGGCTCTAGCTGTGATGTGGACACGTATTTCAAGAACATGAGACTTGTTCTCAACATTGTGAGTACAAGATTCATCGAGACGCTTGAATAATGCATTTAGAGAACAGGTAGCTAACTGTGATGTCTTCACTAGAACTTTTGCGGAGATTATGGCAATGCCGTCTGGGGCAAATTAGACACATGCAACCAATTTGCGCCCACATGCGCTGAATACGTAGCTGAGAACCCAGAGGCTTTTGCAAACGCCTTCTGGGATGTGCGATATATCGATGCGTACCAGTTTCGCCCTGGAAATCATAACCCGCAACCGCATCGGCCAGACCACTGGGAACCCACGACGACAACGACAATGACTACTCGGGTCACCGAAACTGTGACTGTATTCGGGCCCGGGAACCAGCATCGCCCTCCATTCCTTAACAGCACTCGCGGTCCTACCGGTCCTCACGTTCCTGTTGTGTCGATCGAGCCTGTTGCCACCAAGGCCCCTGTCAATCCCATCAAGATAAAAGATTATTCGTACCTTGGATGTTTTCATTCGAGCAGTGACTTCAAATCATTCCGCGAAGTCAATTCTGGGAAAGACATGGCTCTCCAGAAATGTATTGATCTCTGTCATGAACAGAAATACGTTGGTATGTTCGACACCCGCTGCTTCTGCGCCGACCGTCTTGATGCCCGTACAGCAGCAACTCAAAAGGAGGGCCTTTGCAACCACGCCTGCCCAGGAAGAAATCGTGAATTCTGCGGCGGCATCATTGGACGTGGAGGCGACGGCGAAGGCCAACTTCCACAGAAATTCTCCAACTCCACGTCATCTTCATTATATTCGCCTTTTGCGCTCACTGTATACGGCCGTGTTGCGGAGGAAAAGCCCAAAGCTCCTCCGGCTATGGCGCCTGGCTCGAACGAGGTCGCTCCCAAGGCCTATCCTCACAGACCGTCTTGGACTACTAAAGTTGCCGAGGTGACTGTCTTTCCGGTTTCTGAGCAAGGTTGGCAAGAACACAGCGAGGGCTGGTGGAGCCATGAAAGCTGGAATGGCAATAGCTGGCATGACGATGGCAATGGGGGAGAGAAGTCCGCGTGGAAGAATGGAAGAGAGGAACAAAAAGATGGCGAGCATAAAGAAGATGGGCAACACAAAGACTATAAAGGAGAACCTGCCAATGGCGACAACAAGTCGAAATGGAATCCAGCGAAACCTGAGATCACCGAGGTTGTGATTCCGGTGACGAAGACGGTTACGGATTGTCCTGAAAGCACGACGACGAAGGAACAGATCGTGATACCGCCTTCTGGACCGAAGCCTTGGGATCCTGCTGCTCCTAAAGAGCACTGGAGCTCTGTGCCTCCTTTTGGTCCTCTGCCACCATCGCCTACACCTGTTTATCCCAAGGATTACCAGGAGCACTGGAGTTCTGTCCCTCCGTTTGATCCTTTACCGCCTTCAGCTACTCCTGCGCCTCTGCATGATGATGTTGAGTCTCATCTGCCCCCTCATGATGAAGATGCTCCACTTCCACCTCCATTCCAGACAGGCGCGCATCCCCCATTCCCTCAAGTGATTGTTGCAGCAGCACCGGGAAATCACGAGGGTAAGAAGTATCTTGTGATTATGGGACTGAGCGTACTGGCTATTTTCATGGGAGTGTTGTAAGATACGAAGTCAAGAAAGAAAAAAGCAAGGCAAAAAAATACATGAAGAAAAAGTAAAAGGGACAAGATCTGGAGGCAGAGAATTATATCGTGTTTTATCTTTTTTGTACACATACCCCTAGCATAAGATGCATCATGTTTGTAGTTCATGGTGTTCGCATGTAGTGTAACATTTAGCTTTAGGATTTTTAATGATAATACTTAACGTATACACTGCTGTCTCCGTCTTTGAAAATATCACGCAATGTCCTTGCTTGTGCTTCGCGTCTAATCGGATAGGAAGGAAGAGAAGAAAATGAACGCAAAAACGGCTAAATGTCTACAACAATGGCCCTATTCTTGACCTTACCGGTGCTCCCATACATCTGCGCGGCGTTGACCATCAAGCTGCCCTGGTTGCTACCCGGGCCGCCCATGAGCCATTTCCACAGCACAGCGTGAACACCGTGCCACAGCACGTAGAAGTGATCCCACCAAGCGGCGTTGGGGATAAAATCCCAAAAGGGACCGCGGGGTGGACGGGAGAGAAGTCGCTCATAAGCAAGCTGCATGTCGTCGAAAAAGACGGATTCCTTTCCGTAGCCCCAGTGGACGTGGCCGAAAACGTGAAGACGGGGCTTGACGCGCCAGATTTCTTTCAGAAGTTGAGGGTCGCCAAGGCCGAGATCCATGTGATGTTTCTAAGGCGAGACAAGTTAGCAGTTGTGCATTTATACTCGAATATAGTGGGTTTATCATACCGGAGGACAATGAGTCACGAGAATATCAGTCTGCGGGGGTATCAAGCTAAACCACGGAGGCTGTGAAGGCGGATATTGAAACCTATCTCAAGTCAGCATTCCAGCCAGATGTTTTATCCCAAGACAAAGGCTTCCTTTGTCTTTTTGTCATGTCAACTTACGCGAAGCTCTCTGGGCCACACTCTGGAATGTCCGGAGCGCCGAAAATAGTCAGTTTCCTCCCTTTGATCTCTTGCACGTTCAAGCCGCTCTCGAGATAAAGCAGCCCGTCCAGATTCACCGCCGCGTTGGCCTTGATGTCCTGGTCCAGGCGGCTACGCGGGTCAAACCAGCTGTCATGATTTCCTGCAACGACGATTTTAACCTTGTGAGGCTGGCTCTTTAGCCAGTCGATCTGCTTCTGGATATCCTCGGCGGCCCCGGACTGGGTCAAGTCGCCGGCGTGGATGAGAATGTCGCCAGAGGGAATGTCGACGAATTGTTCGTGGGTATCGGATATGCAGACTACGCGGATGGCAGGTCGTCCCCGCGGAGGCACGAACGGCTGTCCTCGGAGGAAGAGCAAGAAATGGTATATGTTGATGGTGATGAAGGTCAATGGCGAGAGGAGGAACTGGTCGAGGAGAGTGAGGCGTTCCCACTGGTTTTCCCGGCGGAGGCCGAGAAAGGTGAGGAGGCCCATGGCGAGGCGCTGTAGAGGGCAGAGATGGAGCCGTGGTTGGATTGATTAAAATTCTTTCATCGTTGTTGTTCTGATGTTTCTATCCAATGAGCGCTGCGTGAATATGAGTGAGTGAGTCAAGAGGGGTGTAGGTGAAGATCAAGGTGAATGACTGCATGTGATTCGAGATGAAAGTTGAGGGATGAGCTCATGGCCTCAATTCTGGGCGCTGATTGGCTAGGCGAGTAGCCCCGCTCAATCTGTCCAAGTTTTGGGATTTTGATCTTGGCGATCCGATTTCGATGATGATCCATGATGAGAATCTGTTTGAGATTCCTTGCTCGCTTTTTTTTCTTTAATCATTTCCATTCTCGTTGCATAGCTGGCTATATATACACCTGGCTGTATTCTACGGCAGTCGTTCAACCCTTCAGCTTCTCTAGCTCCCTGCGGGCTATTCCCCATAGCGGCCTCCAACCAGCCATACGGTAGAGCTCAGCTCAGCTCAGCCAGTGACGTCTTCGCCCGCCATCCCCACACCAGCTCCTGTGCAATCTGGCTATCGATTGACCGTCATACATAATCTGTCCATACTCCATACTTTTTCTCTTCATGATACGAGCCCTACAACTATAGCTTCACGAACGCGCGCGCTGCTGCATGACCTCAATTCCCTGTGAAAACTTTATCTCTTACTTCCGCACTCTTCTAACCCCATAAAATCCTTCCTGTCGTGCCCGACGTCATCGCCATGTCGAGCCTGCGGGGCTTGGTTGGTAAAGGAGAGGACAGTGGCCAGGATGGCAATTTTGGGTGAGCATCGACTGCTGAATGCAACGTGGTTATCATGCAACTGAAGCTCATCATATTACAGCGTCGATTATGTGATTCATTATCGAGTGCCGCCCAAAGGTGCGTTTCTGATGAGATCCTTCACTTTGAAAGCCATCGTCCTCTTCCTTTCACTTACATCCCTCTAGAGAGAGCCAAAGCCGAAGCCGCTTTTGTGCAGCTCATTGAAGCCCTCGCCAACATTGGTCTCACCACTTCCGTCCGCTGCTGTGATGAGACCTCTCTACTTGTATTCACCAGGCTCGCCTCGGATGATGTTCTGGGCCAGCAGGTCTATAGCTCTCGCCTCCAGGATTGGCTGCAGGGCGTTCGTATCACTGGCCCAGGAAGCGACGTTTCACAGGCAATTCATGATGAGCCCGTTACCGAGGCAGAGAGGCTGCGGCTGATATACCTGCTGATTACCAAGTCTCGGAACGAAGGAGGCGCGGGAATCACCCAAGGCCAGGGACAGTGGAAATACGTCGAGTCCATCTTCCCGCTTCACAACAATGCGTTCAACAAGGAGTGGCTGCAAAAATGGAGCCAAAAGTATGTTTTGGAACAATCCGATTTAGACGACATTCGAGACAGGTTTGGCGAGAATGTCGCGTTTTACTTTGCCTTTCTCAAGGATTACTGTCGCTTTCAAATATTCCCCGCTGCTATAGGCTTTGCTGCGTGGATGATATTGGGTCAATTTTCCGGGTTTTACGCCATCTGCAACTGCCTCTGGTCCGTCGTCTTTTTTGAGTACTGGAAGCGGAAAGAGGCTGATTTGGCTATTTCGTGGGGGGTCCGTGGCGTCTCCAAAATACAGCATCAGCGACCAGAATTTCAGTGGGATTTTGAGGCTGCAGACTTGGCTACAGGAGAACCTGTCAAGGTCTATCCTTTTACTAAGCGGCTGCAGACTCAGCTCCTTCAGATACCATTTGCCTTAGCTTGTGTTGTTATTCTTGGTGGACTTGTCGCAACAGTCAACTCTCTGGAAATCTTCATCAATGAGGTCTATGGCGGCCCAGGAAAGCAGTATCTGGTGAGTAGACTAACGTTGAACATGACGCATCTATTTCATCGTAGTTACCAGCGCTAATGGTCATTTGATGCAATAGGGCTTCCTTCCTAGCGTACTTCTTGCTGTTCTGACTCCAACTTTTTCCACCGTTCTTATGACCGCAGCCAAACGACTGACGGATAAAGAAAATTACGACACCATGGATGGTATGTAACCTAAAAGATACAAACCCAAAGCGATGGCTCTTGAAATTAATACTAACGGGGTCTTTTTTTTTCCAGCACATCATGCGGCTCTTGTGCAGAAACAGTTTGTCCTCAATTTCATGACCTCGTATATGGCTTTGACATTCACGGCATTTGTGTACATTCCTTTTGGCAACGTCTTGCAGCCATTTTTGAACTTTTGGGGCAAGACGGCACAAACCATCACGATGAGCGAGGTTCCCCTGGACACTCGTCAGTTTCAATCTAATCCCCAGCGAATCGCCAATCAAATGTACTATACCACGGTCACAGCGCAAATCATCAACACGCTCACAGAACTTGTCGTGCCGTATATTAAACACAAGGCCTTTGTCAAGGCCAAGGAGCTCTCAACCAAGGACACGATTACAAGCAACGACCCACCTGAAGAAGTCGAATTCTTGAAACGGGTGCGAAACCAGACCGGACTAGAGGTGTATGACGTTACAGCAGATTACCGCGAGATGGTTATGCAGTATGGTGAGTCAAGCTATACGCCCCACTTAATCAACATGTGAATATGGATATGGTTAATAACTCTAAATAGGTTATCTCTCTCTCTTTTCTGTCTCATGGCCTCTTACGGCCTGTTTTTTCCTCTTGAACAACTGGGTCGAGTTGCGGTCTGACGCCCTAAAAATCATCATTGGCTGTCGCCGACCCATCCCATGGCGAGCTGATTCTATCGGTCCGTGGCTGACGGCTCTTGGCTTCCTTTCATGGCTTGGTAGCGTTACCAGTGCCGCCATTGTTTATCTCTGCAGCGGTGATACCTCTGCATCTCCTATCACCGCGGGTGGCGTCCTTCTGAGCATCCTTCTGGCGGAGCATTTCTATTTTGCAGCCCAGCTCGCCGTCAGGTTTGTCATGGCTAAGGTGGAGAGTCCCAGCCTGCAGAGGGAGCGAAGGGAACGCTTCCAGTTGAGGAAGAAGCTATTGGAAGAGACTGTCGGCCACGTGGCGGGTGAGAAGGCTGAAGTCGCCGTCCCAGGGATCGAAGCGACGGAGCAAATCACTAGGCAAACACTGGAGGAGGAGGCCCGTCTGGCCTCGATCCAAGGACATGGGTCTCCCGAAGAAATGTAAGACGCCTTTATTAACCTAATACTTGGCTTTGAGGTGTCCCTGCATGATGCTGGGCACGGAGTACGGGGCAGAGCAGAGCAGACTCAATTTCGAGGATCAATATTGGCTGACATGGTAACAACAGGTTCTGGCAGCGTCAGCGAGGCATTCAGGAGACAATCTTGGTCGGGCGGAAATTGATCGAAGAGCAGTCTAGCGGCAAGTCTTGAGGATGAAGCTGCATCAGGGGCACATGCACTAAAAGTAGGTGCGGAGATATTGGTATGTACGCTTGAGTGCCTATTTTCTGCAGCCGTCGTACAGAGAGGATCCAAGAGCTCCATCCGGAGTAATACTCTTCTCTGCCCCCCATCGACTAACTCTTCCCACAGGCTGCCGGCGAGTTCTAAGTTGGGGACATGCCCCGTTGCGATACCGACGAGGTTCGATATGGGACGATGTGGAGGCTGATGTGGTGGGGCTGGCGACGTCGAAGAAGCAGCACGTGCTCGGGGCTCGCGACCGATACGGAAGACGGAAGCCGGAAGGCGGCAATATGGGGGTCAGAGGTTGATTACGGGTTTGGCTCCTTAGCTTCCGTGATGGATACTCGGTTTGGACAGTTCGCTAGCGTTGTCTGGAATCCCTTTTTGCAATTTGAGGACGAGTGTTTTTGGCTTCTTGTGTCCAGCCTCCATTTTCAGCGTGTGAGATCTCTAAGTACCGGTACTTTCATATCCATCATTAAGATGCCATGAAGTGAAGTGGCGGAACCAATTCTATTGTTGGTCGCTTCATTTAAAAACCAGCGTTGGTTTCCTTGGTTTACACCTGGAACGAACATGAGCCACCCCTCCCTCTAGCTTAGAGCCACGCCCCTCTAAAAAACAGAACGAATCGTCTTGGACAAAAAACAACGCCCGCTGCACCGACTCAGAACAATAGGAAGCCCGTGCATCTAGCACGTCCCTCTGCCCAACGTGGCGAATGGTCACGAGGATTGGCAGCGAGCAACAAACAAGACTGATGGATCGGCAGAGGGGACAATAGAAGCCCGCAATTCATGATGGAGCTAGAGAGGAAACTTGATGGAATGACGATGGAGGCATATAAATGCCGGTGCACTGACGATGAAGCGATCTGTTACGGAAGCTAGGACCCGGGAAAACTCTTTCAAGATGGAGAACAACAAAAGAAGAGTTTCACCGACATTTCCTCTTTTTTGTTTACAAGTGTAAAATTAGAATCAAATATGGAGAAGATCCAGCCATGGGTTTGAGTTGGGATGATGTCTCCCATCAGGTACCATTCGCTGGCGGAACCCCGTAAATGGAGCCGCGGGAAATCATGATCCCAAAGGTTAATCAATCGATGCGCTTCTGCAAGATCTTTTTACTTGAATAGTTGTACCCAGGTAGCACAAAAGGTTCCACTCTGCGTGAGTCTCTTCAGGCTGTCGATCTTTACCCCAGACTCGGGATAGTGAGAGAAGGATAGTAAGGCTGCTATAAATTAAACGGAAGTAGATTGTAATGAGATATTGGCTCGTTAAATCGAGTGGAATAGCGAGATTGTTGTAAAAGTGGTATCAGATTTGTTCTTGAGGATTAAGTGGCTCTTTACAAGCTGAGAGTGAAAGAGCCCTGGAGGTGATGAGGGAGGCAGCTGAGGCCGCCTGCCCGCATTGGGCGCTCAATTCTAAAGGCGCGAGGTAGCAGCCTAGGAAGCCACGACAGGCGACAAATATGTGCATATCAGGCTGCATGCAGCCAGTAAACTGCATAGTGGCCATGGGCTGCTATTTCTGCACGCCATTAACTTGCGTAGCCAGCTCTTAAGCCTTGCATTCAACCTTGGCCAACGCGAAAAATGCATATAACCATCGAAGCGCTCGTCAGCCTTTAGCTACAGTGGCTCATTGGGGGGAATGGGCGCCTACAAGCTCTTGTAGCGATTCAAGAAAGGCCGCGATTGGGTCGCCCCTCGGCCAAGATGCACATTTATGTCATTATGAGGCTGAGCGCATACATTGCAGTGGGCGGTACAAGTTTCTACCTTCTCTATTGGGTCTTTGTGACACAGCTTCGGCGCCTGCTACCACTCATGCATCTCATGCTGCTTGACTCATGGCTCTAAGTTTTGTTTAGCAGGTTTTTGTATACATTCCAAAAAAAAAAAAAAAAAATGCCTTGTCATTAATAGGGTTTATAGATGATGATCTCGACTTCTTTAGAGTTGTCTATAATAGGGTGCTGCTCAACTCTACTACGCTTTCTATCTATACACTTTATTACTGTTTAACACCATTATGGATGTTACGAATCTTGCAATTAGTATCGCGGCTCTCTACACGACGTGTCGCGACAGTTATAGTTTCTTCACCGCTGTGACAAAAGCGGAGACAGAATCTTCAGCCCACCTACGGGAACTAGAAATTCAGCAGTCCATTCTCAAAGCTTGGGGATTCCATTGGCAGATTCAAAGTGAAAGCGGCAGCGAGCCAGAGCACTCCAATCACGCCAAGCGAAAAGAGACCAAACTTTACAAATACCTTTTGAGCAATCGATTCAAAGCCGAAGGCGTCTTTAGCACTCTTTCTGCTCTCGCTGATACACTGTCCGACCAGGAGAAACTCACCAGGCGCTATGGTATCCAGCTTCACCCAGCTCAGGCCATCCAAGATGGACAGGAGTTGGCCAATAATGTTCAGCTGGTCATCCAGAAGGCTAAGATTGAGGATGTCGAGCCGGTGATCAGTGAAATCAAGAGTCGCCTCTCCATACTTAACAAGTTCAAATGGGCCTTGAAAGACAAGGACAACTTCAAGAAACTTATCGCCGAGTTGAGATCTCATAGCGACTCGCTCTACCGCCTTTGTCCTGAAAATGCATTCGAATCGATGAATATATATTTCACCATGGAATGCTTGGCCAATCAGGAGTCGCCAGTAGGTCTGAAGTGGACTTCAAGGCTCGCAACAGAGCAAGCAGAAGTCGATGGAAAGTCTTCAGTGCTGGAAGGCTACAAATTGCTAGCTTCCACAGCCACTTTGAAAGCATCGGTGAATGAAAACAGAAATAGAAAGGAAGCGAACGACATAGCTCTTACCAGCATTGACGAAGAGCAACACCAAATGCAGTATTTAGGAAAGGGCCTCGCTCTTTTTGAAGAGCAAGTCGTTTACGTAGAAATGAGAGACTACCGCGGGCCGCCACGAGAACTCACTACAAAACAAAAAGAGCAAGTGAAGCAGCAAAACGAAGAGTACCTGAAGCGACTGAAGGCAAAGATAGATATAAATATGCTCTATTCCGGTAAGATCAGCAGAGAGCAGATTGACAAATATAACAGCATCATCGACTCCGAAGAAGATGACGAACCAATCGAGATTATCAGACCAGACGATCCCGAGCTTCGCGACCTTATCAGGAACTTTTTCAACACCTTTCACGGTGCTAACATGATGGGAAACGTCTATGGTTTGGATATCGCTGGTATGATCGACCACAAAGCTGGCGAGCACAAAGGTCATTGCAGCATTCTCTACAGGTTACCCGGCACAATCGGCGTTCAGAGCCGTGATCGGCCTGCGGAGAACCTGAAGCTTCGCGCACCTGTGACGCTGCAATCGCTCCTTGGAGTCAAGCAAAAACAAGGCATCCGATCCATGCTCGGTGCACGTTTCGAGCTTGCTAGAAAGCTTGTCCGTGCGGTTTGTCTGCTTCACTCCAGTGGCTGGCTACACAAGAATATACGCGCAGAATCAGTCATTTTCTTTCCCGAACATGTGAGTGCACTGCAGGAGGACCGATACGAGGTTAAGATCGAGATCAATGTCTCAAAGCCTGTTTTGATGGGCTACATCTTCTCACGGCCAGACGATATCATCACACAAATTAACGCACCAACTGTCGAAGATAACATCAGAGACGACACCAAAGATGACAACATAAATAAAATCAGAGGTTTTCTCAAAGATTCTATCAAAAATTCTATCAAAGATGATATCAAAGATGATATCAAAGATGATGTCAAAATTGAAATCGAAAATGAAATCAATGAGGATAGCGAAGATGATATGAGGCCGAAACCGCCAATGAAGCTAAAACCATCCGGAAAATTGGTGGAGGCTAGCTCGATAAAGTGGATACACAGAAAGGAGATTTCTCGCTTTGGTAGCATATATGGTCGCAATATGCTTGAAAGGAAAGCCGTGGCCGAGCGTACGAGCAAGATAAATATCATTGGCTTTACGCTTGACTGTTATCAGCATCCTGCGAAGCATGCGGATCCACAGCGCCAGTATCGTCACGCATATGATGTGTACTCTCTCGGTATTCTTCTACTTGAAGTCGGGCTATGGGAAAAACTGAGGGACTGCGAGATTGAAGAAGAGGATCATTATGAGCGAAGACGATGGATTTGTCGAGAGTATCTTGATCGCCTGAGATGGGCATGCGGAGACACTTATGCGGATGCTGTGCTTAGCTGTCTCATGATTGAGAGCAGTGATGACGAAATAGCGAAGGCGAGTGAGAGGGAGCTTTGTGCTAGAATTATGGCAGACTTGGAGGGCTGCCAGGCTTAGTACTTTCGTCCAAACATGTAAATCGCAGTATACGAATTGAGTCCAGGTGCACCTTGAGCCTTGCTAACTTGAAATGCAGTTCATCGCCAAGGATAGTTCAACCATTTGTGCCTCTTACATGCTTGAGTCTGGATTTCTAAGTGGGCCATTTCTCCGGTAAACGAGGCTCTCCGGTAGCCCGGACCGCCGCAGTTCGAGACAGGGCCCCTTGCAGCTTCAGCCAGGGTGAAAGGTTACATGTATGTGTAATGGTTCGTTTCGAGTGTTAGTGTTTTGTTCCAAGAGTTTTAGCTTCAATCCCATGCTAAAGAGTTTTGTCTGTTTATAATTTTTTTCGGGAAAATATACAAGTAGTACAAGCTATATCCGTACTTGGACTGACCTCGCTGAGGGATCTGAATATGCCACCCCTCGCAACCCTTAGATGTGGTCTAATAAGCGAGTTTAATGCAAAGTGGTGCTGAGCATCTGAAAGCGATATTGAAGAGTTGATTCATCAGCTTTTCCCTCGTTGCGGCACCACCAGGTAGGGTCCATCGGTGGGGACTCAATACGATATACCGACTCTGCATGATAAACGTGTGTTGAGCTGCGAGGTTGACATGGCTTTGCGTAACCGAGAGACGGCGGCCGCTGCTAAGAGCGGCGCTTCTCCGGTTCGCGTCCGGTTTCTGATAAAGCCTTGGATAGGCGAAGACCCTGCCGATAGTGGCTAACCCACATGCAGGAACCTCATCCGAGGATTCAAATAGGATCGATTTATGCGGATGATGGGCAGAGCATATACCCATGTACTTGTAGTGCGTGAGACATGGGGAGAGAGCATGGGGATGGTGAGACCGGGGAAGTGGCTACGGTATTTGCTCTCACACTCTCTCCACGGCTTATACGCACGGTTGGTATAAGATTTGTGTGACACTGTTCAATTTGGTAGTAGTATGTTACTGTATACTATTGCTAAGCAAAAAAAGATCGGAATCAGCATTACTGTAACATGTTGACATATAAACTCCACCTCTGAGAGGACAGCACATATGTTTACGCCATTGTTTGGCTCCAGCACCCATGTTTGCTAGGTGCCCAAATGGGCAATTCTTGTCTCAACTACTGTGTAAGTGGTCACTGGAATGTGACAAACGGTGCCTGAACTGCTTCCGAGAGGCCAATCAAGAGGGCAAACAAGCAGCCAAAAGGTGGTGTGCGTGCATGTAACATTACCGGCAGGCCATTGCTAGTTTGGTTGCTACTGTGATGAATAGAATGCAGGTGGCTGGCACACCTGCATCCATTCTAGATGCTGATGCTGTAGCTTCCCCCCTTTCACCAAATTCGTCGATCCAAAAGAGGCCTTGTTTCTCGAGTATCAGATAGTCTGCTGGGAGCCAATTGGTTCTGATAGCGGTCCTCCAGGGCCTCAATTAATGCTACCTCACCTTACAGAGCCTACAGCACTCCTGTAGGGCTCATGCTACGGCAGCACTGACGCCCGGACACAGAAAAATCCGGACATTGGAGATCTCAAACCCCTATCCATGTTCGCTGGCAGGTTCAAATTCCTTTGAGCATCTTCTTTCTCCACCACTCACCACCATCGCGGATTCCACGCCGGTCCATCATCACGACCCTGTTCTTGTCTAGCCCCGCTAGAGCGACAGCTAAAGCAGCCCGGCATCCACCACGAATATCAATCTCACTCGGCGGCGTCTTGGAATCAAGCTCGAGGCCCCCTCTGCAGGAAGAGGCTATTGAAGCCTTTGCCGTTTGCGACACCGCACCGTTGTGCCAGATCTTTAGCTAGAAGCAGCCACGAACCGACAGAGACGCTAGATCACCATTCTGTATACGCCACCGTTCTTACCACTGGAGCTACTATGGCGGATACGGGGGTGACATTGGAGACCTTGAACGGAGTGAGTCCTCGTGGATAGAGACGTGTTGCATCACGGCGCAGATAGAGCGCAATCTGCCCCCAGTCTTGTTCCTTCTGCATCTGCTTCTCAGCTCCGCGATGGCTAATGAGTTTGTAACAGCAGAAACGAGGTTGGCACATCCTGACTATTGATTGCATTGCATGAGCCATGCTTGATGCGATGCCGTACCCACGCGGGACCTGGGCTTGTCCCATCTCAGTAAAGGAGCCACACCCGCCCGCTATTACTAGCGACTCTCGATGGACGGGGCCCTTTTCAAAAACGAGGCTGCGGCACCCACATGCGCGCGCCCACGAGCTGCCCACTATTCCGCACAAGCGTCTCTTTGACAGCTCCGACCAATCTGAGGCGGTCCTTGCGCAACGTGGTCGGGACGCATCGAGTCCCCGGCTCTTGAACAACAAGGGTCCACGCAGGATCGCTGCGCTCTAGCACGATGCTAAACAGCCCTCTTCCGAATCAGCCCATAATAACTTGTACGCCGGGCCCTGTCCAATCGACGCTGCCCTCGTGCTCACAAGCCAAAAGGCCTCTGAGCAACCCCGCCAGTGCTTGACGACTCGGAGCCCCTTCGTTGGCTCTCGGTCGATTCATTCATGCTATAGGAACCTGGCAAGCTGCCTTGTTCGTTGCCCCGGATGGAGAATCGTTCAGGGGAGAGCCCAACAGTCGCTTGGCCTACCGCTGCTAGTGGTTGTTTGGTGCGTCGTCTGCGTCCCATATCGTGCATGCATGCATCAATTTGCCCTGGGCGGGTACCTGCCCATTGATTGCTGCAGCCGTGCTAGTGCTGCGACTGGTCCCTTCGTGATTGTTCGTGATAGCACTGGTGGCCTGGCTACGTTCCTACTATATGAACGCCTGGGTGGCTGCAGCCATGGCCATCGTCTGGCTCCGTGGGCCGTGGCATTCCTTCTCTCCAGCGAATGATGCTCACGAGTACTGCTACTTACGTTGGGGCTGCTCAGCTCTTTGATGCGTACGCCTCTTTCTTCTCCTCTTAGTCACACTCCTAGGCATCCTTTCTCCCCTCTACTTTACAAAATCACTTTTCCTTTCTTCTTTTCTTTTTCTCGCCCCCTTCGCTTTCTCGTTTCACCATCTATAACGTTTTCCCACATATCTCATCTAGTGCAGCGCCTACTGTTGCTAAATCACAATCACCAACTCAACCAGCAAGGCGGCTTACTCAAATCTTCAGCATCTGGAGCTTGCCAGCCTGCCCCACGCGGGGACTCTCTCGGTCTTGACTGACGCCGCTTCTCTATAAACGCCACACCTAGCATCGAGCCTCCGTGGACTATCGGCTTGTCATAGCAATTTTATCCTCTTTTAATTTCCGCCTTCGAGTGCATTGTCTCGGCCTATATTTGGCATCGCACGTGTGCTACACGCCCGACTCATACCAAGTCGGTCGTGAGAGGTGTCATCGTACATAACCCCCCCAGTCCCTCGCCCCGCCGGCAAAGACACATTGCTCGCCTGTTCTATATTGCCTGGGACAACGATGGATGACATTGCCGACCTCGTTCTCACCCCATTCAGAGACATTGTCGAGAAGGGGAGGACAGCTGTTCAGAATGCGGGTGACACACAGCCAATGCTCAAGGCTTCCCAGGCCTTGCTCAAGGAGGGCGAACGTGCTCTCAAGAGGATAGAGCCGCTATGTAAAAAGCACTTTGACGATTATGGGCCAAACTTTGTTGCAGCCCTGAGAGACAATGGTGAGTTCCGTACAAATGATATATCACTTGATATTTTTACTTTATCAAGTAGAGTTAACGTGATGTCAATATAGAGGATATCGCCCAGTTTCGGCTTCAGCTTACAGATATGCTCTGGGAGTTTGATGACTATATTGAAGTAGACGACTTTGATGCTGCCAAATTCACTGAGCTTCAGATGCAGTCGCGTGCGGCAGCTCCAAAGATTTACGACATCCTGTTGAAGATGAAGCTCGAGGCACCTGCTCAGTTCAATTCTCAGCATTTCATGTCCCAGCTGTCTCCCCCTTCATCGCCTCACCCCATGCCGACTATGCTTATGCCGCAGATGCCGCCGACACCTTCAGTTACTAGCTCCAGCTATGCTGGCAGAGACTCTGTGTCCAGCTCCAAGACCGACAGCAGGTCTGTCGGGGATGCAGCTCCCGCTGAGACTGCCAACGAGCAGCTGAGAGTGCTGCTCGACAAGGCATTCAATACTAGTAACAATACTAATAGCATCGACCTCATGTCTCCCCCGATGCCACCTCCGGATAGGGCGTTGCCTATGCCCCCGCCACCTCCTCCAGCGGCAGTGGATCAATTACCTCCACGACCGCCGTCAACCAACCCATGGGACATTAGGGTCAAGACTGTTGCTTCTGATGATGAACGGCCACTGCGAGACGGGCCTCAAGCCCGCCGGCGACCACCAGTTGATCCAGCGCTCCAAACTCCGGTTGAAGGCCATTCACCAAACAGTCCGCTCACTTCTGCAAAGAACTTCTCAGTTCCGCGATCCAACTATTCAGAAAGCACTCGTAGCTCATCGTTAATGCCAGACAGCGCTCGCAGCTCGGGATTATTGCAAGAATATACTCTTGACGGAGACCACAAGCACTCGTCTCTTACCAGCCAATTGACAGACTACAGCATGAGTCCCACTCAAGTCTCACGCCCACGAGCACCAAGCAGTACTACTAGCTACAGCGCCAGCACCCCGACCATACCTGAGGAAATGTCGCGAGAAAAGGCCATCAGAGCGAGGAGTACTTCACGACCCCGCGCTGTCATGTATTCGCCAATGCCGTATCGATCACAGCCACGGCCACGTCAGCCCTCATATCCGACTACTGCTGAGGAGCGCGTGGAGGACGTAAAGCCTGGTCCCAGAAACGATTCGCTCAGTGATGCCGCACAACCTCCTATCTCTGAGCGAAGGTTGTCAGACGCCGAGAGTTTGCTGGATCCAAACCCCCTTCCGGTCAGTACAAGGCCGCCTGCCTATGATAGGCGGCCAAGTGCTGTCAATACAGAGCAACAAACCCAGCAACCACCTGCGTCGGGCCTCGAGCTTGGTCGCCGTAGCACGGGCCTGACCGCAAATGAGATCCCAGATAGTGGCCTGATCCCGGTAGACTCTTCTATGCCTGGTGCTGCTCTAGCCAATCTACCTCCCCAAGATCTCACAATCGACAACCAGAGTTCGTTTTACGTGATGAAACAATTCTGTGCCGGAGCTACCGACGTCATCAACGGTGGGATCGGTGTGAAGAGGATAAAGAAACCCGTAGGTACACTCTTTCCTGGTGGTCGTTGATGAGCTTACTGATTTGGCTGGGTTAGGGTTTTTCTATTACAGCTGTTGCTGCCAAGTGCACGCACTGCTTATACGAGCTGGACTTTAAGCATGTTGAGTACGATCTCAACAAACAAGGTATTTTAACAACTTTTTTTTCCTGATAGACTGGAAGATCTAACCTCTGTATGTTTAGAGGAGGGCAACTATACCAAGAATGGCATCGGATACCGCTTGCGTTTCTTACAGAAGAGCCATTTGCACGCAAAGCGGGTTGACGACGTCATGTATGCATGTGTCTTTTGTATTCATACCAGCCGAACTCTCGACCAAAGCGACTCAACTGTCTTCACATCGACCGCCGCATTGTTTGCCCATCTGGCTCGCCACCCTCGGCCGCTTCCAGATGTTCCTGGCATTGCTGTGGTAGACCAGACTGAGGTTCCGCCTCATTTGGTCAATGACTATGATCTTTTGTTTAACAGCCCGCCCGAGCCTCATCCGGTCCGCGAAAGGGCAGTAGAGATTGCTCACCTGCCCACAGGTCATGCAAAGGAGTCGGCCAGAAGACTCTTTGGCCAAAGACTGCTCCCTGACAGGACACCAGCTTTGGAATTGATACAAGGCGCAAAGATCACGGGAGTACAATGGCCTGCTCGATATGGAGGAGAATGGGCTTTTGGATGGCACGATGGTGTATTCGCATCGATCCCTGTCGAAATCTTAAAGCTGGATCGACCTCCTTTTAGCCAGATTAAGAGAAACAACTCAAGTCGCGTTCGAGCCAAAGCCAGGTGGAAGTTTTCAGTCAAGGAAAAGAATGAAGACTGGCTCAAGTTTGACAAGGACGAGGTCATCACCAATATAAGCTGTGAGTACAAACTTTTATACATGCGTTTTAGGCAAGAATAGGCATACTAACAGATAATAAGGGCCATATCCAGAGTATTGGTGCTGGTCAGGCACAAACGCAAAGGGCAAATGGGGAGTCTTCCCTCAGGCTTTCCTTGACCCAAACTCATTGCAGGAGATATCTTCCATGATTGGCTCAGACCGGTCCAGCATTCTCAGCAACGAGAAGAACAAATCGAGCACCATGCTGCCAAGCTTTTCCACACGGAGCAAGAATGGACGCCCAGCTAGCATTGCCGGATCGACAAGCAGTGGAGAAACGACACGATCCGGATTTGGCTCCAGACGCTTACGAGGACTGCGGGGAGACTAATTGAATAGTAAAAGAATGTGGATATGAAAAAACTTGGGCAACAATGGGACTTTTCGATTCATAGCGGGCGTTGGGTGATCCCAGCTCGCAAACCGATTATAGCTGTGGGCTTTTGATCCATGGGCATATTGTGTAAACAATTGTTTGTATGTTATGAACTGTTAGGAGATGCAGGGCGTTTTTGTCTTCTCGTTTTCTTTTTCTTTTCCCTTCTAGCTTTCGCTTTTGACCTTCTTTCCCCTTCGTTAGCCGGGGAGAGAAGGAAGATGTCAATAATTGACCATATGGGAGGATAATACTAAAGAGATGTTTTCTCGTATTTTGGCTATGTATAATGGGACATACCGTGGGATTTTAGGAACGTGTATATTAGGTAGCGCTGAATATACTAAATCTGGTCAACCTTGATGTTCATACCTAAAGAAGAGTAGAAATTAAAGTGGTTAAACAAAGCTTCATCGATTACGATGAACGAGAGCTTGGACACGAAAACACAATATCTGCGGTGTTTCGGTATATGCTTAGTAGCTCTCCTTGTTTACTTTGCCTTGCATACTTACCCACACAAAGGCCTTATATACATACCTAGGTAGGCAAAGTTATCCAGCAGCCCATTTCTATTATTCAGCACTCCAGCTAGGTGATATTAGGTCATAAATGTAAGCTGCTATTACTACTGCTACTGCTGCTACTGCTGCTACTGCTGCTACTGCTGCTACTGCTGCTACTTACTGGGATGTTGGATCACAGAATTGGGATACTGGATAACTATTCCCTATGTATATTCAGTAATTAGTGGCTAGATATATCAATATATCATTTAAAGCTTCAGACTTTTCCTCTTTATTCCTGTCCAAGAACATATGTATTTAGATAGCGGTGTAGTCTCAACTGAGGGCTGCTAGGGCCGTGTCTACAATAACTTACAACTACTAGCAGGCTAAAACATATCATCTCTCTACTGCTGTTAGCTTATAACGGAGAAAATCCATACGAGAAAGAATATAAATACTGTCTCGGCTTCTAGTTCCCTGTCAATGCACATGCACTGCAATGGGTTCTCATGCGCCTTCACGTGTATTGCCATAATTGGTAGGTACCTACCTAAGGTACCTGGCAGTGTCGGACTCAGCATCACTGCATGTACCACCTGTGTCAAAGGTACAAAGCGTTCTGGCTTTGTCGGCATAATTACTCAAAATCAGAGAGATGTAATCCTCTACTGGAGCAAGTTGAACACGTGGCTATTCTTCAAGCGTAACACTCTGTAATGCCCAACTCTAGCCTGGTGAGGCTCGATAATTTTGAGTAACCTAAACTTACATGGGCAATTGGCCTCGTAATGCACGACATTACGTCTAGCCTCTATTGCTGTTGAACGATGTTCCAGTTGCTATAAAAGGACCAACAAGCTTCTCTTGCAAGATATTTACTGGTGATATACCGGCAAATGACTATGTCTAGGCGCGCATATGGAAAAGCAGCTACCGTTTGATGACAACTCAAGTTGACATTTGTAATTTCTCAATTCGCCATAAGCATCCAACACAGGTCATTTGGTCGGCACGTAGTAAATGAAAGCCATAGTAATACATATTCAATGCATTGTGTCTCATCGATGCCCAAAAAAGAGGTATTGGTACCCAATAGACACTGCAGTGTAACCTTGCCACCTATTGGTTGCTTCTGGCTGGATCCAACGCTTTGATCGTAATCTTCCCCTCACCAGCTCTACACGATTTCCATCTCAGTCTCTTCCATCTCTTTAGGTTCGCATCGCATAATTCAGGAACAATGTCTGGACTTGAAGCCCTTTCGCTGGTCTGCAGCATCATGCAGGTCATTTCATTTACAAAAGAGCTAGCCACGACCTGCAGAGACATTTACGATGGCCGCGCTACTGTTGATGACATTACGCACGAAAATACGGCGTCAATCAAGACTTTGCTGGATGACATGGACAAATCTTCTCATGCCGTTCAGCAACGCACTCAAAATGAGAAAGACCTCCACGAGATAGCTCGAAAATGCAGCAGCGCAGCTCAAGAACTACAAACGGAAATACAGCTGACAATTCAATATCATCAGCCCGGAAGCGTTGTGAAGGCATTGATTGGGGGAATCAAACCTTTCTGGCATAAAAGAAAGGTTAAAGAGCTTTCTGAAAAATTTCAAAAATACCAAAAGACCTTGGAAACGCATATGCTGGTTCGTGTGTGGTGAGTCGCCCGCGCAGATTTCTTTTTCTCTGCTTTTATTTCTTTCTTTCAATGATGTATATTGAGACTAACATGGAATAATCTATAGCACGAAAACGGATGCTTTGCAAATTCAACAACAAAACGAATTCGTTGAACTATCAGAGACTATGCAGCACTTCATTTCTCAGATAGCAGCTGGTCACACTCAAATGGCCAACCTGATTAATTGGGATGGAGTGCAAACAAGGCAACAAATACAAAAATCTGAAATTGGCATGAAAGATTTGATCAACGCTCATCATGGTGAGGAAGATATGAAAGTGAAGCGAAATCGCCTACTTCAGAGCCTGAAATTCGAGTCGATGAATGCACGACGCACTGACATCAAAATTGCCAGTGAAGCGACGTATGTCTCGTTTTTCAAATCTCTCGAATTTGCAAAAAAGCCGACTTCCGGATCTGCTGCAGCAGCTTGGGCGGACTTTGTCGACTGGCTTCAATCCGATGAGCAAACCTTCTGGATTCAGGGGAAACCAGGTGCGGGCAAAAGCACGCTCGTAAAGTTTCTGCTTCAACACGAAAATACACACAAAGCACTTGATAAATGGAACCATGACTCTCTTATTATTTCTCACTTCTTTTGGAAACCAGGAAATATTCTACAGAGAAGTTTGAGGGGGCTGCTGTGTTCTTTAAGTCATCAGCTACTATCAAGCCAACCAGGCCTCATTGACAGGATAATATCAGAATTCAAGTTTACCAAAGAGAACGACTCGATAGGAGACTGGGAGATTCCACACTTGGTGGCTATCTTTAAATGCATATTGGCACATTACAACAGACCATTATTCTTTCTGATCGACGGCATTGACGAAGCGGCTGATGCAGAGGAGATTATCAAATTCCTGATCTCCAGTATCACTTCACAGAACACCAAATGGTGCATTTCCAGCCGTGGTGAACAAATATTCCAACAGGCCTTCTCCAAATACAAAGGCTTCAAACTCAACGAATATACCAGAGATGATATGCTCGATTTTGCGCGAAAAGAGATTCAATACGCGTTGGAAAATGTCCAAAAGCATGAGACCATGTATACAGAGCAGTTCCTGTTGGAGTTGCAACCCATTCTGGTGGACAAAGCAGAAGGTGTTTATCTTTGGCTGGTTCTAGCACTCGAAAGCATCAAAAGAGGACTTCGAAATCACGATGGGGAGGGCATCATACTATCTCGCTTAAGAAAACTCCCCACCGGACTCGAAGAGCTATACGCGGATATGTGGAGCAGGTTGGGTGAAGACCAAGACATATACCGAGGGGACGCGGTACGCTACTTCAAGCTACTTACAACACATCGGACTTTGACTGAAGAGTACCGAAAACAATATAGATTGGTCTGTCTTGATTTCGAACGGTTTCTAACACTTTTCCAAATTATGCTTTCTCAAGATGAAGACTTACAACGAAATTTGTTAGACGAGTCATATGAGCTGCAGCTTTCAGAGTTAGAAGCGAAATATTCAGGCATGTCGAATACTATTTCTATCAAGACTGCTGGGTTTCTCGTCGCCCAAGAGACACACGCAAATCTTTGGTTCGACTTGCAAATCAGATCAGAATATTCTCAATTAGAAAAACACGCTACGAGCAAGATAGACTTTGTTCATAGAACTTTGTTCGACTTCCTGAGAGACACGGAACCCGGAAGAAATATTATGTTGGAGGCACAAGCGGACCCTGCCCCCATACAGCTTGCAACTACGATGCTCTGTCAGCTTCGAATCATGGAAACAAGAAATAAGGCCAGGGTTTCTGGAACAATATTCCATCGCAAGGGGGATAGCTTGCATTATTTCCGCTGGCTATTAAAGCAAGCACAGAGAGACGATAACGACATAGTATTCAACACTTTACTGCCCGCCTACGAAAGACTCTTTGAAGCCAGACTTATACCGTGGGACCAACGATCAAACATGTACCCTCGACCATGCTTTGATACCCTTCTACTTAGCGATCCTACCTTTCAGCCATTTATAAAGGAACGGCTAAAGAGCAAAGGGGCATCGCATGCCACGCGTGTTCTTCGAGAATATATGTTTGTTGAAGATGCTGAATATATGTTTGTTGAAGATGTTGAATTTTTCAAACGCCACGGTCTCGGTATCAACATACCAGAGTTTTTCCATGACTTGGGTGCTGATATAAACTCTGCCGATACCTGCTTTTATGAGCCACCAGTCAGCATTGGGCAATTCGCAGGGTGTTTCACATATGAGTCAGCATTAAGTGAGTTTGTAAAGCAGCTCTATAACGTCACCAGTGGAACCTTCTACACTCGTCACTCTGTATCTTTTGGATTTTACGAACGGTTGAGATGCTTAGTGGCATTTTTAGAAACGTCACCCGACTTAGATATGCACACTTGCTGTCTCAGGCGGCCAGCCTACATGTATGAGCGTGGTAATCTGAGACTCCTTCTGTCTGCTCTATCTGTAGACAACAACAAAAACGACTCCATATTCAGATCCAGTTCCAGTTATGAACACAAATTTCTTATTACAGAGGCAAACTTAAAATACCTTATCGAACATTTTTTGAAAAACTTTTCGTCCAATATTACAGAAACAATGGATTTCGCAACTCGCGCCCTGCAGCTAGTTCGGCGAACGGACAGCAAGCCTTATTTCAAAGCTCGTTTCATTGTGAGCATACAAACGGCCGGGTTCGACCCTCTAGCAGGTTCAGTGACGCTCTACCAGGTTGTGGATGAAGATGCAGACGTCTTCTCCGAACTTCCTATCAAAAAAGTAGCATCGGGCGGTATGAGGGAATTTTATCCCACGCTTTGCATCTCATCGGAAAAGGTAGATGACTACCTTGGGAAGTGTAAAGAAGTTGATGTCTCTGCTTTGTCTGTTCTTTTGGATCAGAAACTTGGAGCTTGTTTTCTAGAAAGCTAGCGACTGATTCATAGTTGATAAAGGTTAGAAAGTTAGATACAAGAAGGCTTATATTATATGCATTTTTTCTTAATGTCATTAAGTGTTTCTGCATGGCGAATAGGGGTCGCATCATCAAGGCTGGTTGTTATTGAATGCAGCATCGCCTTCTCTGTTGTACCTCGAATTATTAGCGCAGAATGAGGGGACCAAATGTTAGCATATAGCTCGCAAAAGAAAGAGAAAGAAGAGGGAGAGAAAATACAAGGGGCTGCTGATTGGTATGCAGGCACTTTGCTTTTTTTAAATGAAAGGATCCAAAACGACAAGGCTCTAAAACGCGCGGTCCCCCTGTTTCTTGTCTGTTTCCGGGTACGGGATTGCGAGATAAAAAAACGAGCAGGGTTTGGAGGGATAGAGCTAAATTTATCGGAGTGTATTTCCGGGGAATATTCTTTCATTTAATGTTTAAGCGCTGAGATGAAGGATGCGATTGGCTTCATTGCAGTCGCTTACCTACTTGCTCCCTTCGGTCTTTCTTGATGGGAGTTATGCGACGGTATGTTTTTATGCTAACTTGTTGCGGGAAGTGCGTTTGATTACGAGATCCTGGAGGAGCTGAAAGGTGGCAATGAAGCAGTGAAACGGTCGATAACGAGCTTTGTTTAATACTTCTTTGAGAAATGTTTCTTTAGACCAGCTGAATGGCTGCAAGGTACACGTTACATATGAGGTAGCCATGCATAGAACGTTGGTAGAATCACCTAGTACCGGTGTTAATGTGCCACCACAGGAGAATAAACGTCAACTTGGTTTCATAAGTGCTCGCAATTTGTTCTGTCCGGGCGTTGAACAAAAGAAACAACAAAGCTGTGTGAAAGACTTTCACCCTCTTTTGCAGTTACTTTGATGCATATACTACTGCTCTGTAGATTTCACACAACGGTCTCTCTGAAGCACCTGGTTGCGCACAAGGAACAGGGTAACAGGTACACAGACAACAGAGGGTCCATCGTCAACGTTTCATTGACTGAGCTGTTTTTCTGTTCTTCTCTTCATCTCTTGTCCTCACTTACCAATACGAGGCTGTCGCGTGAGGAATCCTGATTGTGCGCATGTGCCCGTAAGACGGGGAGAATAGGATTGCTGCCTTGCGTCCCGTGCTAGCAAGTGCCGAGAAGGAGCAACAGTCTGCGCTATGAGATGCCAGATTCGTGATGGCGGATGCTTTCACGCAAGGGACGATGTTCTTTGCATCTGTAGGTAGTTGAAGCGCCTCACCGTTGTTATACGCGCGCCAGTAAGAGGAAGCATGCAGAGCTGATATACGAGACATAATAACAAGGGAGAAATTGAATGACAATCCTTTCCTTCCTCTTTTGGCATCTGGATCATGAAATCCAATTTCTTGGCCGCTGTCCCGAGACCTTTTTTTCTTCTTTTAGCATCTGAATCATGAAATCCCATTTCTTGGCCGCTGTCCCGAGACACCGCACACCGCTCTGATTTGTGCGCCCGGAAATTGCAGTCAGTCAATCATTCAGGTCCAGGGAGAGGGAGGAAGCCAGCAGTAGGGAGGGGATACCAGGTGAGGGGGGATGATGCGGGGATGAGGTACTGCCTCGTGGCTCTGTGAGGTTGTATCACTGCCTTGGGGGACGCGAGATGCCGTGACAGTCGATGATGCCGAAGAGGGTCTCGTGCGAGATGGATGAGGAAGGGAGTAGATGGAGAACAAAAGTCATTTTTATGGGTAAATAAAGTGGTCACGCCCGATTCTTGTGATGCTGTGCCACCCCACGATGCAGAATATCAATATTAATATTGGTGGCGTGGCTACAGATTGATAGGTGCCATGAATCAAAAGTATATACGTCGGTAGGTAAGGTAGTTAGATAAATATTGATTTTTGAAGTGTATGTGAATCGAAACCTAGTATTAGGTTCACATGTGAATATTAATCTTTATCCATATCGAACATGTGCAGGAAACGCCTCGGTGACATCATCGAACACCGCCAGTCGCAACTGCCTCAACCGAGACTGTCTTGCGGTCACGTAGGGCAAGACACCACCGTCCGTAGCTTCCGCATCAAGAAACGCTTCCCCAGCCGTGTAAACTTTTCCCCTCCATTTGGCGCCTCTTTGCATTTTCCCCTCATCAACAACACATCTCGTGAATCACCCCATGCGACGCCCTCCATCTCGGACGTTTGCAAAGATGGTGTACCGTGCGAGAGATGGCATCTCGTGATGGATCAGAGCCGGATCAGCATCGATCGGCTGCCCCTCAGCGAAAATCCCACCTCTTTACCAAATGCTGTTGGCAGATCGGCCTCCATCGCGCCGCCTCCTATTAGCTTAAATAATGCGAGACAGCCCACAGCATATCGCCATGATCTGCTATCATCTAGTACCGCAAGCGCCGTTCGTAACTAAACAACTGGCGCTTGTCTAACATCCGGCGAGAGGGAGGCAGAGACACCGCAAAAAAGTCAATTTCGTCCAATCGTGCTACTCAAGGCTTCAGTTTGTGAAAGGCTCCCCTCTCACTACGGGGATCCTGGTAGCGCCTCCAAAGACGTTTGGACGGTTAACATCGCGTCATCTCATACGAGAGGGATTTACGCAAGGTATTCTTTGAAGAAAAAGTTACAATACGAGACAACAAAGAGACGCCCGCAACGGTCACAGTAACTTCATCCATTGACAATGTCCCCTCGCGGCAACGCCACTACCGATGCGGCAGCATGGCTTGGCCGTTATGAAGACGCCATCGGCCTGGACGCCACTCCGCGACCTGGTTCGCCGGGCCCTGAATCCTGGGTGCCCCTGGCGCCGAATCAACGAATGGCAGCCGCTGGCCCTGGTTCAGGCGATAAAGCGTACGATTGACGATTGATGAAGGGGCTCACTCATGGTAAAGCCCGAACCTACCGCTGCTACTGCTGCTAACCAGTTTCACTCGGTCATAGTGCTATTGTCGGCTATCAGTGCCCAAAGAGTTGCGGCAACCCTGCCGAGCCGCCAAGCTATAGCCATCATGGATCCAAATCCGGACCCCTGTCTCCATATGCCAATGCCGGCCTTCGTCCAGACCCGCCCAGGAGCTTCTCCCTCGCGTACCTGATTCACAAGCTTTGTTTGGTGTTTGTGTTTCTCTCCATTGCTTTGTTGGTCTCCGGTTTAATACCTATTTATGCCCCGGAAATCTATGCAGCTCCTCCTGATGTTTCTCCATCTTCTTCTTCCTCATCTTCTTCTTCTTCTTATTTCCCTTCTAAGACGCAACTACCAGCTCCTCAGCTGGAACAGTTAGCCTTCGTTTCTCAATCCTCACACTCTTTTTATTCTTACATCATGGCTGTTCCTAGCTGGCTCTGGACGCACGCCCTGGCCTTCTCAGCCGTTCTTCCGTCACTCATTAACCCTACCCACGCCGCTCCTTCTACTCCTCTTACTGCAACAGACTATGTTGCCAACTCCGTCACAGCCATTCGAGAGCTGAATAATGCATGGTACGATACCGAGACTGGTCTCTGGAACGCTGCCTGGTGGAACAGTGGCAATGCCCTTACCACCTTGGCCGACTTTGCTCAGCTGAGACTCAATGAAGCCAACCAGCTCAATGTTGGTGGCTTTCTGCGCAACACTTATACCCAGGCTCAGTTGACCACTGTCTCAGTCGCCAAGGTTGTCAACGCCGTGGGTCTTCCCACGTCTACCCACTGCATTAATGGCAAAGGATGCCATGCTACCGTCTCCTCATCTCTGGAGAAGCGAGGATTTGCTGATTTCCTCGATGACTTTTATGATGATGAGGGATGGTGGGCTCTTGGCCTGATTCATGCCCACGATGCCACTGGCGACCAGGACTACCTTGACTCAGCCATCGAAATCTTCAACGACATGCAAACCGGCCAAGGAACTCCTTGCGGTGGAGGCATCTACTGGAGCAAAGACCGCACCTACGTCAATGCTATCGCCAACGAGCTGTATCTTTCTGTCGCCGCTTCCCTTGCCAACCGTGTGCCCTCCAACACCACCTATCTCCAGATCGCAAAGGCTCAGTGGAACTGGTTCAAGGGCAGCGGCATGATCAACTCCAACAACCTCATCAACGACGGCCTCGACTCCAACTGCAAGAACAACGGCTTGACCACCTGGTCCTATAACCAGGGCGTTATCCTCGGCGGTCTAAGCGAGCTTGCCCGTGCTACCGGAGATTCATCCTACCTTACCACCGCCGCTACCATTGCTAACGCCGCTATCAACTCCCTTTCCAATTCAAATGGCATCCTGGTCGAAGCAGACCAATGCGAGCTTGCATCAGGCAACTGTGGCCTGGATGGCCAGCAGTTCAAGGGCGTCTTCATCCGCAACCTCCGATACCTCAATGACTTGGCACCAAACAACAACTTCAAGAACTTCATCCTTCGCAATGCTCAATCCATATGGAACAACGACCGCAACAGCGACAACATGCTCGGCGTCGCCTGGGCGGGCCCTTATGTGGCGGCTACGGGGCCGTCCCACAGCAGTGCTCTAGACGCCCTAGTGGCGGCGATTGCTGTTTCATAGTTCTACATCTGATCGGCTCTCCGCCTTGGCAACTTGAAAATTTTCTTTACTCTCTTTTGTTACTACTTTTATTCCACTTGAATAGGGCTGTCTGGTGACGACGATATTTGAGGGGTGACAGTCACAGTTGAGCCAGGCGTTTGCTGTGGGTTTGGGGTTTTCTCTGATGCTGCATGACAGGCACGCAATCAACTTTTTTTTTTTGGGAGGCACCATTAATGATTAATCATAATGTTGTGAAACAAACTTCTTTGCTTTTTTTCTTTCCCCTTCGCTTGAGGTGATGCCTTAATATTCGATATGGGGGACATGGAGGATGTCCCTTGTCACATTGCCGTGTTTCATCGTGGAGTGTGGCGAGGACATGATTCGCCAGCGATAACTAAGCAATTTTACATTTTGCCAAGCTTTATGCGACCAACACAGCGCTCCGTGAATCGAGATGAATACGAGTTTCCATGTAAAGGTGCAAATTGTGAGGATTCAAAAGTTAAGAATACCAGAGGACAACAATGATTTAAACCAATGGGGTTTGTCGCATGCATGGGTAGATTGATAAGCGACATGGAAAAGAAAATTAAACGTTCTAGTGAATCCGTGCTTGATATAGACTGCATTTAGCGCAAACCATACTTTATACAAAAACGACTATTCTTAACTTTAACCTTGTGACCTATATATTGCGAGATGCCAAGAATGTTTATCTTAGAGTTTGAAAATAGTGCTTCGTATTCCTATATCTCGGAAACGGAGCTCCAAGATGCATCTGCGTGTAATATACCGTTGCGGCTAGCTCCTTTTCAAGCTTAACACCGAGCTCCAAGCTCCATCATAGCATTGCTCAGCAGATAGCTAAGCTACCCTATAACAAACAGTTTTTGTTACAGTTTATGCACTGTATTTCACACTATATCGCACCTCTCTGCAGCTTGACAAGATGTGTGCAATACTGAGGTTGGGCCTGATATTCAGGCAGCCGCCAAAGAAGCATCAGGCAGCTCAGCAATCAAAACATTGAACTCATATTGACGGCAATCTTCAGTCATATCGACTTGGATTTATTTCGCTGCCTAGCTTCAGCAGTCAGATATACCGTCACCGCTTTCATAAAGTGGTGCCTAACGGCCTTTTCCTGCGTGGTGTTAAAAAAGGAGATGCTCAGCCAGCGTTGACTTGAGAGACAATTCAGCTACAAACACACACAACATCACGATTCGAAATGGACGCCTCGGAGAATGAGATTGACGTGTATTTGCACAAACATTCCAAGGTCCTGCTGGAAGAGTTGGATCAGAGCCTGGTGACTTGTCTGCGGAAACCGGATGGGCGAGGGGGAACTCGTATCCGGCCGTGGGTGCGCATCAGGGAGACTCTGAAGGCCACCTGTGTTGTGAGTTTTGTTGACTCGAGAGAACAAGAGACAGTTACTGACTGCCTATTCACAGGTCTTGGATCAGTTCCAGGAACTGCCGCAGCTGCTGGATCCGCATCTGCCCAAGTGGATTCCCTACCTGGCAGAGTCTTATCTGGAGTATCTGCAGACGCGGCATCGCCAGAAGCGCATCCCCGAGCACACAAAGAACCTGCTCGCTCCGCTGGACTACACCATCTCCCAGATCCTCTATTCGTTCTGTAAAGTGCGCGGCGAAAAGGTCATTGTGCGCTTTCTCAACGTCGAGACAAAGTACCTGGAGCTGATCCTCTCGGCGGTTGAGGAGGCCGAGGCAGCGGCTGACAATGTAAAGGAGAAGAATGTCGGAGAGCCGTCTTCTTTTTCTGCTGTTGCGTCTTCCTACAAGATATGGTCGTGGGAGCAGCGGTACATTGCGCTGCTTTGGCTTTCTCACCTCTTGTTTGCGCCGTTTGACTTATCGACCATTTCCTCCGCTGACTTGGATGAAGGCGGCGTACCGCCCATTGCTGGGCTTAGCTGGCCTGCAAATGTGCCGGGCCTTACGATGAGAGTCATCCCGCTGGCTATCAAGTACATTGCTTGCGCAGGTAAAGAACGAGATGCTGCCAAGGCTCTCTTGGTGAGGCTGGCGATGCGGCGGGATATGCAGCAGCTCGGTATTCTCGAGAGCCTCGTGCAGTGGTCATTGAAGTCGTTACGGCCACAGAAGGATAATGAGGCGGACAACCCTTACTTTTACATCGGTGTACTTTCTTTCCTGGCTGGCATACTGCGCTCTTCGTCTGAAACGTCTTACATGGACAAATACCTATCTACCATCTTTGAATCCATGCTTGAACTTTCGGCAGGTGGGGATGAAATTTCAAAAGTCATCATGTCTCAAGCATCAGCGCGAAAGATGATGCTCAAAGTCGTCCGCTCGCTTGTTGTGTCGCTACTGCGCAATGCCCGGCGGGATATGAAGACTACCGTCTTGGTAGAGAATGCTATTGGATATTTCCTAGAGAGCCTCTCTGACAACGATACCCCGGTTCGCCTGTCTGCCAGCAAGTCACTCAGCATCATTACGCTCAAGCTGGATCCAGATATGGCATCCCAAGTTGTTGAAGCCGTGCTGGAATCCTTGAATCGCAATGTGCTCTGGAACAAAACGTCAAGCAAGCCAGGGGCCAACCGGGTTCGCGATTTGTCTGCTGTAAACCCTCTGGAGTGGCACGGGCTGATGATGACTTTGTCTCATCTGCTCTATCGAAGATCGCCGCCGGCCAGCCAGCTCTCCGACATCTTCCACTCTCTTCTCTTGGGATTGACATTTGAGCAGCGCGGCATTTCCGGAGCAAGCGTGGGGGCCAACGTTCGCGATGCGGCTTGTTTTGGCATCTGGGCATTGGCTCGTCGATATACGACTTCTGAGCTCCTTGCTGTGCCTACCAAGTCTGTCTACGCAGCCAAGGCTCACCCTCCATCGAGCTCTGTTCTGCAAGTTCTGGGAACAGAGCTGGTGACAACTGCATCTTTGGACCCAGAGGGAAACATCAGACGTGGTGCTTCTGCCGCGTTGCAAGAACTTATTGGTCGGCATCCAGATACCGTTGAGCACGGTATTGGTGTCGTCCAGTGTGTGGATTACCATGCCGTAGCCCGGCGATCGCGCGCTGTTCAAGAAGTTGCGCTTGGTGCCACGAGGCTGTCGGGCCAGTATGGTGAAGCTGTTGTTGATGGCATCTTGGGCTGGCGAGGAATCGGCGACATGGACACGGCTTCGAGACGAGCTGCCGGCGCTGCATTTGGTACGCTGATGGTGGAGTTGTCCAATGTAGCCTCCGAAAAGCCATTTTCGCGCTTCGAAGAATCGATTGACTCGGTGATGGATCGCTTGAGCAGCTTGCAGAAAAGACAAGTGGAAGAGCGACACGGTTTGCTGGCATGCTTTGCCGGCGTGCTGGATGGCTTCCCTGAGCTTGCACGCAAGGCTGCACCAAGGTCTCTGGATCAAGCTTCTGTCCGCAAGGTATTAGGTCATGTGTCTACGATCCTTGAAGACTGCGGCACTACCGAGTATCGTAAGCCAGAGCTTGTTGTTGAAGCAGCAAGCCGTTTGGCTGTATCCTCTCTACCCATCATACAGCTCACGTCAGTCAACAATTTGTTTTCCGAGCGCCTGGAAAAAGGAGTCGATATCCTATCGGTGGACAAACTTGACGGATTGCCAGAAATTGTCGCTGGCTTCAGCTCAGCACAACAAGTTCCCGAGGTTGAAACGCTGACTTCCCGGCTGCGAGCCGTCATTCCCAAATGGCTTAGCAGAAACGAGCAAGAAACCGTTGAGCATGCTTCCGCAGCTGGCCTGATGCTTCTATTACTCTCTGCTCCTCAACAGCGTGCTGAGACGTTGGAGCAATGGGCCAAGTTGATCGCAGCCAAGCCCGGAAGCCGTGCAATAGCAACTGGCAATGGATACTATCACGTTATGGCCCTGGCACAGCCCCTTGCTCACAGCTCGCAGGACGATATGAGCGGAAACGACATTGTTTGTGCTGCGTTTCTCGAACGATGGAGCGTTGATAGCGAGATTGAAACCAGAGTCTCTATTCTACACAGTCTTTTAAGCAGTCGGATTCTGAGCGACAAGCCAGCGGTCTTCTTGGATCTTCTTGCGGATGGGCTAAACGATTACACAACGACGGCTCGAGGCGACGAAGGCTCCTTGGTGCGATTCCAGACTCTCAAGGCCATTGCAGTTTTATGGGGGGGGATTGGACGTCCTGCGGCTCAGGGAGACTGGGTGGCGGCATCTGTTCGGAAGCTCATTCACAATATTTTGCGGCTCTCTGCAGAGAAGCTTGATCGAGTGCGCCGTGTGGCTAAGGATGTTATTGCGCTGCTCATGAATGAAGGGTAAGTTTTGTTTGCTTGTTTGCTAATACATCATTTATTAAGTCGAGTGATCCTTTGATAATATGGCGCTAACTGCTGGACTCTTATCTTCTCTCTAGTAAAATTGATGGACTCAAAGACTCGATTCAAACATCTAGCAAAACGTATCTCACCGATCACTTAAGTTTCTCATCAAAAGCCTACTTTTCACTCCTCCTGGACCTCATCAACAAGGATTCCCTCCACAAGCACATCATGGACATTGTAAAAGACGACACAAACGCTTGGATGGCCGGCCTCATGGCTGGCTTCGTCTCGTCCGCAGACACCGGCAACGAAGATCTCATCATTGAAAGCCGCGCTGCCCTCACAGACTACTGCGAGCAATCGCCCCAGAAGCTGCAGCTCGTGTGCTCCGCGCTGCTGCATAACCTCAAGACGTGCCAGGGCGAGGACCGTATCATCGTGCCGACTTTGGAGATTATTGCGTTTCTCTTCCACGTGGGCCTATTTCAGCGCTGCGAGGGGGTTAATTACAAGAGTTTGTGTTTGCAGACGCAAAAGGCGGGATACAAGACTGGAAATGTCCGCAAGGTCGCTGCCTGTATCAAGGTCTATGGTGGAATTGCTGCTGCTGGGCCCGAGAGCGCTGGAGATAATGTTGAAGCTGGAGTAAAGGATGCTCGTAAGAGGCTGGGCGCGCTCATGGCTCATCCGTGGCCGCGGATTCGCAGTGCTGTGGTGGATGAGATTTGGGGGCTTGTGGACAGTGGCGAGCTGGCTGCGGATGGGGATGATGGGCATGAAGATGGGCATAGTTTGATGGGAGTCGATTGGACGAGTGCGGATAAGAGTCGGGTTAAGGTGTTGGTGACGGAGTTGAAGTTGGAGTAGGTAGTGATGGATGTAGAAGCTGCAAAGTATTACACGATATATCGAACTTATTCATCTTATGGGATTCATATGGTTTTGCGCAATGAGCGTGTCAGACAGCTCATCGCGTATACCGCCTTTCCAGCTATATATACACTCAAGATCATCTTGGACAGACTGCTATGCCCTTTTACAAACTTCATAGACGTTGTGAAGCGCTGTGTTGAGAACAAGCATGTTCCAAGACGCATAGCTAGCTGGTATGCAGCAAGTAGCTAGATGATGAACCATCTCAATAGACATAGAGACTTAAACCATACTTCCAAGTATCACATAACCAAAGACGGGATTTAAGACGTATTCAACTCTGACGACAAATGGCCGATGAAGAAACAATCCAAGTACAACTAGCACTCTCTCAATCAATTGGAGCTCCAATATAAAGAGTCTTTAAATGAGATCGTGTGTGAATAGAAACGATGAGAGCTTTATTCCACAAATGTCGGAAACAAGTTGACAGAGTTGTAAAATACATCCATCGCAACAGTCTTCTTCTTCACCACCCCTTAACTACTACAATTCCTACAATGACTTTCTGGGTACGTCAAGACACGTCATTATCCCAATCTTCGTTTACAATCATCATTTCTCGGCCAAATTTTACCCTGTAACTCACTCAGGGGGAAAAGATAAAAGCGGAACAAGGCACAACCAACAGTCGAAACAAATTCGGCACAGCAAGCCCGAAACAGTTATTTCAAAAGTTCCTATCGACCTAGTATTTCTTTTTTTTACATTTTCCCTTGTGTACGAATCTAAAATTGTAACGCCCCCTTGCTTGAGATAAGCTAGGGTCGATGATAACCCTCTGTATTGCAGAATAGAAGGATCAAAAGCCCCGGTAGGCGAGCTGAACTCTGAGGCTCATGATGCAATATCGTATAATGAGATAAGTAGTCTCCCATCAGAGTACGATACATCTCCCTTATCAACGTGTGACTGAATCATGGCCATCGTTGGGCGCTCAGGGCTGAAAACGATGTGGAGAAGAGCTGAATTGAAGGACCTAATTCTGATCTACCCCAGATAATTCGTATCGTTAATAGCGGTCAGTAGTCTGGTAGATCAATTGCCACGTACATATAGCACACAACACAACAGACATCTAACTAGATCAAGTCTCTCGCTACTCCAAAAACGCCAAAGGGGCAATAACGCGTTAACTATTTGCGCAGGACGAAGCACGCGACTCATGTACTGCAGCTCGTTTTACTTGGGGTGACCTGCCTTGTCATTCGCGCTCTCGTGATTTGACGCCACGCACATGTAGAATGTCTCTAGCTGGCTTCTGGCCAAAAGTCAAACCCCTCAAGCTTTCTGAGGCTGAAGGAACTTGACGGACAGGTTACCAAGTAATCTCTCTTGAGTGACCGCGTCAAATGAATTCAACGCTACTTAGCATCATACACAAAAGTTTATGAATCAGGTTGTCTGACAGTAATGATGGAGCTTTGTCATGCGGGGAGACAAATTGAGGGCACCCGGAGCACTTGGTACGTACTAGCTAGCACCACAAACTAAGATCCAATAGTCGTTGGCCTCGCTCATGAGACAACGCAGGGTGATTATTCTCCAACAATCAGCACGTGGGAGTGAGCACTGTTGGTCGGAACGTGCGCCCACCCCAGGATTTTGTTGCACTAGGGTGGCCGTTATCCTTCATGCCCCTAGAGATTGGGTCTTTGGGGGCAGGATTCCTGCTGCAGCTAGATATCTCATCTCAGCCAGAAGAGGATGGAGGCGCTGATAAGAGCCGCGCCGAGGCCACAATGGTGCCATTCCGCGCCGTCCAGCTTTCGACGCATGGCGGCATCTCGGGGTCTAGAACCGTAAGAACGGCCAGGAGAGGCGAGCGTAGAGCATCTCGCCCTAGGCCTATTAGCTTGGTGCGACCGCCACCAGGCGTCCCTTTAGCCTGGAGATCGAAAGGATGAAATGCAAGTCGCCCGATGCGGCAGACAGTGACAGTCAAAGACAGTGTTATCGGGAGCTCGACCCGTGAAATGGTCTCTAGACAAGGCTCTAGGCACCCATGAATTGAAACGCGCGAGCTGCAGCCAGCCGATGATCCTTGGAGCAATGGCGCTCTTTAAATGTCTCTCATGTGGCCGCACACTGGCGCTTTCGCTCTTTGGAGAAGCCACAGCGAATTCTAGGTTCTGATATCGAAGGGATTCTGCTTCTAGGCCGGGGGGTTAACCAGCCTCTATGAACGCATGGCTGATGCTGATCGGAATTTTAGGCTCCAGGATCCCAGAGAGCAAGTGGCTGAATAAGGAAACCAACCGCAATGTCTCACTGCTGCAGTCACAAGGCTTTGCTTCGCACAGACCAAACATGTCGCCTGTTGAATGATGGAGATCGCGTCTATCCCATAACATCATCCGCCTAAGAAGAGCGCCCGCTGAGATGTATTTTTATGGAGAATCGCCAGGATGACAAACCTGGTATTAGCGGTAGCTACCGTCTGCTGAAGGCCTTGGACGTCCTCTGATAAAGGGGTCAATAGTAGCTGCCCCATTTATATGGTACTAGGCCGTTGTACAAAGTAACGGAACAAAGAAAATCAAAATCTTATAGCACAGTACATGGTTTGGACCAGAGCGGCGTGGCGCCTCTTGGAGCGGCTCAAACAGTGATGGAAGCGGAGTGGCAAACGGACCAAGTAGGTTATTATTCCCGATTTTGGCATCGATACAAAAAGATCGAACCGTATATTGGTGGTGTTAATAGTTTCAAATCGGGCTTGACGCATTCAGAGTCGATTCTTTGAATGTATTCGTTGGTTGTAAGTGCTGTAGCTCTCTTCAATGAAGCTTTGTTACCGGCCAACAGCAAATAGTAAAGTAGCAACACCACCAACAACGACACAATGTTATTGTTCAATGAGATCTATAAAAAGCACAATACCGTACCTATGGGCATGTACCTTCTCTTTCCAACGAAGCGGAAACTTCATCTTGCACAAAGCGCGTCGGTCCGGCGGATGGAAATTTTCTGCTTTTTGGTGGCGCCAAAGGCTGTGATGCATTAGCTAAGATGGAACGTGGTTGATATCAGAGGCGTTCTGGCTTCATTGTTCATTGCCGATTGCAATTGCCGGTTCTGTTTGTAATAGAGATGCTGACAGGCAAAGTCACGTGCAGCCTCAGCATTTAAACGTCTTACATGCAAATTCGCTGGAAGATGAGATGAGATGGAGTTTCAAGAGCTGCTCTGGTGCATCGTATCGTATCTTGGTCTGGAAAATAAGCTGAAGATGCCCACTTAGCCATTGCTTCATTGGCATGTTCGTACGTCGGCGAACTGGAGCTGGGCTAGGGTTCAATGGTGGTGAAAAGGGGGATCAGACAAATTATGTCGTTGCTTGACTTCGGAATCGGAAACGCAGATGGAAAATGAGATTTGGCTTTTAGATGATGTACGCAAAGCACGGCACGACTCCATAGAAACGCATGGAGCCGTAATACCGTTAGCTCTACGACGTCGGACCGCTCCCCCCTCCAACATGCAACGCCTCATATCCGGGCCTCTCAGCTCCGTACCGCAGCAAGAAATGAGACAGGATGGCTGGATGATACAGTCGGAGATGCTGGCTCAGCTCCGTCGCAACGGGGCATCGGGATTTGATAGGCAAGATAGGCGATTTGTGTGCAAGGATGGCGTGGGCTGTGGCGGCGGAGGTTGGCTGGAGATGGCGTACAGGAGAAAGAATTTTGGGTTACGGTGTTGAAGAACCTTGTGCAGAGGAGGTACGTACCGGCACTACCTCGACGGCCACGTGATGGTGATAGCCACTTTGCGGTGACAGCGCGGGAGGGCGCTAACATTTCGCGTGTCAGATGGGCGGCAGGAGCAAGTACCTGCGACGTTGACAGGCGGCACCTCGTTTAATTGATTGCGCAGTGACATCTGTCACTCAGCCCAGTCTGTAAGGTAGGCACTAAGAGAATGGATACCTGCCATGATGTTTAATGGGCCATTCTGATGAATAACGTGCCAAGCAAACAGTGCTCCTTTTTTCTTATTTTATCAGTATGTAGACTAAATGGCAGCTCCCTTATCGACGATGAAGGTGCAAAATGCTGCTGCCTAGCGATTGCCGTGATATCGCCCTTCTTGTTTGATATCTCGATGCTTAGTCTTGCTGCAGCCCACCGCCACTGGTGCCCTTTGCACCACGTATGATGTAAACAGACGCTTGGGCACAATCCCTCTCAGTCCCCAAAGCAAAGCAGACAGCGTTGAACAGGAGCCTCTTTTACTAAGATGCGTTCGAGTAAGTAGCTTGAGTAGCTCTTACATACTCCGACAAGATTCAGACCCTGAGTCCCGCTCATCAACCTGCTCACCACTAATGACGTACTTGTACTTTGCGAGCCCACATCGTCTGTCCACATCCCGAAAGATCGGACTTCTCGGCCGATATGACGGTGAAGCGCGGAAAAGAAACAGTTGGCAATGAAAAGAAACCGACATCAAACTTTTTTTCATGCAGTCAGGGGGTTCTCGCTAGCATCCAAATCCCAGCCCGGTATACCTCCGTACATGTATGTAAAGAGATCTCTAGTTCGTCGGCAGAAATGATTAGGGCATAGCTTGCCGGCGCCCGCCTGTATACTGTAGAGCGCCGGCTAACTTTTGCGCTCACCGCATTCCACGCAGACTCAATTTTCCGTCGTGCCGCTGAAGCGCGAAGAAGCGCTGCAGAAAATAGACCAGGTACTTACATGCTACTGTAAGGTAAGAGCGTAGGCCTATGCGGCGTACGCATGTAAATGCTGGTAGTGCTGTAGGCATATTGCAGCAAATTTTGCAAACTTGCCAGCTAGCAGCCCTCCTCGAAAAAGAGCTGCCTGTTCTAGTCCCTCCCCTAAAAACCGCCATCCGTTGACTCGGTGTCCAAAACTGGGACACTTAAAGAGGGACCCGCACGCGATCATTATCGCGATCTCATCGCACAAGATGCACGGCAGCAAAATCACAAGAAAAAAGCAAAAAAAAATTGGCTCTCGTCAACCTCTCGGGTTCCTTGGTTCACGGGGCCCAGCGGGGGGGAGGGGATTGATTGAGCTTCAATTTGACCAAGAAGAGCCCACTTAGAGGGTTCTCGGCCCTGGCCTGATGCTGCTCCGTGCGTTGGAGGGGGGGAGGGACCCAGCCGTCAATCGGCACCAAAAACCAAGGATTGTAGCAAGCAAAAAGACACAAAAACTGCCCGCGAGGCGAGCAGAGACGCAACGCGTGCCAGAGCGCTGGGAGGAGCCGAGGCCATGGAGGCCCCTCACCTCTCAGCCCCAGAAGGCGGACTTGGGGGCTCTGGCCAATCTCGAGCTGCACGCATGACTCTGCGGTGGGGGCAGGTTGTGCCTTGTATGCGGTGCTACTGCAGAGTCCCCAGCAGCGCTCATTAGACTTGCATGGAACAAGTATCGATACTGCACTTTTTTGCTGTATGGGGGACTTGTAGCTGCATGATAACACACGCACAGTGAATCCCCTCGCCTCGTCTTGTCTCGCCTCGCCTCTCCATCCAAGAGATCAACAGAAGCTGAACCTGCAGGAATAGCACCTGCTCGTACGCATGTGATTCGCTGTACCACTGCCACTGCCCAGCTGCTACCACATCATACAGGGCGGTGTCTGGAATCATCCCTTGCCTGACGCTTTGGGGTTCTCTCCGTGCCGCGTCGTCTTCTTTTTTCCTCGCAATCGCCGAAAAAAACTAAGCACCGAGAATCTGGCATTCCGGCTCTGTCACCGCCAGATACAGCAAATGCCCGTCCAAAAAAAGAACTCTGCGCCGCTCAGGCCACCCTCTCGATCGTTGTGGCCTCGTGGCCAGCCGCCGCCGTCCGAACTCTGTTACGGGTCATCCGTAGCAGTACATGTACTGGGTAACCTCGGGCCAGTGACGCAGGTACTTGTCCATCCCGCCGCTTGCATATGGCCGCGCTAGGTTCCTGCAGGCGATGATCCTCGTACTCCATACTTTTTGCGCGGTCCATCGCTAGCCCGTTGGAGGGCATGTATGTCTCAGACACCTTGAGCGGAGCTGGCAAGAAACTGCAGCCAACGGCGGCGCTCCGTAATGCTCCATACAATTGTATCAAGTAATTTGAGGTGGACATGTCACAACCAAGAGCGTGTCATCGCCGTCGATGGAATGACCTGAGGCTGCAACAAAAACATCAATAGACGGTATCAACATTTGATAGTCGCCAACATCCTTGCAGCTCTTGGCGGTACATGTACGAATGATAGTACGTACCTCCCTATAGATAGTACTAGTATGACGACGGATGCCGGCCGAGATAGCAATCTTCAATCATCCAGATAGGGCCAGGATAGGGACTTTTGCGTGGGTAGCACGAAGATACGAGTAAAGCGACATGCACGCCCAAACGATGTTGATTACTGCGTACGGATAAGGACAGTAAGCCGAGAATTTGCATGCACATGCGGCTTTGCAGGCGCGTAACACAGGCCGGAGGATGGATTGATTGATGGATTACTGGTAAGACCATAAGAGGTCGGAGATAGAGAGAGGGAGCATTCCTTATCTCGCTCTCGCGCGTATTTTCTTCGCTTTGCTCCGTATTACTATCATTCGAGAACAGGCCATTTTTTTCTTTGTCTTTGCACTCGCGTGATAGGGTCGGCGACCACAGCAGCGCATGGCTGCCTCTTGTGGCTTTGTGGCTTTGTATCAAAACCACAAACGGCGCCTGCCAGTCCCCCCTTTCGGCTTTGCGATGGAAAACTTTTTCACCTCAGCCGAGCTTCGAGCGCGTTCTTTCAAATCTCTGGCGCGCATGGCGTCAGGTCAAGCAATTTCTTTTTGTGTGATTTTGCAGTGGCTGATCGGTGTAGAGTCCCTTTTGGCGTTTTTGCAAAAGGATGCTATCACCACCCACCCAGCTTTTGCGTCAGCTACTTTGTACTAACGCTTTCGGCACCGAGTCCAGTCCACCCGGGTCGTCGAGTACGGGGTAAGGTAAGCTTCCCAGGCGTCTGGGATGACTAGGTTACGACGGCTCCAATCAGAGGGCGAGGAATGGCGCTCTCGGTGGCCAATATCGCAATGAATGGGTCTCAGAGTCGAGATGCTAGCACCGTATACTGCGCACTAAAGAAAGGAAAGAAAGAAAAAAACATGGCTACACAGGGCCGGGACCCCTCCCCTCTTCTTGGTGCGCCGAAGGCTTGCAGCAGCTGGGAACAAGAGAGGCCAAGATTTGCCCGAGAGGGAGGGCAGGGGAGGGGACGAGGGACGAAGAGGGGCTCTGCATCTCGTGCATGGCATTCCTCAGGGTTACAGGCGAGTGGAAAATCTAGATTTCTATTTGGATACATACTTGGGTAGGTATCTTGCTTGACAAATAATGGCTTTTTGGAATCTTGGAAGCAACATGTATTATTGATACTACCTTGGTATTATTCAATACTTGCTCGGAAGCCCCACCGCTGGATCGGCCTGCTTATTCAGAGGTCGAAGACAAAGAAATCAAGCACAGAGTGGCCCAGGCCATGACGCTAAAAGATCCGCTGAATGGCCTCCGTGGGTCTGGGCTTGGGAACAGGGCCTCGGGACCGCGCCATTGGGGCACGCCTCTGTTGCGTTACCTGTCCTTGTATAGGTAGTGGACTATCGCTGCGATTCTGGTGGTGGCACTAAGCAGGTACATGTGCGCAATGAATGGCCTTTAGCGGCCACGCCGCCAAGAGACAGAGGACAGGCACCGCCTATCCCATTGACTGGAACGACAAGCCTCCAATAATAGAGTGGACATGTCTCGCGGAAAGTACCGCCATCAGAGCATTAGTAGCGGTACTTGCGTCTCTCTCTCTCGCTATTCTGCACTACCCCTTATCCTCATTCTCATTCATGGTGCCTCAATAACAATTGAAATGCCTACTATTGTATCTGTTGTATGTGATGGTACCTACATGTAATACAGGGTGCATGCGTGTATGCACGTACATAGTAGGCCGATGGAGCATGTGCATGCAGCCAATATCGCCTTGCAGCTGCTGCTTTGGCTAGTGCTGAACTCGCAATGCCTGCCCGCCTCGCCGCGGCTAATTGGCGAATTTCTTCTCAACTCGAAACCACGCCGATGCGCAGCAATACCCAGATTAGCACAGCCAGCCATCAAGATACGGCCTCGACTCCATCCACCCATGTACCGGTACCCGCTAAAGACACTAGGCGGTACCTGCTAGGGATTGCCTCGCACGCCACCGCATCCGGGGCGCTGCCCTTTCAGGTCCCGGCCTGGCCTGCTATCGACGCTCTTACTGTGCTTTGCTGCCAGTGTGTTTTTGCCTTTTGGCTCGCTGCTTTTTGCCGTTGTGCATCCCATCACTCCATCCGTCCACCCAACCGCCAATCCCTCCGGCCGTGCTAAATTAAAACTCCTCCTACCAACGGTGCCTACTCGTTGTAGTCGTGCTCCTGCTACGCACCTCTTCCATACATCATCCCGACTCCGCCTCTTTGTTTCTCCTAGACTCTGTTCTCCTCTTCTCTCTTCCCATCTATTCGTCTTCCTCCCATAACAAAAGCTGCCGGCCCCACGGACAACTTACTCATCCTTTCGACTCTCTACAACTCGCTCTCAGTCGACTCTCAGTCTCAGATCGCCCTTATCCCACCGATGTAACCAACGCCTGCGGCCGCTATACTTGCAGCGTTCATGCAGCAACCCCCCCGAATCCCGCCCTCCGCCAGCACAGCGCTCCCGCCTGCAGACGCAGAGCAGCGGCCTCATGCCCTGGTAGACTCGCCGCACAGAAACTCCGTGCGCCGGTTGCCCATCTTGACGCCGCCATAGCAACGACACCCCCGAAACCGACGACCGACGACCTTCGAGATATAGCCTCGACCACCAACTAAAACTTTCCCTTTCCTCTCCCTCCTCGCTCGTCGAGCCCTCTACGGAGGTCGACGGGCGCGGGCCCTTTGCCGCAAAGAGTCCGCCATGTCCATCTACTCTGACCCGCCGGCGCTGCGAGACTTTTCGCAGGACAAGCCTTCGCTGCTGGTCTGCTGGTGGGCCACCATCTTCTGCGCCCTCATGATCCTGCTGCGAATCGCTGGCCGCTTCATTCGAACCGAAAGGCTCTTTGCCGAGGACAAGTTCGCCGCAGTCGCCTTGATCCCTTTGTTCTTGCGCATGGGATGCGTCCACTTTATCCTCGTCAACGGAACCAACAATGCCGACTTCACCGGAGTCACCCTCACTGCCGAAGAAATCCGAAAGAAATCCATAGCCAGCGGCCTGGTGCTTCTCAGTCGTGTACTCTATGCCGCTACGTAAGTCTGCTCATTCGGCAATTCAGGGATTCTTTTTTTTACGTCCACAAATGGGTTGGCTTTGTTTTCGCAAAGAAATCTCAATCACATACTGCACTAAGTGAGACAACTGACGCTGACCCTCCTTTCTACCTTAGACTATGGATTCTCAAAGGCACAATACTCGAGTTCCTAAAACGAATCGCCGACCTTACCTGGCAGCGAACCCATCACTACACCCTCATCGCCATCCGATGCTCCCTGGGTCTCACCTTCATCGCCGTCGTCATTAGCGACCTCGCCGAATGCAACCCCTTCAGACATTATTGGCAAGTCCTGCCTGACCCTGGTGGTCAGTGTCGCCAAGGCTATGTCCAGCTCATCACAATGGCCGCCTGCAACATCCTCACCGACCTGATGCTCGTCATCTTTCCCATCCCCATCATTATCCAGAGCAACATGCAGTTCCGCAGAAAACTCCAGCTCCTCCTACTATTTTCTCTCAGCTTGTCCGTTGTGGCAGTCTCCATCTACCGAGTTCCGCACATCATGGACGTAGACGGTCGACAGCAGTACCGATCGCTGCTTGCCTCTGTCGAGTTGATTTTTGCAACTGCATCCGCAAACGCCCTTGTTTTGGGCTCGTTTGTCCGAGATCGAGGTGTCAAGAAACAGAAGCCCAGACGAACTTCCACCGCTGCCGAGTCGTTCGAGCGCAGCACCGCCATTCGGAGACCAACTATCCATCGACAGTGGGGCAGCGACGAAGACTTGGTCAGAGATCTTGGCCTGACCGTCGAGCCTGAACTCCGAGAGCAGCCAGACAGCCCGTCATCCGACCTGTATGCGCCAATCAGGCCAATGCAGTCTGCCGAGCAGGGCTCAGATCAGTGGCGTCATCAGCAGCGGGAGCAAGAGGATAGTGCCCAGGATAGCGCCCCGGAAAGCTCTCCACAAAGTGCAAAGGCAAGCCAAGACCTGCTGATATACAAGACCGAATCCCGGACCGAATCTCAGCACGAATCGAGAAAGCTGTCCTTGTTCGACGTCGGCGGCCTTCTTGAAGATGGACCCGGCACCAGCAGTGGAAGCTATAGAAGAGGCAGCAGCTTTACTTCCTCTTCCATGGAAGCCAGCACCTCTCAAACCGCCCCGCCGGCGTCGCGAAAGGCCAGCGTAAACGGTGTCCGGCGTGGCTCAACGGCGCTGCTTCAAGATCTGGGCGGACTCCTGGGCCCCTTAAACTCAAAGTCGTCTGTGCGATCGAAACACCGAACCGGAACCGAGCTGCAGCCTATCCAACAATCTCACCAAGAGCATCATGCCTCCAAAGACGAAGGCGGTGATCTTGTTCTCAGCGACCCTGGTGGCCTCTTGCGATGATGAACAAGATACATACATCCTACGGCAACCGCACCCACTTGCCTTATCTAATTCGAAACATGTGACGACATAATCTACGACTTTGATCACGAATCTCTTTTAATTTCTTTTTGAGAAATAATTTGTTTATTTCTCTCTCTTTCTTTTCTTTTTATATCTTTAGATACGACTCGTCAGGCAATGGCGTTTACGGAGGTATTCCCTTCTATACACATATACATATACACATACACACGGCAACTTTTTCTCTTCCTCCCTTTTGCCTCGATATATGGCGCCAAGAAACAGCGCCTATGGGAGAGAACTATGGAGCCTTGTTCTGTTTTTTTTTTTTCCTTTGCGGTCTTCGCTAGCTGGTCTTTCTGCGTCAAGGTTTAGACAAAGGCTGGCGGACAAGTTGGAGCTGGTGGGATCTGGTGGTTACTACGCAGTTTTCTTAACTTTTTTTCTTCTCTTTTCACTTTTCTTACTGTTCTGGTACTTGGTTGCATATACCCCGGTGACAAACACCGTTTTGTTTTGCGAAGAGATGTATTGTATGTGCATATCCCCTCAACATCGAGAAAGATGTTTTGACAGTGGGAATGATGAGAGAGTGGCAGTGAGAAGATGGTTATACGTTGAAGAATTGAAATACCAATTGAAACGTACTTGTCGTGTGCTTTATGTGAAAAAGTGATTGAATTAAGAAATTGAATCTGTAAATTTGTTCCAATATCTAAGCCGTAGAGACCTGATGTAATTATATGTGAAACTAGGCGAAAGTGCCTACACCTCAACTGAGGCATTCTGAGTCTTGATCAATCCTTCTTGATATGTGTGGAATAGACCTTGGTAGAGATGATTTGGGATTATTCTATGAGGCGATTACTTGAGCTACAACAAAGATAGTATAGATTAGGTATGACAATTCAATCATAACATGAATTCGCTTCCAAATGAATGGAAAAGATAGAAGTTGTATTCTTATTCTGGCTTCTGAGTAGGTGAGACTTGTCGTAGTCATATTGGAAGATATCTCAGGGGCTACAATATATATTAATGTCAGTAAAACTCAACTTTGCTTCCTTTTTGTGAAAGAGACAGGATTATCATGTGAGTTCCATTTGATCAAGTGCAAGCCGTGATTGCCAAGATATGATATAGACGTTGGTATTTTATTTGGTTTGGTTGGTTTGTTTCTCTCGTTATTCTAATGATTAAGTTTTCCCCCAAAAACGCCAGCTTTCACTCTTGCAAATGCAAAACATTATGTCAAACACAGCGTTCGTTCGTTCCGCTGCTCAACTTCTGCTGCTCTTTTCGGTTCGATTCTTGAAATCCAACTTGAGCTTTCTCTTCTTTCTTCTCCCATCCTTTTTTTCTCTCTTCTGATCACACGCAAAGAATTGTGAGGTACGCCTCTTTCCAAAGTTTGTGTGTTGTCAAGTCTTTGCCCTCTTTCATCTTGCCCGATCAAAAACTTCTTAGACGCACAACCGGTAACTGGCATATCGACCCGCCGTCTCACTAACTCGGATAATCTTGACAACCTGTCCCCTCTTGAGCCCCAGATACCGCGCCACGGGATCCTTCTGCAAGATACGCGGCAGCTGCGTCTCCTTCAGGCGGTATCTCTTCAGTAGCGCAATCTTCTCATCTCGGGAGAGCAGCACGTGCCGCGGCACTAGCTCGTGGTGCGTAATGTTGACCAGTAGGTCGTCCTCGAGGAAGCACTCAATCTTGGCCAGGTTTTCGACTGAGGCGAGCGACTTGCGGGCGGCAGGCGACAGCGCCACGGGGGTCACCATGATGCCCGTCTTGTAGTTGTTGGTGATTGTGTACTTTGCAAAGTTGCGGATCTGCGAGACGCCAAACTGCTTGTCCGTCAGGAACTCGACCCAGATGGGGCCGCAGTCGGGCACGGGGTCGGGGTTGGAGGCTGTGGCGGGAGGGGTGTTTTTGCGGAGCATGGAGTCGCTTGGACGGGCGGAGAATTGGAGTTTGGCGCGGCTGTGTTGTGTTGCATGTTAGCTTTGCGGATTTTCTCTACATATACGGACGTTGTAGAGGATCGTGTGTTTGTTTGAAAACGGGAAGAAGGGGGCTGAGGCCGTACTTTACGCTGCCGTCGGGGTGGCAGTACTCGTCGCGGAACCGTTCCAGAGAGATGCTGACTTCGTCTTCGGCAAGCTCGTACTCCTATCAACGAGGCAGAAGAGCGACTGGTTAGCCAGATTGTCACGGGATGGCATGAAACCCAGAGACCAAAAGATGAGGAGAACAAGAATCAGATCATCCATGAAGGGGAGCGTACCCGGTCCGCAACCATCTCGTGAACAGTCCTCCACGCGCGCCAGAGTCTCACCACCTCTTTGGACTTGGCATCGTTGGGCAAATCGTCAATCATCTTGGAATCGTGTATCTATTTATTCGTCGACTTTAATTTTCGGTTATGGGCGATCAAGCGACTAAAGATTCGATCAGAAGCGGCAAGGACTGCGCGTTGTCGTGACCGTGGTCCTTTTTTTCTTCGTCGAGTTTCCGCTTGTCGGGGAGAACTGCAGTCGTTCAAAAATTGTTTGCGCAGCCTTGCATTGGCTTGGCCTGGCTGGAGCGATTAGCTGAGCCGGCGGGAGCTGATAAGAAAGTATCATGTGACTTTCCGATAAGCTGCTCTCGACGGCGCTTAGTAACTTTGAAGACAAGTGGAGCCTAGTCTTTCAAAGGGTCCTTTTTTAGTCTTTGCCCTTTGGATTATTGGACAGCTAAGCCGTTTCCCCAGTGAAAGGGCAGGGAAATAGAGAACAGAATTGGGGCGCAAAAGTAGATAAAGCCTCTCTTAAAGTATGGCCTCTGATGCTCGAGCTTATTCAAGGTATCACCGTCTGCAATTGATATCTGACTTCTACTTACGGGCTGCTTCTCCAAAGTATAGCAGCTGGAGATCCCCAAAAATCCCCCACTAAGTCGTTGAGACTATCCATGCTAATTGCCGCCTTAAAAGCTTCAGCAAAACTCACTAAAAATCCCCTCGCTAAAGCTGCGCGGCCTGAGCACTGGCTTTAGTGAAGGTTACAGAAGCTCAGCCGCTAAAGCAACCATCGCCTGTGCCTGTAAAAATCACAGAGTTTTGTGGCGGTTCATTGTGTCTCGGGCCCATCCGTTTCGTCTTTAGTAGGTAGTAGTTTGGATTTTTCCCTTAAAGTGGGAGTAACATGGGATAGAATTATTTTTTTTCCTACTATTGGTGGGGACCCCAGCAAAAAAACGTGGTGGTCAAGGGCAATTTTTTGGTGCCAACCGAAGTATTAAATTCAACCACCAAAAGTCTCTAATTGGTGTGTTGTCTGGTTCGGCTTTATTTTTTTTCTCCTCCTCTTCTACCTTTTCTCCAGTCGCACCCTTCGCCTGTTAACCCTCCTCCCCCTTCCGCCTCCCTTCTGCTCTCCCAAAGAGAGACTGTGACGGCCTCTTTTTTCTTTCTTTGCTGCCTCTTACGTATCGACTCTCTGAACTTCACAATGGCTGCTGCTGTCGCCGCTCCCGCCGCCGAGGCCGCTCCCGCGCCGAACGCTCGCCCGACTCGACCCGATGAGAAGATCTTTAAGGAGGAGCTGGCCAAGGCCGAGAAGGAGCACAAGGCTTCCATGGACAAGTTTGTATGTGCGGCGTGGCTATTTTATTCTTTTACTTTTGGCAGTGCATATTCCTGCAGTGGGTTTCCGGGCAGCTGCATGGCCGCTGTTTTCTTGTATAAGATGTTCTTCCATTCTGTGTGACCAGGCAATTTACTCTTCCAGCTGCTACGAGCCTGGGAAAATTATAAGAGAAGAAACCAAAAGATGAAGAAACGATTAGAGAAGTGGTTAGAGCAAAAAGAACAAAGCAGAGATTATCGTCATCTAAGCAAACTGGACATGTGCTAACTGCAGCATTATAGAACGCCATCAAGGCTAAGATCGACGTTGCCCTCCCCAACAAGAACAAGGACCAGCCCAGCCCGACCCAGAAGCGCCGCCAGGAACTCATTGCCCAGGCCAACGAGATCCGCCAGAAGCAGGCCGGCGGCAAGAATGCTCGCACCTCCAAGCTGGACCAGATCAAGCGCTTCGACGAGCAGCTCCGCAACCGCATTGCTGAGCAGAAGACCGCCAAGGCCAAGGTCCCCTTCAAGAGCGTCGAAGATATCGACCGCCAGATTGACAGCCTCGAGAAGCAGGTCAACTCCGGCACCATGAAGCTTGTCGATGAGAAGAAGGCCCTGACCGAAATCTCCAACCTGCGCAAGACCCGCAAGAACTTTGGCCAGTTTGACGAGGCTCAGAAGCAGATTGACGACCTCAAGGCCAAGATCAAGGAGATCAAGGACACCATGGAGGACCCCGAGCAGAAGGCCATGTCTGAGCAGTACAACAAGATCCAGGCTGAGCTCGACACCATCAAGGCCGAGCAGGATGAGGCATATAAGAACCTGTCTTCCCTGAGAGACGAGCGCACCAAGCTGCAGGCCGAGCAGCAGGAGAAGTTTGCCGCCATCCGCAAGCTCAAGGACGACTACTACGGCCAGAAGAAGGCCTACCAGGCCTTTGAGCGTGAGGCTCGTGAGAAGCAGCGAGAGCGCCAGCGCGCCGAGCGTGAGCGCTACCTCAATGAGCGCAAGAAGGCCGAGGCCGAGCGTGTTCTTGCTGAGGCTAGCGAGCCCGCCTACCTGGACGAGATCCGCCGCGCAAACAGCCTGCTCGTGTTCCTCGATCCCACCTTCAAGGCCGAGAAGACGCCTCTGCTGGCCAACTCTGGCCTGACCGCCCAGGCCCAGCGAACCGTCGACGAGTCTGGTCTCAAGGGCACCAAGCTCGTCCGCAAGGAGGACCGCGACGACGAGTACGCCCCCGCCCAGACCAAGGGCAAGAAGGGCAAGAAGGGCAACTCGGGTGCTGCCGCCGCCCAGAAGGGCTTCAACTGCCCCCCTTCTGTTGTCGAGGACTGCTCATTCCTCAGCCTCGACCCCCCTATGAGCGCTGCTGATGTCCCCGGCCTCATTGAGAAGGTCAAGGCCAAGCTTGAGAACTGGAAGGAAGACCAGGCCGCTCAGACCCAGCGTGTAAGTGACAATTTTTCGTATTCGTCAACTTTATTTGGCGTATCCTGACTAACATTTTAACCCATCCAGAACATTGAAAAGGCCAAGAAGAAGCTTGAGGAGCTCGAGAAGGCCGAGGCCAACGGCGACAAGGTTGACGAAGTTACCGACGACCTTAAGGACGCCTCCCTGGAGGACAAGGAGAAGCAGGAGGAGTCATAAAGGACTTTCTCCTCCCTTGCTTCCCTGAAAAAAAGACTCTACTTTTCAATGATTCTCTTCCTCTAGCTACAGTCCTCACTACCAAGCCGACGCAATTGGCCCCTCGTTCCACTTTCTACTCTCTCGCGCGCGTCATGTCATACACAGCTATATTATCTGTTCTCAATCTTCTCTCATTCCACCAATCGTCAGCTGCGGGGGTTATAGAACAGGAATCGAATCATTATTTTTTTCTCTTTACAAGTCTACAAGGAACTCAAAAAAGTAGGAAAGGGGGAAAAAATCTGTCTCAAAATAGGAGGGATTTTTTTTTTTAAATAAAAGGAACAAGCTTTTTTTCGTTCTTCTCTCCTACATCGCTACAACAAGCGTTCCGCGTGTTGATCTATTAGTCTTTTTTTTCTTATTGTTTCAGCTTTCTTTTTGTCATTGGTATTTCTTATTTTGTACCTAGGTATCTTTTATTTCCTCGTCAATGGATGGGGGGAGAAAAAGGAGTTTTTATGCCAAGCACGAAATATACAAGCTTCATGGAAAATGATGTATACCATAGGAGAACGGCTATACCCCCACCCCCTTTTTTTGGGAACATGTTACCCAGTGACACAAAGTACTACTCTCTCCTCTTATCATGTGATACTTGCATTGATGCTAGCACAAGCTGGAAAATGCCCCGAGATTTGCTCACGTTTTCGGTGTATGTGGCTGCTTTGACTGGCTGGGGCGTCCTGCATGCGAGGCCATCTATTACTACATATCATGTATCTAAGGGGCTGCTGCATGTAACTTGTTGTAGGCAAGTATGCGCCGATGGGAACACACGTACTTGTAGAGTAGACTAGACTCACCTAGCCGTAACCAATGCAATGATATCAGCACAGAATCTATAGGATGCGGTTCGCCACGCTGGGGCGTCTAATTAGTTGGGCAATCGTGGTGGTAGTTCGTGCTGCTATCCGTGTCTGTATCAAGGCAGCTTATCAGCAGGCTTTAAAAGTTTACATGCCTGTTTCACTCTTATTTAGACTAGGCAGATCCGATTATAAAAACCTGGAACACAAGGGCGTTCAAATATTCAATGTGGGAAGTACTAAGGTCCCCAATAAACACTCGAGACAGTAATCATGTTTGAGCGTGCAACACAAATCATTCCCTTTTCCTTGATGTTTTAGTTTTCTTTAATACGCCAAGCTAGATGGTATGCAAGTCTTTTCTGGTTCGAAACTCGTCTAACACGGGTATTCAAAATCATATCAAATGTATATAGCCAAAAATTCTGAAGCGAGAAGGAGGAAAAAGAATATGAAAAGAGCTGCCAACATCCGTTATTTCAAGCCAGGCTACTCTACTCCAGCTACCATGCAATCGTGCCATTTCCCATTCCAGACAAATGAAACCTGATGGTGATCGTACATGTCGTCATGCTTGTGTTGCAAATATATAAAAGTAAAAGGATAAAAGTGACGATATGTTTACTGCTTGCGCTTTGGAGTTGACGTAATCATTTGAAGAAAATAATATTTTTATCCGTGATTTTTTTTCTTTCAAAACGTTGCTTAGTTCATTTTGATATCTTGAATCCTTTTTCATTTGTCATATCCAAAAGGTGCGTAATTAGAGTAAGATGGGTGGTGCTGTGGTGCTGGCGGCCTGAATGTCCTTCGGTCTCGTGATGCAGCAGCCGGGGCAGGAGTGCGACGCTCCATGAGAGCCTCGCGGTCATGGAACTGTGATGGAGGAGCTATAGCTGGAGGAGGAGCGGGAGTGCCGGCACTGGCACTGATTGAGCCGGCTCGGCGAGTAGGCTTTCGGGCAGGCGCCGTCAATGGTGGATTCTTCACGGCTGCCTCATCATCCGCGGGAAGGGTGAGCTCGATGAGGCTGTAGAAATACTCGAGGACCTCGGGGTAACGTTGTACGCTGGCCTGCCAGTCCTCATCAATGCCTCGCTTCAGGGTGGCCTGAGCCTCAGCAATCTGGTTAGGGTGCGGCGGCGCATTGTAATGGTAGAAGGCATGGGCGGTGATGTGGTCAAGATGAGCCGAGTGGGCCGTCTTTCGTCGCTCAGCGAGTTGACGGAAATACTCGAGTATGTAATCTTGAGCATGGGCCCTTACCCACGAACTATAGTTTGAACGAGTTAGTGGCGCTAATAAACGTTGATTATCAAGGCGGTGAACGAACCGTATGTCGGTATATATGGATCGCATCATGCGTTCCTCGGCCTGTTTAACAGCGACTTCGAGGCCCTTTGCCTCGCAGTCACAGGCCATCGAGGCCGGAGCATGGCAGATGGCGCAGTCCGGATCCATCCTGATGATGGTCTTGCGCCCCTTTGTATCTCTGGTGTGCATCTTAGTAAAAGGGTATCTTTGGGCGAGACGATTGTATCTTTGTTGCCTTTTTAAGGCTGGTGTGTATTTGAGAGAGTCTTCCAGGGAGAGATGGGTATAAAAACAGCAGAATACGGGCTAGTATTACACAATGCAGAAGCTATTCAGGCACACGAGAGAAAGGGCACGGTAGAGGTTTTCTTTTGCTGGCGGAACAGATACGGGATGGGGCTTCTTCAACCGCAGTAGCAAGGCCTCGCTCCCCCTTTGGCAAGCCCATAGACGGGCTTCATGAGTGACGGAAGTGGGACAGGCGGAGAGCGTCGCAGATGGCGGAAGGGTGATTGGGCATATGAAGATGGAGGAGAGGGAAGTGGAAGAGGAAGAGAGGAGAAGAGAGGAAGAAAGAGAGAGGAGGAACGAAGGGAGAGGGTCATTGAGAAAGGAGAGAGAGGACAAGGAGACTGACTGCTTGACTGACTGACCTAGTAGAAGAAAGGATAAGACAAGCAGAAGCAACGATAGGCTCACGCCAGGCGGCAAAGGGAATAGAGGAATGCCAGCGGAAGAGCAGAAGCAGGTGGCGGCGTCTGTGCTAGATCAGAAGGCTGACGCTGTTTCGTGGATGTATCCTGCAAGCAGCAGCAGCAGCAGCACAAGCACAGGCACGAGTACAAGCACGAAGCGGCAGCAGCAGCTCTGGCGGCGTCGGAGCCAGGATGAAGCTCTCGGAGGGGACCAGACGAGGGCCTTGGGAGGGACAAGATCTCAATGCCCGGGACCAGAGCGTGGGGAAAAGCCAGAGAGCCGGCTGCAGCAGCACAAGTCGAATGAGGAGGCGGCGGGTGGGTGACGGGCCAGCTGTCGTGGCTCGAATGCGGGATCGAGGAGCCTATGCAGGCTAGCCTAACGAGCAGCGAACTGGCCCAACGCAGGGCAGCAGAAGGTGCCCAAAGAGAGCAGCGCTGTCGAGCAGGCCGAGCGTCTACAGCGGTTAAGTGGCAAGCGGGCCTTTGGAGAAGGCGGAGCGAGCAATGGCGGGAGGCTGATTAATCGCAATTCGAAATCTGATCAGATCAGGCCCCGGCTGACCGTGCAAGAGGCCGGTCCTGCGCAGCCGTATTTGTATATCTGCGGCGGTCCGCCGCAAGGGTTGCTGAAACCGAGAGTCGTACTGTAGCGTGTGCGATGAGATGTCCCGCACGCCTAAAAAGGCGTCTCTTTGCTGGCTGCGACCTGTATATGTGGCGCCTCGTTGTCCGTGCAGCAAATGGAGCCGCTGGTGTGACACAAGCAGGACACGGCAAGACACGACACACACACTTGAGAGGAGGCTGGTCTGGTGGACCGATGGCCGAATCTGCTGGCGCTGACTTGTTGACCGTGGTGAGGAGATTGCTAGACTTTCATGCAGCGAAAACTCAGCAGGTGGCGGATGGAGCCGGCAGAAGCAGCAGCAGCTCGAAATGTGGTCTCACCAATCGGGTCAGGCTGCCCTTGTTAGCGAGAGAATCGATTCTCTGTACGTGGGTGATAATCCTGCCTGCAGTAGCCCCGTCGTCTCCGTACCGGCGACTGTCTCTGGCTACCCCGGCAGATCTCGTGCTTCTGGCCTCCCTTCGGTTTGCTGTTTGCCTGCGGGCGTGCTGATGTGCTGGATGCCGTATGTAAGGTTGATGTATGTACGTATGTGTCAAGGTGCTGCCGCGGGAATGCGGGCAAACGAACGATGAGGCTTGTCTTGTCTACTTCACCGCACCTTTTCGCAGCAGCAGCAGCAGCTTCAGCGGGCTTGAGCATGCACCGTCAAATCACGAGGAGGGGCGGGCCATGCATGGACGAGGCCCGCCGTTGGCCAGACTCGACCCGGTGGACAAGGCTGCGAGGAGCTAAGAGCGTCTAGCTGGTTGGTCACGATGCTGGCAACTGGCGATGCTGGTTCTATGTAGTCGCTGACGAGATGCTTGATTGATGCTAATCGCCAGAGAGAACGAGTATAGGCGCCGTAACAGCCGCATTCTGCCCTCCCGCTCGTCTTCCATCATCATCACATTTCTCCTCTTCGACGGGAAAAGAGCGTCGCATCAGGATGCCTGCTGCTGTGTTGGTCTCTGCGCCTGCGACGATCCAGCACCGGCAGCAAATCAGACGCCGGCAACGTCAGCCTCTTTGCCTCATTGTGCGTGCTTTTTCACTTTGTCTCACGCCGTCCTTGTCCTGTCCGGCCGCTGCCACAGGCTCAAGCCGACATGGGGGACGGCAGATGAGCAGGGTCCAGTGGTGTTGTTTGGCCTGAAAGCGGGGAGCCGAAAACTGGAGGCTTTTCTGCCAGCTCAGCGGTGCAGCTTCCCGTTGGTACCTGCTAGATGCTGTGCTACTGTAGGTGCTGAGTCGTACTGTAGCACGCATGGATTCCATACCCAGGCACTTCTTACTAATTCATTTGCTAGGCACATATAGCCAATCATCACGCAGCTTGCAGCCAGATTACAAATTTCATTTTCCCTCTCGTTGCGGATATTGCTGTTTTATAGAGGTAGCATGTATTAACGAGTGTACCAGCAAGCAACTGTACAAGCAGCTCTGCTCCAGCGCTGCCCACTGCTGCAACGAGCTAAATCCTCTGATCGGCTCTCTAACCCCCACTATACCCGCCGCCATTCGGCGCCGGTGGGGTCAAGCCTCCGGCGCTGGCTTCTGCTAATTTACACCACTTGCGTGCAGGTGGTCTTATCTTATCGGCGCCATTTCCAGTATCGGAATTTTTAAGTGCATCCGCCAGAAGTCGATATTATACACCATGGACGAAGCGCAAATCACAGCAACTTGATTTGATTTCAACATGCCGCCCCGGTGTCCTGGTCCATCTCATCTGCCCCTGGCACCATTTCTTTACCCTGCTCTCTTCCGGCCCCGATATGCCAGCTCTTCTCTCCTTCGAACGGCGTTAAGCCGGCAATCACGCCAATCCTCTTCATCGTCATCAGCTTCATCGTCTTCTTCACCTTCCAGCCTCAATGATCTCCCTGAGTCACGGTTGAACCCTGCTCCGGATGATTACGCAGCCCCAAGCTTCGCTGACAAGGCTGATCTAACGCTCTACGCCGGCCGCGGCGGCAACGGCTGCATCTCCTTCCACCGAGAGGCTTATTATCCCGATGGACCTCCCAACGGCGGCGATGGTGGCATTGGAGGCAACGTCTACATTCAGGCGGCCCACGGCGAGACTTCGCTGCACAAACTTGCCCGCAGACGCTTCATCCGCGCCGGACGCGGGATTCACGGCCAGGGAAGCGGCAAGAGTGGCATGCGCGGATCAGACGTCGTCATCACCGTCCCAGTGGGCACCATTGTGCAAGAAATTGAGCGTCATGACCCGGCTGCTGATGAGGACATGGCTGTAAGAGCTTTTCAGGCGCAGAAGAAGCAGAGGCGGCGTGAGCTTTTGGCACAGCAGCAGCTACAGACGGAAGTGGAAGAAGAGGAGGAGGAGCCTCAAGAGACAGACCGGCACTCAAGGTGGAAGAACCCTGAGGATGACTACGACCCAGATGCTGATGATCCAGAGCGTGGCAAGTGGCTGCTCTATCCTGGCATGTCCAAATCCGATGTCAAATCAGCAGAGTTTCCCAAGCTCCCCAAACGAACTCGTCTCTTTCAGCAGCCTCCCCCGCCAATCTATCTCGACCTCTCCAAACCAACACCAACGCCCATCCTCCTAGCTGCAGGTGGCATTGGCGGCCTTGGAAACCCGCACTTCACCTCACGACAACACCCAAAGCCAATGTTCGCCACCAAGGGCGATGAGGCCGTTACTCTCAAGATCTCACTAGAACTCAAGCTTCTGGCCGACGTAGGCCTCGTGGGCTTGCCCAATGCCGGGAAAAGCACCCTCCTACGAGCTCTTACTAACAGCCGTACACGGGTTGGCAACTGGGCCTTTACAACCTTACAACCGAACATTGGCACCGTCGTCTTGGACAAGTATTCCGGCCGCCCCAGCGTCAAAACCTCTCAACTCACCTCTGACGACGGCACCGCCACCGGAGGCCCAAGAACGCGCTTTACCGTTGCAGACATCCCCGGTCTCGTCGAAGGAGCCCATCTCGACCGTGGCCTTGGTATTGCCTTTCTGCGCCACGTCGAGCGCGCCGGCCTCCTTGCCTTCGTCCTCGATCTCAGCGCCGGCAACGCCGTCAAGGCCCTACAGTCACTCTGGCGCGAAGTCGGCCTCTACGCAGAAATGCGACAGGACGAAGAGCGCTTGCGTGAGATCGAGTCCCGCGTCGACTGGGACCTTGTCTCCCAGGCCAGCCGCGGACCGATCAACCTGATGGGCGCTTCGTACGGAACGCCTCTGCCGCCGATTCAGGAGGCGCAGACGACGAAGGCTATCACTCCGGCTTTGGAAATCGCTGGCAAGCCGTGGTTTGTGGTCGCTACGAAGGCTGACCTGCCGGAGACGCGAGAGAATTTCCAGGAGCTGAAGACGTATCTTGACAATGTCACTGAGGGGCGAGAATCGCACCCGAGCGGTGTGGAGGGAGCGTGGACGAAGAATTGCGCTGCTATTCCTGTGAGTGCGATTAAAGGAAAGGGGGTCGATCGCATTGTGCACTGGACTGTTGGACTTTTGGATGAGTAGAATTGTCACTTGGAACAGGCACGAGGCATTGTAACATAATAAAAGCATTTGTACAAATAGACGACGACTCTGTAAAGATAGATAGCAAAAGAACGTTTAATCTGTAACTTGGAGCAAAAAGCACTTGTATATATAAATTGGTACCCAGTTTTACCAAATCTGTCCATACCGGAGCTCGATGGTATGTCCTTTTATCCCTTTAAAATTTTGAACCCTTTGCTTATCCTTGCTTCAGAGATTATACAAGGTTGCAAGGTAATGATGATCCTCCACAATAATTATGTCTTAATCAGCTCCCTCAGGCGTGGGAATATCTTCCACGTCAATCTCTTCATCTTCCTGCTCTCCAGCCTCCTGCTCCTGTTCCTCAGCCGCCTTCTCCTGCTTCTCCTTACGTTGGAGGCTGATATTAATCAACGGCGACGTATCGTTAAACACTCTAAGCAACATGGCAGAACGATCCTCCTTGGGCAACATCAGATTCAGCGAGTGGATGCTCTTCCACAGCGGGAGAGCCATTCTCTCCTGCCACTCCGGGTCGTCGCCCTCCGGCTCGACTCTCAGCACGCAGCATCCCATGCCAATGTCGCGCACACGCTCGCCAATCTCCTCAAAGTTCTGCCACTCTCCTTCGTTAATCTTGGGGAACATCTCAATGAGGAGCTTATGCAGCGTCTCCTTCTTGCGCAGGCGCACAACGCGAGGCTCGCCGACGTAGCCCTGCAGGATGGGCATGCCTTCGGCTTGGATACGCCAGCGGCAGACCTCCGCCGACGGAGCGTCCTGCTTCATGAACATGCGGACACCACCGTGGATGAACTTGAGGCCTCTGCCTTCGTTCTCCGTGAGGATGTCTCGCGTAAGGGCGGTGGTGTAGTAGATGGCCTTGGCAGGCTCTCCCATCTCGTTCCTCACCATGTATCGGTTGGTGGGGAAGCGGCTGGACAGTCTGTAAAAGTCTTTGATGTTTTGGATGACAGGGTGGGAGGGATCGAGGTACTTGAAAGGCTCTTCAATGGGGCCGTTCCTCTTTGGCTTGCCTGGGCGGTCTTGGCGCTCAGTCGTAGCAGCGGCAGCAGGGGCCGGAGTGGTGGCTGCTGAACTTTCCTCTGCGGTCTTTGCCTTCTTGGCGGGCTGTTCTGCATCTTCCTCAGCCTCCAGGGGTCGCTTGCTAGCGGCGGGGGAGGCGTCCTCCATGGGTTCATCTTCCTTCTTCTCTTCCGGCGCAGAAGCGTCCTCTGCCTTTGTCTCGGCCGCAGGGATAGCGGCAGCAGCATCCTCTACCGCGCCGTTGGTCTGGTTGGCCTGTTTGGGCTCATTCTCGTTCTTAGCCTTGAACTCTGCCTTCTTCTCCAGAACTGTAATGAAAAAGCCGCCAGTATCCTGCAAGTGCGGGTAGATTCTCATGCAGCGCTCTAGGGGCAGAGTAGTGCCATTAGGATCCGGAAACATGGACGGGACGAGTCGACCAGGGGTTACGCCATCTTTGCTCTCCTTGGTGAAGTTCTCAACCTCCTCCCAGTTGTTCCAGATCTTGCCGCTCTTGTCCATGATCTTCCAGGACTTGAGGCCAGGTCGACGCACGAGACCATCCAACTTATCGCTAGAGTCAACGATCTCCACATTATCCAAGCCACCGCATCTCTCAATCGCAGCAGCAATGATCGACTCATTCTCGACAGGGTTCATACTGCAGGTGGAGTACACAACGCGACCACCGACCTTGAGAAGCTGCAGGGCACGGACAAGAATGCGAATCTGGGTGATGTGAAGGCCCAAGGCACTACCCGGCTGCCAATCTTTCCACAGGTTGGCGTTCTTTCGTGCTGTTCCGTCTCCGGAGCAGGGGACATCGGCCAAGATTCTGTCAAACTTCAGGTAGTTGTTCTTGTTTGAGTTCGGATCGGTCGAGGGCAGCTTGATGGAGGGGAATTGAGTGGCATCGTGGTTCATGACCAGGAGATTGGGCGATGACAGTCTCTTGAGTTGATGGACTAGAAGATGGCCACGCTTGTAGTCAGCATCGTTGGCGATCAGCAGACCTGTAGCACGGCCGGCATCAGAGGCATCAGCCTCTAGATCCGCCTCGGCTTCTTCCTTGGTCTCGTCACCAAGGTCTAGGCCGTCTTCCTTGGCGAATTCTCGCAGAACCTTCCTCACGCGAGACTCTTCGCCAACGTGGAGCATCTCCAGCAGCTGGGCGGACTTGCTGCCAGGCGAGGCGCACATGTCCAGCACAGTCATGCCTGGTCGGAGATCCATCAACAGAGGAGGAATCATACTGACGACCTCTTGTCTGCTGATGTTTCCGACGCTGGTCTCGGACACGAGGAACTTCTGGAAGGCTGCAAAGGGAGGGAACTTGCGGACAACGTTCTTGGGCGTGGTCATCCACCAAGCAAGCTCGTCGGGGTACCAGGAAACAGGCTGGGGAGGGTCGACGGGACGGCCATCCTGGTGCTCGATCTTGACGATTTCGGGAATGTATCGGGATCGCAGAAGTCTCTCGACGGCCAGCGCATGGCTATGCGACAGAGCAATAAGTCAGCAAGTAAAAGACAATGGATCAAGAACAGAAAAAAAAAAAGGATAAAGTTGACGCGCGCGCAACGAGTTAGACGCACCCCTTCGAACCGCAGAAGCGGAAGCTGTTGGGCAGCTCGCGCCTCAATGCCTCCCAAAACTGCGTCTTCTCTTCATCAGAAAACTCAAGCAGCGAGTCGTAGTACTGCTGGAGCTTCTCATTCTCCTTCTTGAGTGCAGGATAGTCTCTCCAGCTGTTTCCGCCCTCGCCGCCGCCGCCACGACCGCCTCCACGGCCACCTCCACGACGGTTCTTTCCCTGTTCGCACGCAATTAAAGAATCTATATTTAGCAATGGTCTTCCAAGAGGTCGGCGTGTACCTCAAAACAGGAAATTGCAACTCACTCTAAAGCCCTTTTTGCCCATCGTTGCGGATTGCAATCTGCTCTAGCGGTTGGAGCTTGTGACGAATGGAAAATTTACAAAATCCCGGGCCAGAAAATCTAAAATCTGAAATGCCCCGCCATCGTCGCGGGTAAGAGCGCGCTAAAGGCCCTTGGAAGGTATGGCGTCGTCCAGTAAAAATGCGAGGCCAGAGGCGCTAAAGCATGCAGATGGCGGAGCCGCCGCGGTTGATCTAGCAATGAAACCAGGAGTCAATATTTGGTTTCGTATTGATGCTCTTGCATGCTCTCCATGCTCTTCATGGCACAGGAGCACTAGCATCGAGGCAAGCCGCTCGACCACGATGCATCTCATCCCTACTTTTTTGTACCTACAACGTCCGTTAAATGGTCTCAGTACATACACTAAGAGCCACGTAGGAATTAGAAGCTAGAGTACATGTACTTTTGACAATACCTGATAGGTACCTAGGTGCCTGCATGTAGATGAGGCCTCCCTCAGCGGTTGTTTCGGCTAATCCAATTGATCTCTTTCTCTTCTAGATGGTGGTGTCGGCTCATCAGCGTGTTCCAAGGTTTTCCCCTTCCAATTCGAGTAGACGCCACAGCCGCTGCGAGGGTACTATAATAGACGAAAGGCTCGTCCATAATGCCTGCTCAGTCTCTGGCCTACCTACCTACCTACATGTACTATCACTATACGCCTTGCTCAAGATGACTATAGAGACTGCCCTTATCGAAATTGACCCCAATGGAGATACTCTCCTTATCTTGCATAATCCTGACGAGCCCTTTGCTGTAGACAGTTCCTTTGAGCCATGGCCTACAGCCCTACCGCAGTACTGGACTCCTGACAAGCAACAAGAAGAAGATAGGTTAGCGAGCTCGGCACTACGCGTACTCACAAATGTCGAAGACGCGCCAGATATACATATGAGGATTTCTTCACAACAATTATTACCGAATATGAGATACTCTTCGCTGCTAAGAACCAATCAGTGGAGAGAGACTAAAGCAGAGAATGGTTATTCTTATACTATGACCGCCAAGGGTTGGGACAAAGACGCGCTGACGATTCTGATGCATATAATCCATGGCCAAACGCAGAAGGTTCCCCATATGGTTGATCTGGAGAAGCTGGCAAAAATTGCCGTGATCGTCGAGGAGTACGGGTTTCACAGGGCGGCACACTTTTTTGGAAAAGCGTGGATCAGTCGGCTGGAACAACCTCTTCCTTCGTCCTTTGGTCGGAAACTTTTGCTCAGACTCTTTGTATCAGGCGTGTTTATTGACGAAGACGCTTATGAGAAGCTTACAAAAATTATCATATATGAGAGTAGAGGCTGGATGCACATGTTAGACTTGCCAGGCACAGGGGACATAGCCAGTAAGTTTCAAAAGTTATAGCTCCTTAGTCGAACATACGGATAATAACCTTAGCTTCAGATGAGCTTGTAACATCCCGGTGCAAGCTGATTTCCGGGTTCATATCCAGTATCAATTCGTTGAAGGAGCAGTTAGGTGAAGAGGAAAAGGAATGCTCTTTTGAATGTCTGTCAATGTCTCTGGGTGCTCTCATGAAGGGTTTGAAGGCGACGGGTCTCGACAACCTCCAATCGCAAGTCGATTGGGAAGAGAATGGCAACTACGATGGTTTTAGCGTCATGGCAATAGAAAAAGCCCTCAGCGATATCCGGATGCCGGAATACCACCAGTCGCTTCACCATGATCCAAACTCCTCATTGGACAAGACAGTCGCCGCAGAAACTACAGGCTCAACGAAACCTGAAGGATCTCACTTTACTTTGAAACGCAATTGCAGCCTTGAGATGAAAATCCAGTCCATCATCCAAATGCAGCTGGCGAAAATGGAGGGAACGAAGCCATGGCCTGTATTTTAGATAATTCTTCTCTCAAGAGGCTAGTGGCGGAGAAGAGGAGACAAATGTGCCAATTGTTAGAATAAGAACTACAGCGCCACATAGGCATCCTTTCACACATACTTTCTTATTTTCTTCTTCCTTTCACGTTTCCAACCTTTCTCCCCTTCCCTTCTCCCTTCTCTTTCTTGGGAGGCGGATGCTCTTTGGATCAATAGATTAATAGACTAAGATACCGTCGACTAGACAAATGTGGAACCGAGTCAATACGGGACTAGGCATGTATCAACTATTGGAATTAAGAAAGGAAGAAGTTATTCGACACCCTGATTACTGCTACTACTACTATTACTACTACGATAGTAGTTATATATTTTAATGTATGGACTAGCTGCCTAATCAAATTTCAGCTGTGCTATTGGAAATTGAAATTGGGATGCTGTACATACTCCGCTGAATAAAGCAAATGATTTATCATGAGCGCACCAGCGGTGGTCGAGATAACTGCTGTAAAGTAAGTACGGAGCATCACCACAGACGGCAAGGATGAAACTACAATTGAACACTGTCCTCACCTTCAAGACGCCACAACATACTACCATCATCCCGCTCAAATCTCCCCACCATCTAGAAAAGAACATAGGAAGACAAGACCAAAGCCTAGACGGATGAGAAATTGCGTGGAATGCTTCTTCTCCTCCTGCGTCATCAATGTTTCCATCAATGATGCGATCATTCTCTCAGAAGCAAAAGCTAACCTCTTTCTTAATTTCTACAGCGTGATATGCATACTTCAGCTGCACCAAACACCCCACAATTGAGACCTATCATTTTAGGTACCCAAGCACCCATGCAAATATTAGGCAGCCTTCCCCACGTTCTTTGTACTATTTTCTTCATTTTCAAGGCCTACAATCCTCTTTGTCTTCTTTCTTTTCTCTCCTATGGAGGCGGATACTCATATCGACTGCATTGCGTTTTTACTAAGAAAGCTCACGGATGTTGCGCACAAGGTACTCAGCGGGGAAATCAGTCTTGGGCTCAGGCATTACAACCAGGTTGGCACCATTCGAGCATCAGAAAGCGAATACCATTTGGTAAATGAGTCACGAGGCCATAGTTTCCATATTCTTACTGGAATCCGCCTATACATGCGATAATGGGAGACCTCAACACAGATGCTGCAACCAGCTCCCCATACCCTGGGCCGGCTCTTCCAACGCCAAATCACATACGCATCGTCTCCCTCCAGCCTGGAAGCAATGAACCAATCACCTGTGAGCTGATAATCGCTGAAATTCATTCAGACATCTCTTATGAAGCATTATCATATACCTGGGGAGACCCTGACGACCGCCAAGCCGTCTTCATCAAGGCTCATGAGCATGAGCGACCAAAAGAGTTATTTGTGACTTCTAACTGTGTCTCTGCTCTTCGTCGTTTACGATATCAAGACCGCCCACGTAATTTATGGATAGACACTCTGAGCATTGATCAATCGAATGTGGCAGAAAGAAACCACCAAGTGTCTCTTATGGCTGCGATTTACTCCAGTGCCACAACCGTTGCCATCTACCTCGGCGAGGCTTCAATGGACAGCGATCTAGCGGTTGATTTCATCATAGAATGCGATAAACCGTCTTCAGATACAAACTCTCTAAGCTACCCAAAATCCGAAGAGTTGGTCCAAGCATTAAGCAGTTTCTTCCGTCGACCTTGGTTCACAAGAGTATGGATTATTCAAGAAGTCGTATTACCAGCGACTGGTATGGCATATTGCGGGGACAAAGCACTATCTTGGTCGACAATTAAGCAATTCAGTAATTGGAACACAACCAACAAATGGCTACAACAGCTGCCATTCGTAGTCTCTGCACCTAGCGTCTCGTTGACAGAGCACCATGTGGAGTCGCCGATGCTCAAACTCCTTATTCAAGCAAGACATTGCGAGGCAACAGATCCCCGAGATAAGATCTACAGCATGCTATCGTTGCTAGACAAATCAGGCAAGCAATTCGGTCTCAAGCCACGATATGAAGATCCAGTTGCCAAAGTCTATACAGACTGCGCCCTTGCCCTCATACCTGATAGCGGCTACGGCCTTCTTAGTGCTATGCAGGGAGATTCAACGATGGATGGTCTGCCATCATGGGTGCCAGACTGGAGTGTCCAACCCAAACGCGAAATCCTTGGAACATCTTTGCGCATAGCACAAAACAGACCTCAAATATTCGAAAAGCGAGCGGATAATCCTAAGAGTCCACAGATTGTCTTGGATGAGTCAACCACCGGTGCAATAAAAGATCCCGCGAGGTTACGTATAGCTGGCTACGCATGTGGCAAGATTACCAAAATGGGCTCGCCATATCTCGCCGGCCAAGGCCTTTTTCCATTACGTGAGTGGAAGTCTCTACTACAAGATGAGGCTGTGGTTGGTAGAAGAAAGGCAAACGTCGTTCCCCAGTACTACCACGGCAACGACTCAAACGAATACTTCTTTCACGAAATTATAAGCACTTATAGCGCCGGGTATGATAATGCCATTATTCGATTTGTCCGAAAGGAGCGAGCGCTAGAGCGCGACGGATCTGCACTGAGTTGGGAAGCTCGTGTCAGGCAAATGGCGTCGGAAAGGAATTCTGCACAAGCTACAGAAGATTCTTTGTTGCCTTTTACCGATATTCCATTCCGTCTTGCAGCAAAGGACCAACCCCCCAGTTACCTGCTCTATGTCCAGGCTATTTTAAGGCATTGCCACTCTCGTCGCTTTTTTATCACCGATACAGGGTACATGGGCATTGGACCAGAAGACGCGAAAATTGGTGATGAAATCTACATTTGTGTCGACGCTGCAGTTCCATTCGTATTTAGGGATAGCCGCAAAATTAGCAGCGCCCAAAGTACCAAAGCTTTCCAACTGGTAGGAGAATGTTATATAGATAAGAAGGCGTGGAAAGACCTGGAAGATCGAACGAGCTCGCCTCAGTATCTTGATGTCATATAATGGAATGTAATGCTTTATCAATCTATATACGTATAGCGGTTTTTAGATTCGCGCACGATCAAGACAGAGACTGTAAAGTTTGTTGACAAATATGCCTTGTAAATATATTTAGGGAAAAAGTTATCTAGCACCCCACTTCAACTCACCTATTCAATACTCATGTAGAAACCAGACGGCGCATTGAATCGAATCGGCATTCTTAGCCACTACACGGCCATATGTTTCATTAGCCACGACATTGTGCTGATAACTACCTAGTAGCCCAGCTCGAGCTGTGTGAGGACTAGAAAAGGGATACCATGCGTACATTTTTGAAAAAAGAGCCCGGTCTCTTGGCTGCAACAGCGGCCGCAGTGACCAAGGCACTGTTGGCGCAATATATCTAGGACATGCTGGTCGTCCCGCATACCAGCAGAGGACAGTCAGCAGGGCGTGCCAGTAGGCCTCAGAGTGCTAGACATATGCCGAAGAATCGTGGCCTTGGAACAGGACTGCGCTGCTACCGCTGTGATTGGGACAACCATACGCTAAGAGACTGCTGTGCATACGAATCAACCGTTGAAGAAGGTCGAGAGATCAGGTTCGATGAAAACCGATGCTTGAACTGTGGGGAAAGAGGGCCACTATTGGGAGTCGTGCCGCTGGCAGAATTTACTGAGCAGACGCAGTGAATATCGTTACCACTAAATAACATGGTCTCTTGAAGACATCCATGAGAGATAGAATCGTAATATCATTAAGATCAAATTGAAGTTTCCTATAGAGAATAGATCAAGCACGGTTGAAACAACATACAAAATGGAAGATCTATGCTCGAAACAACTTCCTGCACCAGAAACGAGAAACCCTAGTCAGCTTTACCATTAAGGCTGTTTCCAAAGCCCTGAGATTGCTTCGTCCAAGCCTTTGACAGAGCGCGCAACCTCGTAGCCCCATGTATAGGGGTTTGACAGAACCTCTTTCATATGCATACACAGCTGCTTCGCCTCCTCCAAAGAGGAAACATTAGTGATGATGTTGCGTACAAATTCTGATGCTCTATCTGCATACTCTCTCCGAGAGATATGTACCAGAGGAAGTCGCCTGAAATCGCCCAGGTAGTTGGAGTCCACAAACTCTTTCGTCAAGAAAGCCTTCTTTCTGCCATCGAGCGCTTTGATCAGACCAGGTAAGGGAGTAAAGGCAACCAATGCGTCCCGAGGGACAAGGCTCCAACAAACAAATTCATCGGCATTGGTGGCCCAGCGGCGGAGATCTGGAGAAATATGAACGGAGTTCTTTCCAAGTCTTTTGTCCAAGTATGAGAGCATATCCTCTACCCGCCAGACACGCACACCACTAGAGCCTATCGTTGAAGATTTGAAGATGGCCAGGCCAGGTAATTGGTCTTTCTTTTTGTTTGTTATCCTACCAATTCTACAGATTCTTTGCGTTGTCCAACAGAAGTCGCCGCTAAGAGAAACAAGGGAAGATCGAAACGGTTGCTCGTCATCATCTCTTGGCGGGAGATTGAAGCTGGTCTTCCCTAGATGAAGACTTAGCTCATAGAAGAAGTCTTCGACGGTAGAAATATCCATCGGGTCGTCTATGGGCACGAGTATCGGCGATACTGCGTTATTTTCACACCAAAGATGATAGTCAGAACCGAAGCTATCACTATCTCCTTCGAAAACATCCGGCAATCGAGGGAACGGGTGGCCGTGAACATGAGCTCGGTATAGGTATTTCGGATAAGGACGTTCCTTAGCTTGTTTGTCCATAAAACGATCGACTAATTGCCATTAATAAAGAGATTGGCAAGACGTTTAGTGAGGGTTTTATACACTCTCTCCATTGTGCTCTGTCTTCTGTAGCATCAGAATCCGAACGGTCTACCGAGTCGGCAAGATAAGCAGACGGCGATCCGGTTGGTGCTTCTTCCGTAATCTTTAGTACTGAATGAAGTTTATCACTGAGCTCTTGCATTTCCGTCATTTTGGAGAGCTGGGGAGCGAGCTATGGTTGCAGGATATTGATGGCAAAGCGCTGGATCTGGCGGGACGGGAAGATTGAAAAACATGATGAAAGTAATATCGTAACTGGGCATGTTATAAAAGTGGTAATTGACTCAAACAACGAGGCTAAATCGTCGTGTGTCGGCCTTGTCCTACCTACACTGCCTCAAGGTAGATTTACAGATTAGCACATGACAAATTTTGTTGGTTGTGCAGCCAATTGAGGATAACAGGGCTGTGTTGGTACAAGTAGAAAATGTAGGTCTAATGAGAAGCTCGTCAAACTTGATTCCCTCCCGCCATAAATCTCAAAACTCATTTCGCCGGCTACTACTCGACAACCTGACCTCTTATCCTCATCATCACTCATCGTATATAAGGAGGAAAGAAGAAAACATAGGCAACAGTCAGGCTACGGTTAGCCTTGGGATATTCGCTGGCAGAGAGGGGATACAATCCACTCAGTAGACTCTATTCATATCCAGACCAACAATCTCGGCCATTGCCTTGATGGGCATAAATGGCACCAGAACAGGCAGCAGCTCCTCATCTCACGACTAGAAAGCTACTTGATAGCTACAAAACGACTAATCATCATTAAATGTCTGGTAAATAAAATTGTATAGCCCAGCACAAACACAGAGCCTGATGTTTGTGTACCCGCAAAGTAGAAGCCAGCATTCTCATTCAGCCCTCTAGGCAGCAGCTGCACCTGCCCACTCACACCAAAGCCTCGCTCTCACCTTCCCTTCAACTTCACTTCAACAAACTTGACCGCCCACAGCGCACAGACCATCTCCTCCATCTATATAATCCCTTCTCTCCCCTCTCTCTCTTCGATTTCTTCTTCTTCTTCTTCTCTCCATACTTACCTTGTTTCGCATTCCCAAGATCAAGCTGCTGGGAATGCAGTGCGGAGGACCTGCATTGCACATCGCGGAGTCGGCTCCTTGCTCCATTGTCCTTCGGGGCCATGGGAGGCGCAATTTTTGATAACATTTCTCTTCTTTTTTTCATTGTGTTGCTTCTGCTTGCGGGAGTCACGAAGAAGAAATATCACGACTTGTTTGCTGGTACTGCGGGGCTTCAGAATATTAGATACTAAGTAGTAGTAGCATAATAGGTGCCTGTCTTTGGAGCTGGAAAAATATTGGATGGTCTTGGGAAATAGACGTGGACATAGACACACATCAGATACAATGGATTGTTTTTATCCGCTAGTCTTTCCCATCTATTATTTACTATATTCCAAAACAACCATGACCCAACACATCATGTTCGCGGGCTTCTTAAAAACGTGACCACGCCGCTGCAGTAACCTACCAAATCATCCAGCCTATTGCATTCCTTCTCCTGCTGTTCCTTCCACTCCTCAAGAGCCTTCAGCAGAGCCTTATTCTCCATCACCAAGTCAAAGTGAAGTCGGAGGAACACGGTCATCCACGCCTGCGTCAACTCGTAATCTTTTCGTGCTTGCAGCCTAGTCGTAAGCGCTCGAATAAATAACAGCAGCTCGTTTGACTCGTCGTCATCGCCCAGGGAGAGGGATCGAAGCTCCAGATCTGCGCTTGAAGGAGAGAGAGACTTGAGGTGCTCGATGAATTCGTCGTCTGTAGTTGATAAGATTAGTATTTGTTCAACTGCTACAAAGTAGCAATAGGATCACGCAGGATACTTACAATTATTGTTTTCGGCACCAGCACGCAGTTTCGACGTAAATGCCTCCTCAAAGCGAGCCTGGTCATATCTCGAGATACGGGACTTGCTATCGATCTCTGCCTGCTCAGCATCGTCCTTGAGCCCAGGCACTTGCGCACCAGAAGTAGATGGCAGGAAAAAGGGAGCCTTCTCGGGAAGCTTTGGCGCCTCGGTCGGCTTGTTTCGCTCCTTGATCAAGTCTAGATGGAGCAGCGTCTGCCATCTACTCTTGGGAACCAAACTCAACGTCATCAAATCTGAGCTGATCTGATCGATTGAAGGCGCAACAACGCCACTGTCTTCCTCCTCCTTGTCTTCTTCAAAGGCGGCTTCCAGCAAGCCTTGGTTTCCTTCTCCAGCCGTCGTAGGTGCAGCCACCAGGCCAATTTCCGCTTCGGATATCTGGCGAGTTGGAACGTGCTTGTACAGGGCCTTGTTGGTCCATATTGTGACACCAGGGCTATCCTCGAGAGCGGCAGCGAGATATTCGCCGGTAAATGACATGGCAACAGCTTTACAAGGCTTCTCCAATCTAATAGCATCGATAAGGTGGCTGGTGGGCAGATCCCATATCCTTATCACGGAATCGCGTGAGGCAGCGATGATCCACCGGCCATCGTTGGAAAAGCAAAAGTCGTTAATGACATCCTTGGGGCCCCAGAATTCACGAATCGTCTTTTTCGTTTCCAGGTCGACAACTCGGATAGACAAATCATCGCAAGAAAACGCCAAGAGGTTGTTAGCTGGATGGTATCGGCATCCAGTCGGGAATGTCATAGGTGCCCAGTCCAGCTGCTCAAGGAGGGTCCCTGTCAAAAAGTCCCAAAACTTGATTTTGCCATCCAAGCCACAAGATACCACAGTCTTGTTCATAGAATCGACAATCAGACCAGTAATGGCCTTGGTATGTTTGCCGACGCCGGCGGGATATTTTCGGTTGCCTTCGCTCTGTAGCTGGACAACATCATCTGCTTGTCGAAGCTGCTGCATCTTCAGCTGGCGAGCCTGTGCTGGCGTTAACTTGGACGGGAAGCGCTGGCGGTGAACACCAGACTGAAGATTGTACATGTCGATGCCACCAGCTCCGGAGCCGACCAGCGCGAATGTTCCGCAGGGGCTGATAGCGACAGTGGTAACGTCGGTGCCGTCTCCTGTCGGGAGCGCCCAGCGACCAGCTCTCTTTCGGCCCCAGAACCAGGTACGGGCACAAGGGTCGCCCTTGTGAGCAGTAACAACACTTTCCCAGCCCGTCATGCCACTAAGCTCGGCGTCCATCTTTTTGCTAAGGTCTCGTCCCTTCTGCCAAATCTCCTGTTTTCCAGGCAATGCACCAATGCCGCCGTCGCGGTTGAGCGAAGTGGCAATACAGGTAATTTCGGGAGCTTTAAGGTCTTCCAAAGTCGTTGTTGGACCATGTGCAAGTGCGTTGGTAGCCAGTATCCCAATCTTCTTTGCCTTCTTACGAATATTGCCTTGGCTGAGCTCGGTACTCTGGCCATCACGACGCATACTCCATCCCCAAAGACTCCTATCTTTGCCACCGCTGATAATCCACTTATTTCCAGCTTCGGCGCCGTCGAAATCGGAAGGTAAGAACTGTAGGCAGTTAACCGGTCCAGAATGTCCGCTACGTGAGTGCAAGATTCTTGGGATAGGGGAAAAGGGTGTTTCGTCGAAGATCCAGGTCTTCAGCGAGTTATCCCGGCCGCTAGAAACGATGACTGCCTGTCCAGACAGGAACTCGACTTTGCTGATACCGCCAAGAACAGCGCCACCCTCGCCTGATGGTGGGTTGTGAGCGCTGCGCAGGACTCCCATCACACGACCTCCGCGGTTTAGATCCCAGAAGGTGATGTCGCCTGAAGCCGGGGTAGCAGTGGCCATGACGCCATCCTTCCTACCGTCGTGTCCAGCTCCCAGGCCATCGGTTCGGAAGGATATTGAGGTAACGGGGGCGTCTGCGTGTCCGGCTTCGACTTGAAGAGCGCGCTTGTCGGTCAGAACATTGGTGATGACCAGAGAGCCATTCGAGTAAGCGATCGCTAGCATAGAGAGAGCTGGGGTTGGCTCGAGGCAGGTAACAGCGCCGGAATCCGGTGAAGGCGGCAGAAGGGTATATATCAGCTTTCCGGTGCTAATGTTCCAGATTTCAACCCAGCCATCTTTGCGACCAACAAAGATCTTGTTCAGATAGGTTGGCATAGTGACAACGCCACCCGTGATCTCATGGCCACCTTTGGAAGCAGCCATGGTGTGGATGGTGGTGTAATGCTCAAGCGTCGCTGTTTTGAAAACCTCAATTCTTGTCTTTGCGCAAGCAATGAACCAGGTTCCAAAGATGATGATTTGCTGAATTGGCTCCGCCAAGTCGCTTGGGAGGGCCACCTCGGCGATTTTTCTACCTCTTTGAAAGACCCATAGGCCTTGAGGCTCACTATCTTGCGATCCACCCCATGCCGCAAAAACCTTCTTTCCCCAGGCTAACGTAGCAGTGATATCGGCGAGCGTTTGTGGTCGGGTAACGAAGACGAGATTGAGACCGCGGAGCAAGTCGTACGTCTGCAGAGATCGACCAACCGACGTTGTGATTTGAAAAGTTGTTTTACCCATAGGAACCGAAGTGAATGGGATATTGGACGGGGAGATCAATCCAACAGTCTATACAGTGAGTGGTTAGAACTTGCTATGCCAGCGATAGAAAAGCCAAAGGGCATCGCATGGACGGACTCTGAAAGGCGCAAAAATGCGGGAGGAATTGCTTGATTTTTCAGGCGCATTGGCCAAAGTCGAGACTTTCTGGCGCTTTGCCAGCGGCCCATCGGGATCGGAATGCGACATCTTTGCGCTGGTGTTGTGGTGCAGCGTTTCGCAATTTCTCGTCGAGAAGCTGCCGTCGGATCTGTAAATTTTTGGCGGTGATGAATACTGCCGTTTTCTGCCGCTTACCTAAGGGTGGTAACTACTACCTACGCCACAGCAGCTCGTGCCCCTCTACACATGACACCGCCACATGGCAGCCCATTACCTGGGATTCAAATCAGGGTATGAAGATTACGGGTATCTACAGCTGAGAAAAGCTGGTGTGTTTCTCAATTATATGTCGTCTACTTGGTATATGCGGACTCTTTTTATATGAATGAAATAACCTTGTGGCATGGAGAGACAATTTGAGAAGTACTGTTGATGAACCTCCAACAAGGCACAGCATTTTCGAAATGCTTCAAACTGTCAAATGCTATGATCAGAGTCTATATACCTAGGTAACAGCTGTCGCTGCGTATTTCGTACTCGGTCTAGGAAAGGGCTGCTGCAGAGCCAGATTTCAGCTTTATGACCTTTCTAACACTCCATCCAAGTTCTCTCGGTGTGGTTACACAGATGAAATCTACCATGCTGGCACGCCCATTGCGTAGTCCGCGCAAACTCATTTCTAGCAGTATAACTAAAACGAAGTTCCTTGCTTTCAATTCTCTCAACTCGAGCGACGGCCTCACCGCCAAGTGGGTTTCGTGCCACGCAGCAAGTTTTAGCTGGTCGTTTTCTGCACTCTGCTCAGGGCACCGGCTGCTTCCATTCGCCAATCGAGCCTCGACCCCTCCACCTACTCCATACAGCTCGCTGTCTTTCTGTTCAATTTTCTTGGGGTCAGGGCAGATCCTTGTCTTTGAGCCCCTCGATGGCTGACGCTGCATGAGCTTTGCGCCAATAAGAGTTCAGGAAACGTCGAGTAAGAGACCGAGAAAGGACCAAAAAGAGCAAGTAGAGGAGAAAAAAAATATTTTGCGAGCAGCGCCACCAAGAAGCGCGGGCTCTGCAGCGACTAACAGTAAGTACCATCCTGCCATTGGATTTGCTTTATCAACATTATTCGCGTTTACATGTACATCAATGAATCGCGCTGAGTCTCTTCATTTGTATTAAATTCCAATTCATCCCTATTTTTTTCTATGTCTTGCTCCCTTCTCGCACAATCGATGAGCCGCTCTCGATACTGATGCCCCTGTGTAAATCCAGTCTCCAAATGATGTCACCGCCCGCTTGACGCTTGCAGCCACGCACAGTCAAAACTAGAGACCTCCACGCTTTTCGACCGAGTGGATTCTCTCGGCCTCAATTTCTTCCCTCTGCTCTGCTTAACCTTCAGACCGGCTGGCCGTTAGTCGACAAACTACCTGAGTCCCCCATACAGTAGGGCCGTGCCAAAACCACAGCAGCAAAGACAAGAAAAAAGTTCCAGGCCCAGTTCTGTGTCCCGCCGGGCAGCCTCCGCCACCGCTATCAAAATGGACCCCTTGGGCGCCTCTGGCTCAGCGGCCATTGCTTCTGACGAGTCTCCGCAGCCACGGCAATCGCCCTCGTACGAGCCCAGTGCGGCCAATTCCTCGCCGTCGACGTTGCCGTCTCAACCTTCGAGGCACTCCCGCAGCGTCTCCGTCTCGTCCTTCACGGGGTCCGTCAGCAGTAAGAAGAGCCGCTACGCCGAGCCGGGCACCTCCGATATCCACGCCGAGCGATCCAGCTTTTCCAGCAGCCCTTATTCTTCCAATCTGCTGAGGAGCGGTCGTTCGTGGCCGTACAATCGACGACACTCTGCCGCTTCCGAGGCCCTGACCGAAGAGCTCTATCTGGGGGAAGCGCAGCAGCAGCTCTTCGACAAAGACACTCCTCGGATGCGTCCCAACCCAGATTCTACGGGCAACCATTCAGCCCTCCCCGAGCCCGCCTTGACCACGAGATCATCGTTTTCCGATTCGTATTCGGTCCAATCCAAGCGTCTGTCGGGAACATCGTTGTACTCGTTGGCCTCCGCGCGTGGTGTGATCGCCAGCGCCCCTCCATCCAATCGAGCCTCTGATCAAGGAGAGCCTCCGCGGTCGGTACCGGGCCTGATGTCATCTTCAAAAGGAACAGCGTCAGCTCTGCCTGAGGCTGCATTGTCCAATATGACCGTGACAACATCTTCAGCAGCCCAACCAGGACATGCGTCTCCTAGCAATCACAGCCTGGCAGCCAGAGACTCGCAGACCCATCATGATCTAGTCAGGCGCAACCAGCGATCCGAAACTATGCGAAGCAGCCAACCTGATCGCTCTCGGAGTAGAGCCAAGAGACGATTCAGCGGAAGCACTGCATATAGCAGCCAGAGTCCCAGTAGCGAACGAGGACCTCATCATCGAGAGAAGGAAGAAGGTGCGTTAGAAAAGGAGGGAGATTTTATATCTTATATGAGATGGAATATGAGCGACATCTAACAGTTTGATTTTAGCCAAACCAGCCCCGTTAGGCGTTATTGGCATATGCGCACTCGACATCAAAGCCAGAAGCAAGCCAAGCAGGAATATTCTAAATCGCCTTATTGCAAACCGCGAGTTTGACGTCGTTGTTTTCGGCGACAAGACGATTCTTGATGAAGGTATGATACGACGTTCCATTGAAAATGCCCCCAGCTAGGAGACACCGAAGACAGAAACAAGAAAGACAGAAATCCGTTTCTGTCTTCGGTGTCTCTAAGAAGCAAGAAAAACTTGAAAAAAAAAAGCTGACTATTTTTTTTCTTTCTTTTTTTTCCATGTGTAGAAGTTGAAAATTGGCCCATGTGGTAAGTCTGAAGATCCCTCGGTAACGCAAAGAGGATAGTGGCACATCCCCTTGCGTGTTCAACCCAATGACAGGAATCAATACCCCATAGAGCACGCGGCAACCGCTAACATGCCTCAAGTGACTATCTAATATCGTTCTATTCCGATGGATTTCCTCTCGAGAAGGCAATCGCATATATAAAGACGAGGAAACCCTTTTGCGTCAATGATGTGCCCATGCAAAAGATCCTCTGGGACCGCCGTGCATGCCTGCGTCTGCTAGACAAGATCCAAGTTCGAACGCCAGAACGCCTTGAGGTCACTCGAGACGGCGGACCAAAGGTTCTGAGCCCAGAAATGACGAAATATATCAAGGAGATCTCAGGCGTCACCCTGGAGCCCGCTGATCCGGAAAACACCTTGCCGCCAAGCAAGGTCGAGCTCATAGACGACGGAGACGTCCTCAGTGTCGATGGATTACTCCTCAAGAAGCCTTTTGTAGAGAAGCCCATCAGCGGCGAGGATCACAACATCATCATATATTTCCCCAAAAGCTCAGGAGGAGGTGGACGAAAGCTGTTCCGAAAAGTTGGCAACAAGAGCTCGGAATATATTCCCGACTTGAACATCCCCAGAGCGATTACCGAGCCTGAAGCCAGCTACATCTACGAAAGCTTTATGGAAGTCGACAATGCCGAGGATGTCAAGGCTTACACCGTTGGTCCTCAGTATTGTCATGCGGAAACTCGCAAGTCGCCCGTTGTCGATGGTATCGTTCGGCGAAACACGCATGGAAAAGAGCTGCGCTATGTTACCAGCCTGAGCACAGAGGAAAGAGAGGTAGCTCGCAAGATCTCGACTGCTTTTGGGCAAAGAGTCTGCGGTTTCGACTTACTCAGAGCCTCGGGAAAGAGCTATGTCATCGACGTCAATGGCTGGAGCTTTGTCAAGGATAATGAAGACTATTACGAGCATTGCGCCAGCATTCTCAAAGAAGTTTTCATCAAGGAACGGCTACGCCGTGGCATGCCTTCGCCGCCAGTTGCCTCTCCCGCGCCGTCTTCAGAGGTCGACCCTATCGCCAGAGCAGGACAAAACATGGAGCAAGGAAGCTCTAGCACCGTCACTGTCCAACCCATTCCCGTGGCAAAGCAGAGCAACCGCTCGTCGCAAGCTGAACAGTCCGACCAAGCCGAGTCAGCAATCGCTCCTAGTGGCACAGCATCGCCTACCGTCCAGAGCACGCGGACGTCCGTTGGCCAGAGCTCATCAGGCAGCCCCTTGATACCGCAACCACTGCCACCACCAGCTGCAGAACTTACATCGCCAAGCGTCTTGTCGTCGACTCCTGCGTCTAGCAAGGATGTATCACAGTCTTCTCCCGCTGGCGCCTTGGCGCAGGAAGAGGAAGAGGCGGAGCCTTCACCCCCTCCTCCGCCTCCCCCAAAGCATTCGTGGAAGTTGAAAGGGATGGTCTCGGTCATCAGACATGCCGATAGGACTCCAAAGCAAAAGTACAAGTTTACTTTCCATACTGAGCCCTTTATCGATCTTCTCAAGGGTCACCAAGAAGAGGTGCTGCTCATCGGAGAGCCGGCCTTGGCGAGCGTGATACAGGCCGTAGATGTTGCTTACATACAGGGTATCGAAGACAGGGAGAAGCTTAAATCTCTCCGAAACGTCCTGGTAAAGAAGGGAAGCTGGGCTGGAACCAAAGTCCAGATCAAGCCCATGTTCCGCAAGAAGAAGCCGCAGCAGGTGCCGGAGACCGAGGAAGCTCCCGTGATAGCGAATCAGACCGGGGACAGCACGCCGCTGATGCCAGGAGGCGATGCTGCAGAGTCAACTCCTGAGGGACGGGCATCGAAGAGGCATGATTCGGTTTCGGAAGTGACCATGTCCAAGTTTACCGCCGCCGAAGAAAGCCTTGTCCTCGACAAGCTTCAACTCATCGTCAAGTGGGGCGGAGAACCGACTCACTCAGCCAGGTATCAGTCACAGGAGCTAGGAGAAAACATGCGCAACGACTTGATGCTACTAAACAGGGATATCCTCGACGAGGTCCATGTCTATAGCAGCTCCGAGAGGCGGGTCACGGCTAGCGCACAGATCTGGGCATGCTCGTTTTTAGGCGAAAAGGAACTGCCGGAAGACTTCATCACCATCCGGAAGGATCTCCTAGACGACTCCAATGCTGCCAAGGATGAAACAGACAAAGTCAAGAAGAAGCTCAAGGGCTTGCTCCGTGAAGGCAACGAC